GGCAGATTTGAATTCAGAGACTGCTTTGAAAATGTTTTCAGACAGATCGATATAATTAATGCACTCTGTATAAGTTTACTACGGGATTATAAATCGCTTTACCAACTGGATTCTACCGGTTTAGAAGCAGTTCTCGTGGGTGTGTGCATTCTGCGGCACGGAATGCTCGTCTAGCATTTCTTCGGTGACTTTGGCAGATCTTCGGCTCGGATCTCGAATATCATCGAGCAAACAACGATAATAATCGCTATCGAGATGTTTGCGCGGCTCGCTGAAATTCTACGACTTGCTCCAAGAGAGCGACGAATGTTAAACTAACGGAAAAATTGCAAACAATGGCTCGATCGTTCGAGCATCGGAGAATACCACCCTTACAAGTTATAGATAGAAATATAAATATTCAATGTTTGACGATTGATCGAAAAGAAATCCTGTTATGTCCTGAATTAAAGTCCTGATAATGGATCTTTTTTATAGATGGAACAAGGGTTTTTTAGGCCTCTGTAGTTCCCTTGTATCGATTTTTGTGTATTGGAGGACTAAACTTTCTAACATACATACATAAAAATGATGGTCCATTATTTTCAATGCAAAATGAAGGTGATTAATTTCACTTAGAAGTTATAGATAGAAATATAAATATCTAAGTTTGACGATTGGTCGAAAAGAAATCGCTCGATGGGAATTAAAATCCTGATAATGGATTCTTTTTATGAGTGAAGGGGCTTTTTATGCCTCTGTAGTCTCCTTGTATCAATTTGTATATATTGGAGGACTAAGCATATAAATGATAATCTATTACTTTCAATGCAAAATAAGGGTGCTTAATTTTACTTAGTGCAACTTCGAGTCCTTTACTTAAATGAAATTATATATTTTTTTAACGCGTCAACTCGTCCTTACACAAAACTTCTGGACCATTTATGACGAAAAATGTTTAAAAAGTGATTTGTGCTCGACTACGGTGGTAAACAAGTCTGCGAAACGTAAGATGTTTCTAAATATAACCCGCGGGAAATTCTAGCGATTTATTTCGATATCCTACGAGACTCTAGCAATATTACTAGATCCTACTAGTTTAAAAGTAGAACATCGATTTCCGCGGCTGTTCTGCGGGTTCTTGTCCCATAATATCCGACAAGGAATAGTAAATTGATCCGTGTTACGCGTTCTAACGCGTAAAAATATGGAAGGATTACATTGGAAATCTCAATTGCTGGCAAGGAACACTTTCCTTTTAATCCCAGAAAAAATCAACCGAACCAGTTTCACCTTCTATATTTTCCTCTGGAACGTTTAAAAGTGAAATTTTATTTCGAAACAGAAGATCTTGACGGAACGAGAAACTGTAAGTGAATAAATAACCGCTCGACATTTTCTAATTTTTTCTTTAATTTCTAATATTAATTTCTGCTCGTTAAAAATACTATGGGTACAATTTTATATTCGGCGTTTGTTTGTCGAGATGTATTCGTTTTGGAATGCAGTTTGTTCGCCGATTCCCGGAGGAAAGAAAAAGAACAGATTTACATTCGTCGAATCACAGTTTGCGTTCGAGAACTCGAACGAGTTTCTCGCGAATCTGTGCTTCCGCATGCATATTCATCGAGAGATCGAACAAGGCGAAATTTTAGAACATATCGTTCTCTAATAAATCGCAATGTCGCGCAAGATCTCATTTAATATCGCAAAGTGAAAATTTAATATTCCGTTTAACTCGTTTATGGAACTTAACGATCTTATTTGTGTATTGGCAATTTATAAAAATAAACCGTAATCTCTGCAGGTCCTCGTCTAACACGTGGCTTTTCAGTTCGTGTAATAACTTTACAAAAATAAATATAAAGGTTGAGCACATAACTGTAACCACTTTGAATAGACGAAATAAAATTCGTATGCAAGGCTTAAAGGTTAAAAAAAATGAAAGATTCCGGAGATAATTAGTCATAAAAAGAAACAATTAAAGAGTAGAGCAAGTAAAAAACAGAATACATGCAATGTCATCTGTTACTATTATTTATTATTGCAATTTTGTTTATGTTTATTAAAAGGTTTTGTAAAAGATTGTTAAACGTGTTAAATTTTAAGCAATTTTGAATAAATCTAATTTTTCATGAAGTAACATGTATAATTAATATGTTTTGTGTAATGACATGTCAATAATTACGTTTAATAAGAATTTATAGGGAAATATTAACTTGATATATATTTATACACTTGTTCGATAACCAGAGTGCCCGAAATCCGTTAATATTTAGTTTAAATAACCAGAGTTTACGTTTAAACGAGGTGATTCGATGATACTTTGGAGCAACGTCAGGAAAAGAAAGAAAACAATTACTCGAAATGAATCAATGAGTTGCTAAATACGTATTAAGGAAATCGTTTCTTATTCATTTATGGTGATGGGTTGTTTAACCAATTCCCTGATGCGTTGTCTAGTATATTTATGCATTATGCACCGAGTATAATTTCGTCCTAACAAATGGAGGTCCACTGAAAATTCCTTTGAAAGAGAACAAACCGTTCGACCGTTTTATTGATTTTTAATTAATTATGTTAAGTCCGATGAGACTCTTTACGAGGTAATAAACGTAAGATAAAAAAACTAAACTGCTTGAAAGAATATACTAAAGAGTAAGTGCACCTATTTCCAACACTGACCCAATTATCGTCACGTTTCCATATTTAATATTTGAATTCTAATTTCGTAAGAATTTACGAACATTTAGCAAGAATTCTCAGAAATATTCGTATTTCGTAGACTATAGTCAGTATCGGTGTTCTAATTAAAGCATAGACGAAGTCAATAACCTTTGTAATTGAAATTGACATGCTAGTAATTGATAGAACTAAACAATGAGATTTACGCAAGAGAAGGAATAGCTCTCTTGCATAGTTTTCGAGATACGTTTAATATTAGATCGTCCCATATGTTCGTTTTTATTTTAAATATATAATCAAACTTTCTGAAAAACAGTAAACCTCTCCTCGTTCGGCAACTCCTTCTCCTTCCTTTGACGGAGCCATTGTATCATCGCTACAAAACTTGTTTGACTTTTTATTAAAATGTATTTCAAACGTAGTTTATTAAAACGTTGACATTTTCAAATTGTTTACCCTCTAATAAGCCTGAACATTGTTGTATTTTATTTCTTATAAGTAGACTGCGGATCTGTATGCAAATTTATATTTTTATTAATAGAATTAACAAAATGGGAGCTTTGTAGAGGGTTGTCTCAATCCCTAGATATAATTATTCGTATTTTACTTAAAGATATTTCTTATATTTTTGTATATTGAGTATACTCTGTAATTTTCTGAAAATTTTAATTTCGAATAAATACAATAAATATCCACAGTCTATTTATGAAGTTCAGTTTTATTATATGCTAACAAAAATATTCGTTCAATCAGGCTCAAGCACGAACAAGATTCTAAACTTCAAGAGCTTTGACACTTTAGTATGTTTAAAATTTCAGAAATCCCTTGAACCAACAAATTCTGTTTGTTTTCTATTAAATTACAAATTTTATCCTTGTCAATTTCAAAATATTAAATGGTACAACCTAATATTTTACCCCCAAATTAAACATAGATTAATTGTAAATAATAAGTTTATTGCGTTTCGTATGAACTGTTTTATTCCCTAAATCAAGTCCTACTTCTAAGAACCTAAAAGCTGAAATTAATAAAGTTACGTACGGTTGAATCTCGACAATTTTATTAAACAAATCCTTGAAATTTCAGAAAAGTAATGTCAACCAACAGAATTAAATCGTTTAAGTGGATCGAACAAAATTTGCAAATGATATATTAATATCAATAAAAAAGCTGGAAGATAATACTTGTAATATTGTAAGTTATTAAGAATGCTGAAAAACAACAGGTACGCCATTGAAATGTCGAATATTTCTATTTCTCACATTGTAACTTTACCAAATGGCGTGTTGAAAGCTCAGAAATTCTCTGCACTGACACAGTTTGTTTGTTTTCTATTAAATGATAAAGTTTATCCTCGTCAATTTTAGAATATCAAACGACACGAACTCATAGGACGACCTAATATAACAATTTCATTGGAATATCGTTAAAATCCAGAATTCGGTATTTTCACAGAAAATTCCAATTATTCCCGTTATACCTGGGCGTTAGGTCACTTGGTCCACACTCTCAGGACCTGTATTTCATCCCCTCAAACCTAATTACCGCTAACGTAAGAAATTGCGCTCAGTTTTCAGAGCACCTCGACAAACGTGAAATCTAAAAAACTAGGGAGGGGGTATTAGTATTTACTAGGGGTGTGCGAGATCTCGACGTTTGAGACAAGACAAGTCCTCAATAGTATCTTGTTAATCAAGAACATCGAGAATCTCGGAACATATCGGAAATCTCGAAAATTCAGAGTTTCAATGAATGATAACAGGAATATAAGAAATAAATGTCAGGAATGTAATTAACTATATAATATTTTATTTAGAATTCACATGTAAAAGTGCTAATTGTTCTATATTGCCTGATAATAGCATATGTATTAGAGAATCCCAATAATTTATTTTGTTAAAATTTTATAAACGTTAATGTTTAACTATGTAAAATCCACGTTTGTAGTTCCTTACATATTACATCTTTTGTACTAAAGGGTTTGATCCCGTTAATAAATGATTAATAATAATAATAAAATTTCAGATTCTCGAGATTTTCGAGATTCTTGGCGTTCTCGATTAACAAGATACTTTCGAGATTCCCGGTATTCTCGATTAACAAGATACTTTCGAGGTCTCGAGAAATTCCCGTCTCGATATTTTCGAGACCTCGCACACCCCTAGCATTTACTAGTATTTAGGTAGTATTTGTCGAGTGGAATCCGGGCTTGGACGTACGTCGGGCGACGGTAGGTCCAGGACCAACCGAGGATCGGGGCTCGAACGCGATGACACGGAGCGGAGGTGGATCGAGCGAGACGAAACGCAGATAAAATGAACGGAATAATGACTTACTGTGCGCGGTAAAGGTCATGATGACGTCGCTCTGGTCGATGGCCCTGAGATCCTGACCGGTGAGGTCAAACTCGCCGGCCCTACGTTGCTCGGCGATCGGTTTCTCGTCTTCGTCCTCGCCGAGAGCGTTCTTGTATATGTCCAGGAGAAACTTGGGCGCCGACCTCTTGACCTGCGGCGGCCTGCCAGCCGTGGTCCTCGGCCGATCCGGCAGCCCAAGTAGATTCAATATCTCGTGCTCGACCTCGCGTTTCTCCCGTTGGCTGACCACCCTGTGCACCACCGTCTGGTCGAAACCGTTGTCAACGTAGAGGCCGCTCATCCTATCCGCGGCGGCGGTGCTCGTCAGCCCGGCGAGGATCGTCCCGAGGATCAGCAGGGGCGCGAGACGGCGCGGCGACATCACGCCGCGTCTTTCCGCTCGAGATCGACACGGCCCGGAAGGCACCATTCTATCTCCCGCCGCTTCCACCACCACCTCCACCAGCACCACCTTCCCCTACGCCACCGCCTCCTCCTCCTCCTACGTCGGCGCTCGCACGACGACGACGTCGTCGTCGTCGTCGTCGTTCCTATCGAACCACCAACGTGGACGCCGAGCGGGACCGCCGCCTCGGCGATCGAGCCGCGATCCGACCACGGGATCGATCGATCCGACGATCTCGCGAGGAGACACCGCACTCAATAACCCGCGTACGATCCCAGCGTCGAACTTCAAACACCACCCGACACCTTCTTCGGTTCCTGCTCGTTGAACCGTGCCCACCGACTATCTTCCACGTACCCAGCACGGTCGTCGTTCTCTAAAGTCTCGATCCTGTCTCTCTGTCACTTCCAAGCAACCGAATCCTGCAGGTTAGCACGACCGAAAACGGAACGGGCACGTTGCGCGCACTTTCCTGGAGCAGCGATTCGAAGGATACACGCCGCGCATGTTCGCCAAACGCGCACACGGCTGACTCTCGAGTCTCGAGACCGTCTCGGTGACCACCGGTGACCACTGCCGCCGACTCCCGCGATGCCAGTGCCAGTCTGTTTGTCTGGCCCGTGCCGTGCACCTCCTCGTCGTCGCTGCTCCTCCGCGAGGCCTCACCACCGCCTCCCAGGGCCGTACCGCTCCTCCGATAGAGCCACGCCTCGCTTCGCCTTTGCCTTTGCCTTTGCCTTTGCTTTTGCTTGCCTCGTTTCGCCTCGCTTCGCTTCGCCTCGCCTCGCCTCGCATCGCATCGCATCGCCTTGTCTACCCCTCGGTCACCTCGCCCCCCCCCCCCCTTTGCCGTGACTCGCCTTGCTTTGCCTCGCCTTGCTTCGCCTCGCTTCGCCTCTGCTACGTCGCACCTAGCCATCGTCTCGCGTCCTCTTGCCTTGCCACGCCGGTAGCCACGCGTACGTACATACTGATCCTCTCTTCTGTTACTCCGAACCATCTCCTCTCTTCCAACCCTCTTCTTCTTCTTCCGTCCACGGTGGCAGACCGTTTCGCCAAACGACGTATAGTTACCCATCCCGGGATTTCAAACGCTTCAAATTCGCGTACACGGTCGCCAGTTTCCTTTTTAATAGCACGTTTACGGACCTCGGATTCCATACTTAAGCACGCTCGCGGACATCGGAGATTTTAATGGACGGGTGATTTATTCTTTAGCCGTAAAACTATAAAACTATGTAGAATCGAATGCACGATAACGTGGTTTGTGAATTTTAATGTCATGGCATTCGTGTCATTTTGCGTCACTATAACAATTAATGCTACATCCGCGTGTTAAGGGAGTATTTTAATCTGGACCCCAAACTTCTAATCCTTAATAGCTATTAGATTAAAACGACTCTTTCGATCCAATGTCCTAGACTCTGTGTATAGAGAAATTGCAAGATTTTTTAGCCACGCTGCTAATATGGAAGAGAAGCACAGACGTCTTGGAAAACTTTCAAACGCTGACAGAAGTACTCTAGTAAACCGGAATTTAAATTTTCATAACAATGTCTTTAAGAAACGAATTTTCCAAACACTTGGGAACGCTACAACACTCTTTTAACGATTACTCTTATCTGCCTAATATAAATTACCCTAGCTTTTTAGAGAGATTTATCCAAGTTTTGAGTACATCAAGAGTTTCGACACTGGTCAGAAAACCATTGATTTAACTAATGTTTAAAAACATTACATGAAAAAGGCTTTACATCCATTAGGCTAAACGGTTAAGTACCACCGGTCCAGGCATTTTTGTACGTAATCTACATTCGATCAGTGTATAGCGGAGAAGAAAAACGCGTAGCAGCGGCCAGATGGCCATGATAAAGAGAGCCGCGAAAATGAAGGATAGTTCGCGCAAAGTGAAAAGGCATGCTCACGATTAGATTGTTCAACAAGTGTGCGACGTGTTGCGTAGAACGGTGCTGTACGCCTAATGCGGCATTTAAGGAATGCAGCGTGTAACACCGCGTGTTTGCAAGGTTCCGAAGAGGTTCGCCGACGTGTGTTACGACGTAAGTAATACGCAATCAAATACACACGGTGTAGTTGGGATTAGGGCTGCGACTCGTCAAATAGTTTACTATTCGGATAATTGACGAATATTCGACTGCTAACTATGCGATATTACTCTACGAATATTATTATTACCAGACTGCGGATGTTTATGCATTTATGAGAAATTTTAATTTTCAAAATACTACTGGATACACTTGATATACAAAAATATAAGAATTACTTAAAATAAGATACGAATTGTTATATTTAGGGGTTGAGACAACATTCTAAAAATCTCCCATTTCGTTAATTCTATTAATGCAAACATGAATTTGCATAAGGATCCGCAGTCTAATTGTTACCATTTAAATATCACTATTCGAATATTATTATCCAAACAATATCATTCGAATATTACTATTAAAATGAAAATTCGAATACTAATATTTGAATAGAGCTACTAGGATAGGAACGGTCGAACATCGCAAACATCATTCGTGTTTCCGACGAGATACTGAAAATCGAATCATTATATTAAGTCTAGGTACTGACGGTTTTCCAAATAATACATTTCTATACTGATCATTAATATTTAATTCACAATGTAATTTCTATTAACGTTAACGATTCCTTCCCATCTCGATGGCAAAAGAGTATTTCCGTCAAATGCTCGACCGAGTACGTAATTTACTATAATTTGTAGAATTTAACCAGCTTTCTTAGAGATTTAACTACCGAGACGTTTACCTTAACTGCAACTAGCTCGATTCGCGTACGTTTGTCACGGGAAACTACCCGTAACTGTTAGACAGAGTTTGATAAAGATTGAGGGGGTTGAAAAAGTGGAAGAATTTCCAAGTTCGGTCGGCCGCCATCGCACGGTGTTTCCTCGCCTAACCCTGATCACCGACACCACGTTAGAGAGTCGAGGATCAGGGCTGGTGAACGCCGCCTACTTCTTCGGCAGGGGCGGTCCTATCTCTATGACCCAGGGGCGTGCAAATGCCTTCGAAAATTCAGTGGATCGACCGATGGAAACTTTGATCCTCGAACCGCCGAATCTTCCATTTCTCTTCTCCGCGTATCAACGATCAACCGTACGATTACGTTCGTTTTATGGTATGCAACATTTTTTGCACACCAGTGGAAAGTTTCCTTTCGGAGTTTTAGAGTCGTCCCGGTGATCGTAAAACCGAACGATGAAAAGCGAGAACGAATAACGGACGTTCCCCGGCTTGATTCCACCTTCTCGAACAGTTTACGGGAAACAATCTTTGTTACGGATTTCTTACCAAGCGGGGAAAAAATAATTCGATCGAATTAAAGGAAAATAGATCGAGCTTCGGCGAAAAGATCTCTTTTGCTATATTGTGCTAAAACCACAGTTTAATTAGACGGTTCTACGATAAATTACACCATATGATGGGTTAATCGATCGATGGAAAACACTTTCGAAAACAGAACTTGTGGGAAACATTTTCAGAAATATTAAAATCAACACGTTTTCACGTTCGCGAGCTATTCGTTACACGGATCTTTTCTGTGGGCATTGAACGCACGAACACATTTAAACAGAATTAAATAGTATAGGTTTGAAACATTACTTGTAATTAAATTGTACCGACGTCACGAACGTTAAATCGTGTTTCTGATCAGGCCCGACTGTCTACTTATTGTATTTAATTATTCCTCTAATAAATATTCTTCCCGATGTATAAATTGAAATTATGCATGTATATAGCGTACGTTTCCAAAGATTTTGCTGAAATAAAAGGTATAATAAAGATGAGTATTTGGTCTGACTATTTATAGAATGTCAATTTGGAGTAGATATAACTATATAATATAAAGTTTTATTTTTTATTAAAAGGAAATTCTTTCTCACCATATTGCAAGATATCGAAACCATCAAATTTTCTATTAAACTCTTTTTTCGTGTCTTTTACACGTATATAAGATAAGGGGATGTTTTCACGAAAACACAGTTATGCTATTAACTTCGCTCGAAGTACACTTTTACAGTTTCAAATTTGTCAAATTTTCATCTTTTCCTTGTAAACACATTCACGTTAAATATAGAATATATTTTTTATCAGTCGAAAAACCTGTAAAACCAAAGAAACTAGTATTGCAGCTGATAACTTTGTCCTGCTAGATAACAAAAATTGGCCAAAAAGTTTAGAATTACGAAAAATCACTTTGGATATATATAGTTTATCTGTATCTTTTAAACGAGGGTGTATTTAAGTAACTGAAACTATAAGCGCACAGAAACGGAATATTTATAAACAGAAAGTTTCGAAACGCGCCAGATTACTTGAATAATGTATATATAGAAGTTATATTCCATTTGTGGATTACGACATTTCGAAAAATAACACACAAAGCTAAAAACTTCATAATTTGAAAGTTTCGAGATCTGTGGAATCTTTCGATCGAACGTGATCACGATATTTTTCCTACAGTCTTCCTCTTTTCGCAGCTTTTCACGTAAAACAGAGTTTCTTAAATTACGGTCCACAAACTCCTTCCAACCACAATGTTCTTCTTCTATACTCAAACAAAACAATATTTTTGTAAATATATCTACTAGCTAAACCATCCATAGTAATATCGATGTGGTTTAAGCATGTAATAAATAAGATTTCGTTTCTTTTTTTCGTCATTAGAGGAGATAGAGAAAAAGTTTACCTAACACCTTTATATAAAATTTAACAATAATAATACGTAATTATACTGCTAACTTATATTGATACAATAAATTACGATATTCCTATAGAAACTTCGTCCTCTGTAGGATATTTTAAAGCCTTTGTCGAGCTTACGCGCGTTGAAGTCACCAGGAGAGAGGTCTTCAATGACCAATGAAGCTAGAAACCGAAAAACTATCGTGCAAATCGCGAAATCGATGCCACCGATACGCGAACGGATCATTATTCTCGCGGGGAATTTTTAATAGAAATGTAAGAAGAAAAAAGAAAAAAATAAGTCACGTGTCATATTTATGCGCAACCGGCCATAAACGTAGAAGGGGCCGGGGTGGGCGGACGACGGTGAAAGCGAATCTGAGTCGGTAGTATCATTAATCTGCCAATAAAAGCCAGTACAAGGCTTATAATATCCAGTTTGTTGTAAGAAATATTTGTTTACTCGACACAATTTCCTTGCCGGCTGGTACACGTAAGCCGGAGGAGAAGAAAAAAAAATTCACGTTTCCCTCGGTCCACTAGAAAATGTGCAACCCGACGTCACGACGCCGTTGTGGCGGTTTTTTAAATAGATTTTCTCGTTCATGAATAATGTATGAGCAGATAGAAATTGGTCAGATATTTTTAAACATGATATCACGTTATGATATCATCGAGCCTCGCCAATTTCATCGATCTTCTATCACAAACTCATATACGATCCGAAACAAGCTATTCTGTTCGATTTAAAATTAAGAGTACGCAGATAGTATAGTAAATTTTTACCGCTTCAATATTACCCTCCAAAATTGTATGAACCTAACTGAAATGCCACTCGAGTATTGCTTGAATCGTTTACGGACAATTTCTTATTCGATTCGTTTGTATTTGGTAAATTACGACGGATGCTGGAGGCTACTATCTAACAAATGCGTTAACGATTGGCTTCACGATCGTGGTTGCATGCAGTGATCGTTAACTACGTACCGGGATTCTTGTCTTGGGTGACGAACGAAAGAGGACGAGTGGGTTATTGGCGCGTATTCCCTGGATGGTGGGTCTTAATTCCCCAGGGCGATAATCCTGAAAGCATCTCCGGAGATTCCATTATCGATGCATACCAGCTCACCCAATAAAACGTTCGTAGCTTACAGCCCTGGCTCGTCATTCTGCACGTTCGTGGATGGAACTCTGGCGAAAAATAAGAGATGCTGCAGTTCACTCTCCTTCCCTTTCCGTCTCTCTTTCTCGCAGCGTGTACTCTCTTTCTCTACCGACCAACAGCAACAGAATAAATAAAGTAAATAGAGGAATATAGGAGGTAAATAAAAAATGTGGCAGCAGAAGAGAGAGGAATGGACGGTGAGAGGGAAGAGAGGCAAGAAGAAAAAGAGAGTTAAAGGGAAAGAGGGAGCGGAAAGGAGAGAAAGGGAGAGGGAGAGGAAGGGAGAGAGCCCTCAGGGCGAATTCCCGTCGAGCATCGGCCGCTGCAGAATCTAGAGGTGCGTTCACCGGGGAAATCCCTCCCTCGGAGATTATCCTCTCGAAGAAAATTCAACTCCGCGCTTTGGTTTGCCGTCCAGGCGAGAGTGTTCATTGGTTCGCTCCGTTTTATTGTCTCCTTGATTAAAGTTTCTCTTTTATTCGGTACACGCGGTGAAAAACGACGCCGGGACGCGCGATTCGGAAAATCGATTTACCGAAACACTTAATTGCAAGGATTGTCTCGACGAAAAGGCAATAATTTGTTCGTTTCTACGCGTCGATGGTACAAAACAGGGGTTGGAAACTGTCGTTATATCGATTTCGGTTCTCGAAACAGTTATAGAGAACTTTTATTCGGAATAATCGTTAGAATCAATATTTACAATATCATACCGATTCCGTAATTTATTTTTTCGACTTTAAAACGGTTTTTCATAGCTATTTGAATAAAATAAATCTTTCGAGCAAGGATTAAAGAGGTTTCAATAATAACTGTTAATTATTATTCTATGGAGGTATTGACTAAAACAGTTATAAGGAACCGAAATTATATAACTGTTATGAGTTGTTGTCGATTGTAATTATGGTTCTGTAGAACCAATATTATATCAGTTCTTAGACGATTTTATATCGATTTTACAAAGGTTATCTCTAAATCGCCGACAATGTTTACAATGAATCGATCTCACCTAAACTGAGTTTCATCGACAATGTTTATATAACTATAGTAATCACCGACAAATTTTATAATGGACGATTTTTATCCGCAATGTGTATGTATTTAATATAATATTTACCGATTTTCAGTACCAATATTTAATCGATTTTATTAATGCTATATTAAAAACCATTATACAATACGTTAATTGTTATATCCTCATAAGGATTTAGTCCAAAAATTCAATTAAATCATTTAAATTAGCACGATCTGGCGCTAAAATTAATTTTTAAATAATCTTTCCACGTTCAGTTGCGTGGGAGAAAGAGCCAAAAATACCCCTGCTAATGCATGCAATTCTTGTGATTTATTTTTGTTATCATACCAATAATCTATTTCACACTTTACTGAATTACTCAACATTTTTTTTACTATTTACCAATTATTAATACTCATATTAATTTTTGTGGTAATCATGCATTTTTGAGTTATTATTAGTACAATACAACTGTGTTTAAATTTTCTATGCCCTCACTAAATTTGAAAGTTCTGAATCAGTTGGAATAGATTTTTTTGTGTTATCCAAGATGGCGTCGTTAAAAAAAACTAGCCCAACCGTAATTTACTTCTAATTCATAAAAATTGATACTAATCATAGGATATTACCAGAACACTTACATTTCTACGCAATAATTCTCTGCAAAAGTTCTACTTTTAAAACTTATACGTACAGTCGAAACACAGTATTATTTTACCATTAAGAACTTGGAAAACAAACGACTTATGCCATTTAAAATATACATTTTAAAATTGCACTCGTCAAAAATGAACAATGTTAATTGAAACTACAACCAAAAAAAATTGAAATCTTATTTTTGTTCTCTTTTTGATAGTTGTATGTAACTTTAATATAGTTCATAAGAATATATTACTGATATCTAAGGCGGGAACGGAATCCTCGTAATCCGAAAGGATACTACTCCTATAAGATGACATGAAAGAAAGATGATATAAAATTTCTTAATATAGTTCTAAATTATTATTGTTAATATTGGAAATTTAAAAAGGGTACCGTGTAAGTAGCCTTTCCTAAGCGTGTTGCAGTATAAAAAAAAGGTTAGGAAGCACTGTATTAGAGACACGAACATGCGACGAATATGCAAAATGGTGTGAACGCTCCATTCGGCTATTACCGATTTGATAAAATGACCGGGACTCGTGCGAACGGGCTGTAACAGAGAATAACGGAGATTATGTTACGGATTCGACGATTAAATTTCTGTAAACAGCTACTTAACTCGAAATAATATTTATTTTAAACCATCCATTCGCTGTATCTGTTAAAGCGAACAGAGGGTCACACATCGAACTAAATTCGAGGATACAACAAAAATCGGACCGGATCGACGAGGTTAGGTGACGAATTTAGCCGTGCGAAGTACCGATCGGTCGTACCGTAACGTACGACATACCTCTTCCCAGAAATCATCTCGAGGCGATCTCGGTGAACGGTCGTCTCTCTCTTTCTCTCTCTTTCTCTCTCTTTCTGTCTGTTTCTCTCTGGCCAGGTCGGTGCCAGGGAGTCTACCAGCGATAACCAGCTGCGCGTCGCACCGGTAGACTGCCTGCTGCCTCCAGCTGCTCCGGGGATCCTGAGACCGGTTATACTTGACCCAGCGGTTTACACGCGCTTGCCGCCGCCAGCACCACCGCCGAAGCCGGATCGCGCCACTACCGAAACACGTAAGTACCTACAATGCCTGGACAAACTCCAGCACGCTTGCCACTCTCTCTCTCTCTCTTTCTCTCTCCCCGCACGCACACACGCACACACAACAATCTCCGTCGGACCGATACACGGCTACCTCCATCCGCCTCGCCCCACTCCATCTGTCCTACTCTTTCCTTCTGTCGTTCCACTATTTTTACCCCTATTTTTACATACGGAGCACTTAACGACTTCTTTGTCAAGTTATTAGAACGGGCCCTCCTCGAAGCGAATCGCGAGAGTACACCACGGATCGTTCGCCTTCCTGTTTTTAACACCAGTTTTCCCCGTCTAGAGAGGAAATTTTCAATGGTCACAATGGGGTACTTATTATTTTGTTGGTATTATTTTAGATTTCAGACAGCGATCGCCAATGACCCGTCAACGGGTTCGATTTAATTGGTACGGTGCTTCGTACGTCTCTGTTTAATGATCATTAATTACAAAATGTTTGCGTAATTGAGTAACGCACTTACGATACCACGAACGGACAGAATTAACATACGATTTAATGGAACACGATCCCCCAAGCAAGCCGACCTTTAAAACTTTTAGATGTCACATTTTCGTACGGATTTTCAACGACAAACTTGTACAATTAAAAATGATAAAATCTAACTTAAAACTATGTACAGACAGAATATGATTTTCACAAGAATTCTTCACTTGACATATTTCTCCATAAATTTTCGATGAAATTCGCTTCTTAACGAATCGTTTATGAACACATCGTGTTTCTTCTTTGGTTCGGAGCGAGCACAATTTTTGAAAACAACGTCGTCGTCCCATCGACGTCTGACTTTCATATCCGTGCGTCCGCTCTGGGAGGAATAGTTTAATAAAGGATTCCCCGAGAGAATGTTTTCCATTCTTATTCGTTCCTCTTCCTGCCGTTTTTCCATTTCCTACAAATTAGAACATAATGACATATCAGATTAATAAGAACCAGAGCAAACTCCAGTTTAATTTTATCAGTTAACTGCCACTTAAGATGCCCTCAGTGTGAAACATAGAAATATTCAATAATTCAATGGTGTTTCAAATGCGTGTAAGCAATATTGGAATGCATTGTAAGTTTAAAATTCAGATCACTGGTAACCATTGTGGCAGTTAATGTGTTAATCAATTTAAAGAACTATATTCTTAATACGGAGATAGAAAATATAAGTAAATAGGGAAATACATATCTGAAGCATTTATCATTGTTATGAAATTTATATCTTACTATTTTGTCATATATGACTGTGTATTGCATATCAGTATCAAATGTTACCACGCATTAATAAAATATAAGATGTAAAAATTGTATTGTTTTTTTTTCACATGTATGTTCTACAAGATTATATCAAATATCAATAGAATAAAATAAATGATTCAAATACTATTTATTTGAATTTATTCATTATCCACTATTTTGTAAAAACGTATGTTTAAATTGATAAAAGTCTGACCTTCTTGGCTTGCTCAGCTGCTCTTTCCTTCTTAATGCGCTGCAATTCTGCTAAAAGAGCAGCAGTGTCATCTTCATCGCTCTCCGACTCTGAATCATCATCGTCTAGAGGATCATCCGCATCTAAGCTTGCTGTGGGAACCTGATCAATTTTTTGCCTCTTCGCACTGGTCGTAGAAATTTCTCGTGAAGGCTCTATCATGCGACGATTAGAACTTTTGTCTTTTTCTCTTTCACGTTCACGTTCACGATCTTCTAATTCTTTGCGAAAATCACGATTTCGCAACTCCTCTGTCGTTCCTTGACCATGTTCTCTAAACAGGAAATTCATAAAAGTATATACAAACAACGAAATCAATAGGTTATGTTCGATTATTTTCTAAACATAAAACAACATAATATTTTTAGGTACAATATGTACACACACATATTTCTTAAAAATAATACGAAATGAAATAAAATACCTGTATTTTAGTTTCGTATGAGATGGTAAGTCCCTGCTACTATATTGTTTTGATATTGCACTTAGATCTTTTTCGCCGCGTCCTTGACCACCTCTAGCAGGTTCGAACGTAGGTCTTGCGGCCGTAGTCATTGTTATTAAAAAACTACACGATTCGAGTTAATTATTTTTTCGTTAGTAAGTTTTACAAATATTTTCAAAACACAGCTGATCGTACAACAAATTGTATACTTTCCCTCGCGTTACTTAAATCATTCGCCAGAGGTCCTTCATGCAAATTATCGATCGATATTAGATTGTACCATCACAGTAGTTGGAAAGCGGGATTTTGCGACCAAAATTCAATTTTTCAACTTCTGTATTTAAACAAATTTTTAAAATATAATGACAAATACTGCCTTGAATTTTTATAACTCATTAGGCAATTCGAAATGCATTGTTTTCAAAATATTTCAATTGTAACTTTTTAAATGAACACCCAGCATAAAATAGTTCTATTTGAATATCTAGTTTAAGTAATGCAAATAAATTAAATAAAACTATTGTATTTCGTATCTAGAAATAATGTTACTGCAAAACAATGGTATATATTATTTGATAATAAAATTATTAACTTACTAACAAATTATTAGAGTAAAACAGAAAATGATAAATATATTGCAATAATATTTTTTCAGTTATTTATCATTTTATTATTTTAATCACAATAGAGTAACAAATACAGTGTTTCTATAATGGTGATACATTAATAATTATAACATCCGTGTATTTTAAGTTGCAAGTAATGTGTCAGTGTCGAAATAATGCGATGTGAAATAATCGGGAACATTGTGCTAGTACATTTTTAACTTATAATCCTATTACTGTATACATAAATTAAGGAAATTAATTGCTGAAATATTTTACAATACAATAAGATCTGCTTAACGCCCGTATACTATTGTTTTGCTATATTGCAATTTTTCTGTGGAAATAATCTCAAAGAATGACTATTCTTCAGAATAAAAAATTACAACTGTTAAGGTAATTAATAAACTGATGTAAATGCTTTTTTTTAATGTAGCAATTTCTACAATAATATTTCTAGTGTTTTCACAATTTTGCACATGTTTATCGTTTAGGTAAGGTTAAGATGACCTTGCTTAGTGCTCTAAATTTTAAGAACCTCAGCATTAAGCAATATCTTATTGTGTTAAAATTAGACAGAACTCTACATGCAAGGTAATCCAACAACATTACTCTTTAACACAAACACTAACTGAAAAATGTTACGTATCTTTACAAAATTCGTACACGTTTAATGAATATAAACTAAATTCACAAAGCAGTATTTACATTTTCAGTATTGCATCTCAAATTAGTTCGATAATTATTAAAATTAGGACTATATTTGTGTTACTTATATAATTGCAACATTTATTTTCATGCACCATCCATTTCTATTATTGAATTTAAACACGTATTATGCTTTTTCTCTTTCGCAAATGCGCGCAATTCTTATTATATTTTTCCGTTCTTTATAAAAGTTTAAACAATCGAAGTAATATATTTTGTGTGATATTGTTATGTTTACCATAGTCAGACTTATTATCGTTATTAAAAATGACAGTATTAGTTTTAACATATTGGACAGCATTCTGACTTTCATTTATTAAACCCTTTGCAACTAAAGAGGCACTGCATTTGAAAATACTTTTATTTTCAACTTTGCAAACAGAAATGCATTCAATAAATTGTTTATCATTCTGCTTTGTTAAATGATAGTTAATAAACAAGTATGAGTAAATGCAGAATGCTCATTTGATAAATTACAGTCGAAATATATTTTGAAAAGAATGCATTTTCGAGAGAAATATTCGAGACAAAAATGTCACGATTTCGAAGGAAAAGTTCAACTATCCTATTTATTTGTTATTTGACAAGTGTTTTCAGGGTTATTCGAAGGCCAACTATGTATTTTAAAACGTAAACGTATATTCTTTATTTATATTTTTGTCCCATACAAAAGTTTTTTTCTTTTTTCTCGTAAAATAGAAATATAAATTTCCTTTTTTAAAAAACAAAGTTTACCTTCGAATAATCTTGAAAACACTTAATAAATAAATAATAAATAGAATCGTTGCATTTGTTAATCACTGTTTTCGAAATATATTGATTGTAACTTTCCAAATGAATCTCACTGTATGTGTACATATAATACACAAAATAAAGCAATAATTTTTATTAAATATCCATTATTGAGAAGCAAATCCAATTGTAAAAGATCATTTAATCAAATTTATATTAAATTTTAGATGCATTTCAAAACATGATTTTTTTTCCTTATAGATTTGAAAGAATGCATAAATTAAAAGTATAATCATTGCCTCATCTATTTTTAGGGAGCTTTATGAAAGAGAGCTTCTAATTAATCAAATTGCAATATAATATGAATCTGACATAAGTTTGTTTGAATTAGCATAGGCATCAGCAATAAAGAACTAAACGTGTTTTTATACGTTTGATGTATAGTTATTTCTTAGAATTAATTTTTCATATAAACAATTTGTAGTTCTATTAGCATAACTTTCTCTATTTCTAACGGTATCGTTCATTACATTAATTGTATTAGTTGAGACAAATAGTAGCATATATTTCCACATATTCAGACATGTTTCTATACGATGTTTGTTTTGCATTATAACTGACTACAAAACAAAGTCTGAATAAAAGAAATAATATGCCATGGCACACAAACTTTACCACTTTCCTCAGTCAAATGTTATTTATATTATTTCAAAATTTATCCATTAACTAAATGCTACTAGTGTAAAAGTCTAATATTTTTAATTTACATATTGAAATACATACTTTTTATTCAGCCTTTTTTATTGTAGCATTATGACAGTAAATTGCTGTACATCAATTTTGCAGATTTTGAAAATGAAATCGCATTTTTTAATATTAATAATAACATAATTAACGCCAAAACTACTAAACATATTATTTCACGAATAAACTCCAAGACATTTCTTTTTAAATTAGCTAAATTTAAATTCATTTGTTATTAAACAGTGACAAAATCTAGATAAAAAATATCTAAAATAAAAAAAATTTGAATCAACCCCTAACACTGAATATAACCATAAGTATTTAATATAAATTATATTATTGCTTGCATAAGTATTATAAGCAGTTTTGTACTACTAAAATTGCAAGTGTATAAAGCAATTTTCAAATGGATTTATTCAATAAAACATTCCTCCAAACAAATTCTATCAAGTGACATATATTGCCAAAGATAAATAACAACATTTCGTTACTCGAACACAACATTCTATACATACTAATTACAATTATACACTCTGCTATACAAAAAAGCTCATCAAATTTGCAAACATTTTTTGCATAAAACCCCATAACAGAGATAAGATTTTCTTTTATACAAATAGTTATTTCAAAATTGTTTGATAAATTAACTAGGAAATAAAATTTCTATAAAATAGAAAATTCTATTCCGCTTTTTGTTTTAATTAGATATATTGTGGGCAGTTAAAATTAAAAGTTCTAAAATATTCATCATTTCTAATTCTAAATTTTACATGTACACTGTCAAAATTTCAGTATCTGTTATCTTATGTACATAAAGCTATGAAAAGAATTGTACAAAATGAAAATACAATAAATTATTGTATCTTATTTTATATGTATCACAACACAATTATATAAAGAAGTTAAACATACGAAAGAAAAATAATTTTTAAAAAAAGTTCATTGAAAGGAATATCATAGTTAAGTACATAATATATAAAATTTTGTTTTATCGTGAACCAAAATAAGGAGGTTCAACAATTATCTTAATTTCTTGTGATAAATATTCCGTAGGATGTAAATGTGCATTTCCATTTTAACTAAACTTTTAATATTCGTTACCATATAAAATATGTAAAATAAATTTCTATAACAATTTAAATGTTTGATATTTTAAAAGCGTTGCAACTTCAAAATATTCTCCCCTTCTCAGTTAATAATATTCACATAAATATAGAATAAATTGCTAGCTACATCTTCTTTACACAATAGATATATGTAGAATAAATTATACAAATATATACAAATTAAGGTCTACACATTTAACATATTCCAATATGTATATAAATCATTAAATTCTTAAATCAATATATACGCATATATAAATGCCCCTTTAGGTGCTTAACACCAAAATATACTACATTCAGCTAGGTTTAATATGTGTAATATTCTTAATACATAAAAATTGTGTACTGATGTAGACAATTACAAATCTTGTAGTTAGAAGAGATGTAAATCTTTCACGAAATTAAAATATCTAAATACTATTTCTGCAATTTACTTTTCTGTCTTTATAAATTTGCACTAAAAAGAGTATATGTATGTATATATATATATATATTAAATATATGAAAATATGGCAGTAGTCAAATTATTGAGAATCTTTGCATTAGGCCACCACATAATACTTTTATATTGTTTGAAGAGAGTAGTTCACTTCCACTGTTTATAATTTTTATCCTTTCTATTATATGAAACATTCAACACGAAATAGTTAAACAAAAAAAAAAAATGAGTATGTAAATATTACCATTTAGTGCATACAGTAGGAAAATAGGAAGTTCGATTATAACAGTAAAATTTAAATGTACTGATAACTTACTTGCTATCATAATAACAACAACCACTAATTCACAATTAGTAACAGAATTTCTTTTGTGCTTAAGTAAATTAATAAATACAATGTCCCGTTAGAAACAGGCTACCTTAATATCTTCGCTATTTTAAATAATAAGTATTGTTTACAGAATTATATGGTTTTGAGGTAGACATAGTTTTAAAAGTTAATTTCATTTTTTTAAATGGAACATCTAATTTTTCCAGCTGCATTTAATGAAATAATGGATGTAGTTGAAAATAGAAGTATTAATAGCTTTGAGACAGATATATACTTCAACTTTTAAAATTGACTGCTCTATCGAATTCTGCTGTAAAGAAACTACATAGACGTTCTATTTTAAAAAAAGGAAGTTGACCTTGATACTGTACCTGCGCTTACAAAGAATCTGTTGTACCATATTCTGCCTGTCTCAAAATCATGCAACTTTTGTAAACGATACTACTTCCTATTATATAAAATAGCGAAAATATTAGGATGGTCTATATTTAACTCTTTCGCCCCAGAATGTTTGCAATAAAATTAATATTCACATTACAATGTTGCAAAAATTTGTTTGTAATGTGAAGAATTGAATATTTGAAATCAATAAACCTAATGGTGGAAGTATTGATTAATAGTATTATAATTTTTATACTTTTTGTAATAATTTAATAGACTGTTCCTATGCAACTTTCTATACGTTGAACTGTGATATTTTGTTTATAATAAAAATAAAACAGGTTTCTTATTCTAACAATTAGTTTTTTACTTTTTATTATTTTGTAATCATTCGCTAAGTTTAATTTTATTATACTATTAGAACAATTGACTTTTTCAATTAAAAACGTTCCTTGGAACGAAAGAGTCAATTTGTACCATTTACTTACAGAAGAAATTGCTTTAAAAACAAAGCTAATTCAGTTGCAAATGATTTTGCATCGATCCTTGTCTTATTTTAGGCTGTACTTGTATGATTATTAGCACCACTAATAGCACTAAATAAAGCAGCACTATTACGTTTAAAATTACCAACTTGATCATCAGGCCAGATAGGTTCTCCGAGCAACGACGATAAATTTTGACAAAGTTTTTGATAATTTTCACGTAACACTTCTTGATATTCATGCTGATCAGACGTAATTAATTTACTATTTATTTGAAGCGCCGTGTAACATATCTTAACAAATTCTCTGAAAATAATATACATTATACAATAATAAATAAAAAAAGAAACGAAGAGAGCTTACCTAAAAACATCTTTCAGTTCTTCAACTTTATCATCTGGATATTGTGGTGATAATGCGGGATCTAAAAACGCAGAAGCGTATGCGAGCGGTCCAGCATTTACTGTAACACATATACTTCCTTGTAGCCTTAATTGCAATTTTTTCACATCCGTTGGGCCTATTAGAGCAACGTCTTCTAATTCTTGTACACGCTGTCGCATTTCATCCAAAGCAACTTCAATCGGGCTCAGTTCCATTAATCGTTTCTCGATTACTAAGATGCGTTTCTTAATGTACGGGAACGAATATTGTGCTAAAATATAAGTGTTGACATTACCTGTACGTTAAATTATTTCATAGATGGCGCGAAATTGTAAAATTAACGTACTTTTAACAATTGTTCTCCGTTTCCACTGATCTTCTGGATTACCTCTTGCTTTTCCTTCTTTAGTAAATGGGGTTTCAAACATGAAACACGATACATTGTGATTCTGTTCAAATTCTGTCTGTCGAACATCTAATTCAAATTTTTCAAAATAAGGCGTAACGTGCGTCACTTGAATATATGCTAGCTTTGGATCTAATTCAGTCACGTTGATTGGTACGGAATCCATTATCATTTTAACATTCTCCGCGCCAAACTTGTCAGAATACAAATGATGTAAGCGCTCTGAAATTTCTGATAATGATGTAATTTTTGGTTCTTTGTATATATATTCCTGGCCGTTTTCATCCTCAAAATACGCCTAAAAAAACATGTGCGTACAGAAATCAAAATAAAGGACTATTTATACATATAAGGTATTAATTTTTACTATTTCATACCGAACCAAAAAATGCAACTCTATAGAATCTTCCAAGAAGTCTTTTTCCAGATTTAGTAACCTCAACAATTTTATTACAGGCTTGCGCCAAATGCGAATAACAATTTGCTAAAGCTTCGTAATTCCGTTTTTCTTCGTACATGGGAACTATTAATCGATATAAATGTCCAAGAAGTTCAAATCGTTCCGCTTTCTCTAATATGTCTGCACAAACTTCTAATTGCTCAAGAAGTAGATAGTCGTTGTAATGAATATCCTGCACGCCTACAATAATGCCAACCATTATACAATTTTCTATCTATCAATGAAAACTAAAAACCAAAATCCATGCAAGCGTATTACTATCGAAACACTAAATTTAAACAACAATCTTTATGAACTACATCAGTAATTACTAAAGTAGGAAAATTATTTTACTACTTATTGATACAAACTAATTCGAATAAAGTAAATTCAATTCAACATCATGCATTGTTTAAGTGTATAATAAAAGAAAAGTTGATGAAATAATATAGTATAATACAAACATGTGCAAACATACAAATCTCACCAGCATCGAGTTTAAGGCTACATTCGTCTCTAGAAATGTTTTCAGAGATTTTGTCAAAAGCTTCTGCTCCCCACATGTGAACTTTCTTCAATTTTAAATATTCGGCCATTAATGCGGCGATATGTAATTGACAGCAAGCGGCCTGAAAAAACAATATTATCATATACGAATACTTTATTTTAAATCCGGGGCTTGGAACTTATTTTTGATGATATAACAGATAATTTTTAAGTATGTACCTCTGAAAAATTTCCATCCCTCGCATGGTTTCTAGCCATAGTTTCCAACCACGTATGTCTTAATTCTGGTGTGCTGGCATATGAATTGGCCAAACTATGTTGTAAATCCACCAACATTTCTGGGTCGTTGTTGTGTTCTCTCATTTGGGCTGTTGCCATTAAAACGGTTCGAATTCTTTTATTGAGATCTTTAACTTCGACCGGAAAACCAGTGCCTTTCATCACTTTATCGGATGAAGCATAACTATTTATCAATGAAAGCGACTCTTGAAATCTTGAGTTATTCAATCCAATAACGTTTCCAAGCATTTGGGAAACTGATATTATCACCTATTCGTAAATAAAAGGAAGTAAACATTATCGACCCGTTATAGTCCTTAGATGGTGACGTGAGTTTTTTCCATGGGCCGTGTAGTTCATTTTTACAATTAATCTGATTTCTTTTACAATACTTACTTGTAAGTGAACTCTGGTCAAACCTTTCCTACTAGTAAACTCAAAATTGCTTCTCATAAGAAGATAAAGCAAAGCACATGACTCCTGCCTAATGGAACTTAATTTACTATTACAACAACGTAATAGCTCGTAACACAAACGTCCACAAAGAACTGCGTTCCCTATAAGATTAATAATTAATTAGGATCACTGAAAAATCCTTAAATGTTTAATTCTTTCAATTGCAGTTACTGCATTCTACGAATATAATTATATGCTCGCTAGTTATCATTAGAGTTCATACCTTGGAACAGAATTATAGAATAGTTATTTAAAAAAGCTCTAAAACTAGCAAAAACATGGCGCAGCAAAGTTTCAGACTGACCAACTTGCAAGAATGACAAATATATACTGAAAACTTTTTGCATTATGGGATTATCTCCATCCGCTGCTAAAAGTACATCCTATAAAGAAAAAAAACAATTTACATTTTAGTAACAAAACATGTAGTTCTATGTGAATTATTTTATACCTTGAAATGAATACAGAACAATCCTAGACAATCTAACGCAATGAGACCAATTTCTGTTGCCATATTTGCTTCTAATAAAACTTGATGTACTTTTCCACTATCAGTTTCAACAAGATTTTCTCTAATTGTAGTGTTATGAGGTTGTAAAGTACTAGTAGCAGGTCCTTCGGTGGAAAAGTCGGGCGGTGCCATTCTGGCTGGCAATGTCATTGCTTTTACTGTTCGAGGTTTCCCACAATTGTTTGCGACATTTGTAGTTATTTGTCTTTTTCCAATGTACTTAAAATGGTGCAGACTCATTCTAAGAAAAGGAAAGAACCCCAATAATAAATATTCCATAGTATAGAAAAAGATACAGCATAATCAATAATACGTACTCTATTACTGAAAAGAAGTTTAAAATTTCACAATCGCTACATTGCTGCCACCAAGCAATGACCTGATGATCGCCTAAATACTTTATAACAAATAGGAAACAAAGCAATATGTCTCTAACTTCAGACGATTGCAATTTATCACATCTAGGCGATGATTGTGTAACACTCAAGGAACGTGAGTGTCTCTTTTTCTCGCCAGTACCGTTTTCGATAGGTTCACGGATTATAGTAGTTTCTTGCGATATATTTGACTGAGAGGCGCCAGACATAGTTGAGGTATCTGATTCTATACTAGTACAGGAGTAACCATTAACCAAACCTTGTCCGGCTATGGCAGCGAAGTATGTAGAATCTCGCAGATGCATGGACGCCCTTATTGGAGATTGCGTATCCAAATGTAACGTGAGCCTATGTATATTATTTTATATAAATTATACCATTTCTTCGTTTACATATATGAAAAATTTACCGTTATAACGCTGAAACACAAACCTATGAATTGACTTTGGAGTTCCAGTAGTTGTTGTATTGCTACTAGTATCCTTGTTTGCTAAAAATGAACTACTAGTTGATATTCTATTGGTACCATTTTGTTTAGTATCAGCTTTATTATCATGTACGGATTGCAGTCGATGTAAATTTTCCAATACAATACCCAGCCATGGTATGTAAATAGATGCTATTCTACTTAATTGACCCTACGATAATAAAATACATTTAATTACAAACCAATTTAATTAAAAGATAGTTGGTTTATAACCGCGTTAATTATGACATTGTCTTTTATTAGGAGGCATTTCATATTAAATTTTAATTATTATACATAATACAAAATGAAGTAGCAATTCCGTTTTCATCAATAAACATTATATGTTAGATAATAGAACAATAACATAATGTATTTGTATTCTTTTTAATTAGTGACAATTTAAAAACGCCTGTATTTAATATTTAACAAATAAATTAACCTTACCTTATTCTGATATCTATCATCAAGTTCATGTTTCGCTACTAAATCTCTTAACGTAGCTATCGCGACTTTTCGTATTTGTACAATTTCGCTTAGGGATGTTTTAACTTCTTGCATCAAGAGTCCAACCAGAAAGTGATGTTTACAGAAATCTTCGGATAAACAGTATTCGCTCATTAGATCTGTAACGAATAATTTAAATTAATAAGTTCGTTCTATTTAAATTATTTTTAAATTATATGAAAACAAGAAAATATGCACATACATAAGGGCCACCTAAAAACATTATAAATTGAACGAAATTAAAATAGCTTAAATGAAATTATTTAATAGATTGCTACAAACTCTTAACTATGTCATATGCAATTAATTTTCAGAACGAGTAAATAAAATTGTTTTTGACTGAAATTGTTTATTATTTAATAATAGTATAATTATTCCACTAATCGTACTTGAAATATTTGCAAGTTCGTGCAGTTTTTATTATATAAAGATATTTTCAAGAAGTAAACATCATGTCAAAATAATATTAAAAAAATTTGGGGCTGAGTAATAAAACATGGTATATAATAGAAAACGTGTGAATTGTGTGCGAAGACTATTATTTTATGCGAACGCTATGTTGTATAAGTAATAAATGTTTTGTAATTCCAAACACTCCACAGCCATCAGTGCATTTCAATGATATAACAAACCAGGCTTGCGTTGCAACAAATACGAGTACCATGAAAAATATTTGATAAAAATCTAGTGATTGATAGTGATTAATGTTAAGAAAATTATGTGCAGCTCCCACTCACTATGGCTACAATAACAAACCACAATAAAGACGGGAGTGAATGAACATGACTTAACATACCATCACATTCTGGATCACTCTCTGTATCTTCTGAATAAAGCACAAAATGATTATGTTATAAAGTTGGAAATACAGAATATGTAAACGGTACTAGTTTCACTTTTACCTCTGGAAGTGATACGCGATTGCATCATTGGCAAGTTGAAAGACGCATAATGCTCGTGGGAACATATTATTTGCAAGAACGTAAATTTGAAGTCGTGCAGCGTACGTTGGTCTCCGGGAGAAAAATTATCCATATACGAATTGATGAGACGGAACACAAACCCACGATCCATAAACGTAAGACATCGCTATTTTAGAATATATAAAATTAACATTTAAATGCATTAAAGTATATATGTATAATGCCATATAATTTGCTTACTTTTAGAAACTGCGCGAGACTTTTATTTAATTCGTGCGTTTCAACGGGCATTTCTTTATATTTGGTCATAAGGTAAGGCATAATAACTTCTACTAAACTTCGAATTTTTTCGTGGTATTCCTTAGAAAACCTTTCGTTCCTATGCATCTGTTAAATAATTTGGTTAAACCAAAATCTTTTTCATACATTATGTTCATTAATACATATTTCATTCAAATAAAACGTCACCTTTATTCTTCCCGTCGAAAGTAAATGTTGTGCCATACTTTTGATCATTATTTCGAAAAAGAAACTGGAGTGATGCATAAATTTATTTACTACTAAAAAATCGGTATTACTTGGCTGTAATAATGTAGGAAGATGTTTTCCTAATTGCTCGTGGACAGTTATACTGCCGTTTCCTTGCGAAGGCGATACAAACACAAACTAGAAAACATATTAATGTAATATTAACCATACCATAGATTAAAAATATATGTATAAATGCTGTTCTTTCTAATTCTGCAGTTTTCGTAGTGAAAATCGGCGATTAATACCGCGATATAAACCCTTGTTAGTATTATTTCGAAAAACTGAATTTATCAGCAAATCTTACCTTAATGTAAGCTTGAAGTGTTTCTTTTCTCCCAGCTTCGTGCACCATGTTTATAAAATGAATTAAAACTCTTATAATAAATAACCCAACTTCTTCGTTTGTAGTATGAGTTAATAATGTAAACAATTGGTTCAATATCGTAGGAAGAAATGTGATAACAGTAACCAGCTGTACTGCATGAGCAGCTTTTAATATTTTGCACGTTTCCGAATCTGCTGGCATTGCTCCCAGTTTAGTGTCCAGGATTCGTTCCATGTGAGCAAACAAATTATGCAAATGTACATCCCGTGTAAATACGGTTGAAATCAATTGAAATGCTACTGTGAACACTGGACGTTGATAGTCAATCCATATAATTTCCGGTCCCGCGTTCTACAGCAACATAAAAATCATTATTGGAACATTCAAAAATATTTTATGTACAATTTTACGTGATCTTATTCTTACCCCTTTTCCAAGCCCAAGTGGTTGTATTGAAAGATATCCTGGAGGTAAATATGTTGCTACGGGTAATGCTTGTACGTTTATATCCATATCCACGTTTAATCTATACAAAATATATATTCTTATTCTATAACTGTAAAGTCGTAAATTAAACTCTCTATACTGTTATTTCAAAGTCTATTATTTTACATTTCGTAGAACACATAAAGAGCTTAAGAATTTATTCATGAACCGATATTGTTGTAAACGCTTCGAGGTTTAATGAAAACTAACATAAACAAAGATTTTCACCTCTCGAATGTAAAGGGTTAATTCATATATTATCGAGCTAATTCAAGATACATAATAGATATTTTATATTAATTTGTGATGTAGGAATTTTGTAGAAACTTCTTTAAAATGTACATCATACCTTCCCTTATACAACAAGGGAGACCAAGCGTATCCAACACAGTTTTCCACTCCATTTTCTTTCTTCTTGTTCATATCACAACTTATATGATAAAAGGAAAAAAGTAAATGGTGCCTGGAATGAAGTTTCGTCGGTAGTCGTATTTTAATTTCTTCATACCAGGAAGGAACTGCATTATGATGTAAAACTGCACAACATGCACGTAAACATAAAAGTGGTGCACCAGGTCTTCCATATATACACTATTACAAGAACAGATAGAAAATATTAAAAATAATTTAACGATTTTTAAAGCAAATCAATTAATTACCTTATTCGATGTATAAAAAAAATGTAATACACGTACTCTTTACACATTATACGTACTCTTAAAGGCGTAGTATTTTCACTATCATCATCCCGTAATTCAACGATGCAAGCAATATTTCTAGCTCTTGTAAATATCTTTTGAGCGTCGAAGCAAAGGGTTTGCGGATACACATAAAGATGGTTAATATACGTTGTGTAAGGATGAACGTCTTTTTCGGAAGTACTTTCAAACTCTGCAACTTCAAGAATCGGTTCAGACGTTGGTGGTAATGGAAATGGCTTTAAAGCTGCTAAGGACGTGGACAGTGTATCTAGAAATGAAAAGAAAATTAATCGTTATATTATTCATTCGTTTGTAGATATGAAAAATATTTAATTAATTAAATACATACTGTCAGGTAATTCTGTAATTGACTCAATTTTTATTTTTAACCAACCAGGTATCACAGTCAATTTACTAAGTTTTTCAGGTCTAAAATAAAGAAAAATATTCATAGATATTTTTACATAAATTAATACGTGTTTTTTCGATACATACTTTCTGTACTCTGAAAGAAGTTTTAGTAATTCGTCATCTTTAATTTTATTTCCTTCCTGTCTATATATTGCCGGAAAATCTGACGATGTATCCAATTCATTACTATATAATCTAAATAACGGTCTGGCAGCCCATGCAAAAGGCATTCTGTAATTCCCCAGTCTAAAAAGCACACATCAAATTAAGCAGAATTCTCCGAACATTTATTATTTATATAATTTTCAATACATCTATAATATATAAGTACTTACCTTTGGCAACATGCTCTAACTTGTTTGTGCACTTTCAAACCTAATCGCGGATCTTTTGTAGCTCTCAAATATGGTTCCGAAGTTTGGCATATGTTCCCTTGTAATATTTTATCTATTCTTACAACCAAGAATATATCAGGGTGAGGATTACTAATACTAAATATGGCCTGTAAAAGTAACAAAAAAACTGTGATTAACAATCAACAAAACGCTAATGTTAATTATACTTAAAAAATTTTTGATAAACAAACCTGTTTTGGATATTTAATCCAATCTAATGGTATGTTTTTTAAATCGTCTGGTAATTTTAAATTTTCTGTAGATTCTGTCATAATACCTACAGGACTTAATTCTTTTACCATTCCCTGAACAACTTCGTGATTAATGTCAAAATGGAAGTTTTCCGTAAGTTTTCTACCATTTCTTGCATCATAAAGACTTAATGTTGTTTGATATGGTTCCACCTGGCACAATGATTCTTTTTCATCTATCGGTGCTTGTAATCTAAATTTAAGACTTTCACATTTTACAAAAATTCTGTGTCCAAATTGTTCTTTGTACGGATCGATATTCTGCTCGTTAGAATTACCCGATTGTTGCTTACTATGTGGAATATGAGGGTAAATACTGAACAATCTTTTGCGATTTTCACGTCTAGCTAATGCTATACTCGTATCGGTTTCGCGTGAATATTTAATCAACTGTGGATTCATGCTTTGCTCTAAGCCTTTTAATGTTCCATAAACCTGCGATTAAATTTAATTTTTAACAAATTTCATTTTAAAAACCGCTATTTACCACTTATTTTTATATTAAAAATACCTGTATAGGTTGTGGAGAAGGAGGGGGTGTATTACATGCTCTTTCTAACGAAGCAGCACGCTTTTCTTCTTGTTGTTTATAATGTTGTAGTACTGAACTCAATTTTAATAACCAATCCTGCATATCTGTCTCATTGTCTGCTGCTAAAGTATATGATTTATTATGAGTCCCGCTCATTCTTAACTCAAAACAATACCTTCCACGTTTTGGATTCCTAACAACTTCGGTGCAAAAGTCCATTACTATTGTTAACTTTGCTTCTCCTTTCTTTTCATCTTTAAATAGTTCAAGAATATAGGTGCCATCAACTTCTTGTCTGAGGTGACAAAATCGTCGTTTGAATGATTTTGAACCAATATTCGCAAACATACGATCGCTGCTGCCAATTTCTGGCCCTTTCATTAAATAGCCTTCTTTTGTTATTCCATTACTCTTTGTTAAATCCTAATGAAATTAATTAATTCGTTTGACTTTTTATACTTTACCATACTTGTTTATCTAATACTTCATAATAATATGCAAGGGAAAATGAAAATGATTAAAAAACGTAAAAAAAAACATTTTTAATAATATTGTAGGCTAAATTGTTTCTGTAAAAAGAACAACTTGTATAAGGAAGAAAATATAAAATCTATTTCTAGAAAGAACAATGTTCTACGATACATGTTCTAAGATATTGTAAAAGTACAATTTTATATCCTGCAAATAATGGGGAAGTCATACTCTATCAATACTTTAGGTGCCAAGCAAACCCAAATTTTGGCCACTTTCTACCATTGTCCTTTATATGCTTGATTTATACATTTACTATTGTAAATTATTGAACAGATATTGATATATTTGATATTTTAATCTATTGCTCTAAGCATGCAATCTGATAAACACTGCAGTAAAGAATATTAATTTTTACGCAATATTTAAAAGCAGAATATTTTACCTCATCAACTTGGTCTACTTCTGTATCAATTTCATACACTTCGTCTTTTAGATCATCTGCTTTTGCTATTCTATAAAAATAAAAATATACAAATAAACTAAATTTTACTGGAAACTTTAAATTTACTTAACTAAAATGTAAGTATTAAAATACCCTTTATCTGCCTAAAACATATTCCTCAATTTTAATTTTTAAGTTTCATGTAGAATAATTAAAATATTTATAATTGAATTTACTGCATAAATTTAATACCTTAAAACATGCACTATTTGTAAAAGTTTAATAAAGGCATTGTTTATAAGAATTAAATAATGATAGTTTACATCATCACTTGCAAGGAAATTCATATTAAATTAATATGAATACCCCTGCAAGCGATGATATAAAAACATACTTAGGTAATTCAAGATAAGTTCCACTATATGCTGAATATTTATAATGTATAAGGTTCCAATTAGATGTGTAACTTCGCAAACATTCTTTTGTAAGAAGATTTTCTCCTTCTTCCTCATTATCCGAAACCTGTGGTACTGTTGGTACAAGAGTACGATATCTTCTAGGCAATACCACTTGCTGTAGAAAAAAGGTATCAGAATGCTATGATTACTTTTCAAAACAATTATACTAATTGTATTAAATTGTTATTATAATTTATTATCAAAATCAACAGCAATCAAAGAAATTAACATAGTATTTGAGATGTTACATTTGTATAAATAATAATAAAACATGAAAAGCAAATGAATTCTACTATGATATAGCTATTAACATCCTGTATATGAATTCATAACAATTTATCTACTCATACAACGGATGCAGGTTCAGTGATATAGATAAGAAACATTAAGTTTAAACTCACCGAAACATCATCCTGAGGATAAAGTAGAAGTTCTCTCTGTGGATCATTTTGTAATAAAGTTTTATTCTTTAATACAAAACTTTCAAAATCGATTGGTTCTACTAGATGTGGCTTATTCTGAAAATAAATGTATGTATTATAAAATAAATGATAATAAATCAACAAAGACAAAACATTCTGTAAAAAATAAAGGATCAAATTATAGATTTTTGTTACAATGGTAAATGGATCAAACAAGCATACCCGAAAAGAATACAATTTATCTTTAATTCAAGGAAATAATTAATGAGTCAAGGCATTACAAGATACCATAAATGGACATGTTTCAATGCGAATAACATTATCCTTAAAAGAAATGGAACTTTATGACCTCGAGTCTATTGGAAAAAAATGTAAAAATAACAATTTCAACAAGATATTTTAAACAAAAATTGATTAAATGTTACTCTGCTAAATCTTAGATTAAAAATATAATGGAGAATACATACTAATTATCATGAATAATGAATTAACGAATCCTGTAATAAATAATATGCAGAACAGCAAATATTCGTTGGTGTTAACTGTTGTTGCATACTTTGAAATACAAGCCAAAAATTGTTAGCTACTATCGAGCGGCAAAAGGTGTAGGGTTGAAGATGTCAGGAGACCTACCTGTACAGTGCTCTCGCGTACTACCTGAGAGACGGTCTCTCGTAATTGAGCGGCCATGCCTGGCTTACCCAAGCCACGAGTAAACTTTCTTTCGCTCATCTTTGCCAATGACACATCGATCTCATCACCGTACACCAACAAGGATAGTCACAAACATCACGCATACTCATTACACACGATCGTGGTAACCGCTCATTATGGCCGCGGCCATATTTACGCGGCTTCTAAGCTCACGTCGTAGCAACGCATGACAGCTCTCCCTATGCAGTTTGCAGAGCGTAATATAATCGCTGTAAACTATATCCGGTGACCCTATGTATTAGATCTGATATAATAAGCCTAATCGAGGCCTAAGGCAAACGACCTGATTACTCTCATTTTGATGAACTCTAACAATATTCTACTTTTCTTATTTATTTATCAAAAGCATAAATTTCTCCTTCTATTTATTATTAATTAATATTAAATACTGCAACTTTCAAAATCACTATTTTTAATTTCAAAATCGAATAACTTAACAATTAATGTTCTGGTATCTATTACTGCTTCTCTTAAAATGTGTGTTTGACCGAATTACTAACACCCCAATTATCATGAATTGGCCAGAACAAATAATGTCCCAATCTGGCCATGAATTCAAATATTAATTATTATTAAGTTCATGTAAAATAAATCAGGAACAATGTACTAAAAATTATATCGACGAATACCTTTTTTAAAACGTTTAAAAAGTTAGCGAGTTTTCGTTAATTCCTTACAATTTAGTTAAGGAGTAATTTTTGTATTTTTCTCAATAAAAATCTAAGGTTTTTGCTTATTAATGATTTAACTAATAATAGCTTATTTGAAGCTGCCAAAATTATTCGAGTTGTGACTTATGAAATAAAAACGTATAACACACTACAAAACCAGATTTGGGCAAATTTTATTTGCGATCAGCGAATATAAATTTTAAATTTGTTCGTAAACTAATTTCCACATACGTTTCATTTGTAAATTCATGAATAAATTAACAAATTTTTTAACCCAATATTCAGATGAACAAAATCGTGGGTAAAAACTAGTTTACGAATAAATCTAACATTTTTATTTGTTATTTATACAATTCTGAAAACTTCGCCTAACATTAAATTACGGCGTGAACGCAAGGGTTGTTCTATAGCAACATTTATAATTCGGTATCGTAGCTACACTGCTGTAGATGCCAGGCACTGTAAAAATTAAGTTCCGCTAAATACGATTTTTTAAAACATCTCGAACGAACGACCCGTAGAAATATTTTGTCGACTTATTAATGTAAACTGTATTTGCGTTTCGTGTTCGGTTGCGTCCACGTTTTCTCAAATTTCTACCAAAACTGGATTGATTCAAGGTGTTTTACACGATATATTATGGATGACGAGTTTGAAGACAGGATACTGTATCAGGTGACAGAAATAATTAATCCTAACGTTATTTCTTTGTTTAATAAAAAATCACTTTAGAATTGAAAGAGATTCGTCGTATAGATTTACAATTTTCGTGTCGCATAATTCGTATTAAAAAATAGTCTCATTTGGTTGCTCTCCTTTCCTTTTTTTTTTATACGATGCACATTTTAAGCAGGGATTCGAATAGATAAGACTTATTATTTGACAGTACAATGGTAGATAGTAAAATACAATAATCATAACAGATTTTAATATAATGGTATGTTGTACCAGACTAATATTTGCATTTTTATCATAACATTAACCACTAACAATAATTGTGTGTACACCTTTGTAATTGTGAAACAGACATACGTATCACACATGAAGCTAGTGTCAAAGTTTGCAGTGGGTATTCCTACTGGATTAAATGCTGGGATAAATACTCCATTGGGCTATTTTTGGAGGATTATGCGAGCTTACGCATTGAAGCCAGAAGTATTAATTTGTGGAATAGTTTTGGCAATAATTCTGTTTTACATACAAGCAGTTGATGTATGGAGTCGATCATTATTAGGAAGAATTCAATATACGCTTGGCCGTACTACATCAAGAGTATTTAAATTATAAAAATTAGTTAATAATTATCTTACTTATTTAAATACAAATATTTACTATAATTTCTTCATTTTTAATAGATATCAAAACTACAGTTTTTAGTCAATGATTCTGTAAACAATGGGGTAAAACTCAGTTGGGAATTAAAACAAGGATATATTGCTGCATATGCTGTACAAGGTCATAGAGCTCACATGGAAGATCGTTTTGTGGTGAAAGAAGACATGAATAACACAGGTGTATCATTGTTTGCAGTATTTGATGGTCATGGAGGAGACGTAAGTTCATAAATATTCAATAATATAATTTATTTAAGTATCGAATAAACTTAATCAATTGTCTAAAAACCAGATATATTAAAAAATCTATGTTTTAATATTAAACAATTCATACAACATAAATTTTCTATTGCCTTTTTATGATCTTATATGATCATTATCTTCCAAAATTACAGATAAAAAGATCAGGAATAAGGTAAAATAAGTATATTTAATAACTGTATAGTTACATGAAAATAATAACAAAATAGTGGCAATTAAATTAAACAACCATCAAATAAAATTATCAAATTCAGTGAGAGTATAATGCATTTATTGTATAAGTGTATTATTTTATAACTAAATATATTCATATTATTTACTTAGATTATACATGAACATACAAAGTATTCGCAATATTTTTATCTAGCAATTGCTTTGTTTAATCACAATTGCTTAGCTTATATAGAAAACTTAATGAGTATTGTCATAATGGTGTTTATTACATGAAATATTTCTATAAAAACATAGTAGTGCATGAAGTAATTTAGACAGATGATAAGATATTTATTACAAGAATAGTGTTTTACACTTTGCATACACTTAATAGATTGTTATAGTAAAAAATAGATATCAGTGTATGATAAAAAATTAATTATAGAATTTGTATTTTTTAATAATTCATGGTATTTTCAATAAAGAAATCTGTTTCTTCATACACTGATATCTTTTTAAGATATAGCAATATGTAAATAATAGATAACTGCACTATGAAAATTATTAAAATGATAATTCGTATAGTCAGTATTTAATTACAACAGAAAGGATTACAAAGGCAAATGATATCATTAAATAATATAAAATACATTAATATATTAAGTCATGCTATACAGGGTATTTCACCTAACTAGACCACCTTAAATATATCGCTTATTTTGTATGATAGAAAAAAAAGTCAAGGGGAGAAAGTATTCTGTTCGAAGGCGCCAATACGGTGATGGATCGAATTTTTTTTTCAAGGTCATTTTTTTCGAGATTTCAAGGTCATCGTATTTTTTTGAAATGGGACCACATATTTTCGCTACAACAGTCTTATAGCTTATAAAAAGACGAATCCAACGATGTACGATATGTTGACCTTCACGTGACCTTTAGCGAAGGAATTATGAAATGTTTGTCAGTAACTTCAGTACGCGTTCGGAGACGGTAAATGAAGGAATTTCAATTTCATTGAAACAGTCTTAAATTAAAGGTTTATTTTAGAAGGTGTTCAAAATGTGCACCATGAACCTGGATACATTTTTGGAGGCGGTAAATAAATTCTTGCTGAACACTTTTCAGTTGTTCTACAGTAATTGATCTACATGCATGTAGAATCCTTTGTCGCATGTTTTCTGCTGTTGTGGGAATATCATTGTAAACTGTATTTTTTAGGTGCCCCCACAGAAAGAAATCAAGTGGCGTAAGATCCGGCGATCATAAAATCATTTCCACTTTTTCTGCTGTAGTGTACATGATGGAGAATCTTATTACACTGCTATCGATACCGCAACTTGTTGTGTACGTCGCGGCTTTTTGACAACGCGCTATTGACCCGCTTCGGTCATTCCCCTCTTACAATAATAATGCTTGTAAACATACTTCAACCGTTGAAAGGAGAATATGAATATCTATTTATAAGCACCAGAAACAATTACACGGTACACTGTTTCAATGAAATTGAAATTCCTTCATTTACCGTCTCCGAACGCGTACTGAAGTTACTGACAAACATTTCATAATTCCTTCGCTAAAGGTCACGTGAAGGTCAACATATCGCACATCGTTGGATTCGTCTTTTTATAAGCTATAAGACTGTTGTAGCGAAAATATGTGGTCCCATTTAAAAAAAATACGATGACCTTGAAATCTCGAAAAAAATGACCTTGAAAAAAAAATTCGATTCATCACCGTATTGGCGCCTTCGAACAGAATACTTTCTCCCCTTGACTTTTTTTTCTATCATACAAAATAAGCGATATATTTAAGGTGGTCAAGTTAGGTGAAATACCCTGTATAATACTACGAATGTATTTGTTATTTGCAAGTATAAAATAGATTTAGAACATATTCTTTTTCACAGTTTGCAGCAAATTATGCATATGATAATCTTATTCCAAACATTAATAAAAAAGTGATTGAATTAAAAGATATGATAGCTGGTAGAGAACCATGTACATCGGAAGACATAATTAATGTTGAAGAAGAACAGAAAGATGAAACAAGCGATACAGCAATTCCTGAACGTAAAAGGTCTTTTCGCAAGACACTGAGCACATCATTGACAGATGAGTTTATGAAGAAGAGTGTCGGTGTAACTGATCCAGAGTTACTTGATAAGCTAGATAGTTTACAGAGACCAATTACGAGAGAAGTATGATTAATATTAGATATCATTTGTGGAAGTGTCAGAAAATACATTTTTTATTGTCATTTCAAGATAAGACCATGCAGAACAACGAAAAAACCACCGAAAGTAGATATTACGAATTATCTTGATGGAAATAAAATAAATTATGGTAAATTACTAACTGATGAAGTGTTAGAAGTCGATCGATTATTAGTCAAAACTGCTAAGAAGAACATGGATGTAGCTGGTAATAATTTATTTAAGACTCATATTATTTACCAAAAGATCAAAATAATTTTATAAAATTTATGTGGATTTAGGTACAACTGCCTTAATTGCTCTGTTAGAAGACAATAAATTGATTGTAGCAAATGTTGGTGATTCGAGGGGCGTAATGTGCGATGGAAAAGGCAATGCAATACCTTTGTCATTTGACCATAAACCTCAACAAGTATGTAGTTCTTATGCAAACCTCTGTCTCACATTATAACAAATTTGTTTCACCTAATATAAAAATACGTTTTCCTGTGTAATGAAAATTATTTTCAGGAAAGAGAAAGGAAAAGAATATCCAAAGCTGGTGGTTTAGTAACATTTAACGGTGTATGGAGAGTAGCTGGTATATTAGCTACATCTCGAGCTTTGGGAGATTATCCACTGAAGGATAAAAAACTAGTAATTGCTGATCCAGATATTTTAACTTTTGATCTCAGTGATCATAATCCAATGTTTATCGTTCTGGCATCAGATGGATTATGGGATACTTTTACAAATGAAGAGGCTGTGGCATTCATTAAAGAACGTATAAATGAACCACATTTTGGGGCGAAAAGTATTACCCTGCAAAGCTATTATAGGTAATATAAAGCAACATTACTATTATATTAGATGTTTATTTATAAAATTCGTTTACCAAGTACTTGGGATTTTTTAAATATACAGGGGTTCTGCAGACAATATTACTGTGGTTGTAATCAATTTAAGAGATCGTAAATACGGTACATCAGAGGCCAAAAAGAATGAATAATATTTTAATCTTACTACAAATTTAGAATGTTTTTCCAAAGATATTCTAGTCAATAATTACAAATTAACGATTATGTAAGTCTGGGAAAAAATAAGTGTATATACTTTAAAATGTATCTATACTACCGAAAAATGTGATGTTTCGACCATTCTTAAAGAGTCTTCTTTTGTAGAATGCAGCATCGCTTAATTTTATTAACTCTCCTTCAGCCAGAACTGGGTCATTTTAACCGAACGAGAGTTAAAAAGTTACTTGTTGCATTGATTGTATCTATGTATTATATTTAATATTGTATGCAATTGCATTCTGTAACTTGCTTCATTTATTAACTAATACTTATTAATACATTTATCATAAAGAGCAATATTACCTGAAACTTGCTTATACAATAGTGGAGTTGCGTTATATCACCGCATACCACGCTACAAGAGAGGAAACTTCTTAAAAATAACGATGCACTAAATGTCCTTCCCACGTAAAAATGAGCGTAGTAGATAGAATGAATCACTGCCTCATTAAGCTTACATTACCACCAACTACCGTGGTAGGAGAATGGCATTCACGTATGTGGAAATCCGTGTAAAGGAGAAGTCGAACAGACGGTGATATAACGCAACACTACTGTACTAAGTATATGTATGTGTACCATGCTTTTAATATTGTTTTCGTTCCCGAATATAAATTTTTCTATTTCACTTGCAGCGTATTTCTACAAGATTGTACGTAAAAAATGTGCATATTATGCATTATTATTGTAATAACGACGTAAATATATGTAGTGTAAATAAAATTAAATACTACGATGTGATTCTTAAATGACATGAGTTTTGTGTACAAACGTGACCACGACATTTATTTTTGTATAAACTGGAATGCATGAATTCTGTAAATGTGTGATCTGGTAGCTTACATTTAAGTACTGTGAAACCTCTGTATAATAACGAACGTTATACTTATGCAATTAATAATGAAAATAACCGATTTAAATGTAGGTTCTCTTATAATAATATGATACGGAATTCTAATCGTTAAAAGAATCCTTTGCTTTGGATGGGATTTTTTAAAAAGAGTTAGTGATTGAAAATTGTTTCCCCTGCTTTAACTGATTATAACTGTATTGCAAATTCTCTAATACTTCTATAGTAATTCGTGTAACTTTAATGCTTCGTTCTGTGAAAAGTTCATATTCGTTAATTTTGTTCTTTAACATTTGTGCAATTCGAATTATTTTGAAAAACTTTTCTAATGTCTTTTTTTTTTTTTACTGACCGCGGATACGGAGGTTTCACTGTATGTTAAATTGAATGATTAGTAAACATTGAAGTGTAATACTTTGTATCTACATAGCTAACAACATTCAAATGTAATAGTTTATAATTATATGTATTAAAAATGGTGGAAAATAAAAGTATAATGTAAATATGAATAAAACATATAATATTTAGTTCGTCATAATAAATTGATACGGTTATCTCAAAACATATCGAGGAAAATCATTATTAATTAATTTCTGCAACTATTAATTCTACTGTTTCGTTTATATTATAAAAATAAGAACTCTTCTTATTGAAAAATGCCTAGCGTGCACGATACCGGCAAAGAGTGGACTCTCATTTTAATTTATTAATTTTCAATCTTAAAATATTTTGATTTTGAAAAATCGTATTAATAATATACATATGTACGCTCATACATAGGAATAATAAAAAAAAATTCTTTTTTTTCAATAATTAAAATATGATCAGAGGGTCTCTTTACAAAATTTTTTTTTCATTATGGGTACTTTGCTTATGTGTACCTACATAGGTCGGAAAGTAAAAATGCCTGGGCAGTCGAGAATCCAAATCGTATGCCATTGACGGAAGGTCGGATTTCAGTTGGTTAGAGCGAGAAGGCAAATGTGAGCCTTTCTCTCTCGACTCCCACGAGGCGGTCCGAAATTACTTTGGACAGCTTCGGAGAATCGAGAAAGAGAGCATGCGTCAGTTTGCCTTTGTCGACTTTCCGAAACTACGAGCTCCCGTACACGTGATCTGGCACCTCTGGTGGCAACTGCTTCTACGCTCGCATTGGGAACGGATGCATGTACAGTTTGTAAAAATAAAGAGTTTTGTGTTCCACGTCCATATTGGACAACATACCGCAGTGTTTATTTAATTGAGTCATACTCTCCGTTCGACAACACATCATACATGTGTATAGTAGGCTACGCCCCTACAATTAAATTTCAAAAGTTCCGTTATTTTTCCGACATACTGTGTAATGCAAGCGTAAACGATATTTGAAACGTGGATTATTTTAGAAAAAATTCATAAATTAAAAGGTCATACGAGAGAATATTAATATACATATAAGAAGATATTACAAACTCGTAGATTTACAAGGATAAGCAACAATTCGGACGATTTTTTTTTAATGATACCAGGCTTAAATTATAGGGCTAATGAATATAAATGAACTATAGGATATTCGGTGTAGTTGGTCAGTTACTTTTACAACAAAAATAATGATAAACATTAAAATTTTCAAAATCGCATATAATTAAAAATAATTCAAAAGAGATTGATATTTTCATAAAAAACATTGGCATACAAGTTTTTCTTTTTTATAATTTCAATGTTTAAGGATATTTTTTATAAACTGGTAGTTAACTATACCCAATATTCTGAAATTTGTTTATCTAGATATGAACTTACTATTTAAATCTGGTCCTATTAAAAATCCATTTGTATGAATTCTGGTTTTATTACTTAACATGTATTATATTTATACTTTAAAGAAAAATAAATAAATTTATTTCCTTAGCATTATAGTTGATTATATTTAAAACAGATTATATAAAAAAATTATGTTATTTGTCAGACCATTTTTAAATATACATATAATTACCAAGTAATTCAATTATTTCATTTAGTTAGTATACATTAATATTAGTTTAGTTAGTATACAAAAGTAAGCATATACTTTATTGTATGCAAAAACGAATATTTCTTTACGAACAGCAGTTTTCTTGTATCAAAATTTGTATATTGTATTAACAATGCATAGATCACTCAAGTCCGAAAAATTTAAATATAAGTAATATATACAATATTTCAATTGTTTGGTATAAATTATTTTATTCTTCAACATCTAGTACCGGAATAGCACTAGTTTAATTCAAATATACGTATTCAATGAAAAGTCGTGTTTTAGTTTAATATGTGTATGAATGGACTGTCCAGACTATTATATACATGTTTCATATATCGCAGATAGATCTTAATTGATGATTAAATGTCAACCAAGCAGTTCAAAATCTTCATCAGAAGAATCACACTGTGGATCTATGTCTTCAAAATCTAAAACTACAATAATTTTTTTTTAAACTGGCTATTATAAATCAAATTTACTGAGTGTAACATTGTATAGCATCTTCAATCACAAAATGAAAAAATGAACTCTATTATTGAGAATTTAATTCATTTTAGATCCCCTGCATATTACAGTAGTGCCCACTTAAATGTCCGCCCTCGGGACCGGTCGAGGTCACTTGAGTAGGCATGGTTACTTCTCAGAATTCAACGGAGATAAGGGAAGAGGATAAAAGTGCGAGTGAGATACGATAGCTGGCACTCGAAACCATATATGTACCTACATATATACAATGTATCGATAACGACTGGCGTCAAGTTACGCTCGACATGCTCGACGTTCGAAGCCACTTGGCTTCCAAGGATTGGTGGGGATAACCGCGCACACTTAAGTGGGCAAAAGTGCGGTCAGTTAAGTGGGCACTACTGTATTAATAAATTATTTTAAATTCATAATAAAAAATGTCTTATTTATGGTAGAAACTTTAAAGTAAAGGAAATGTGCAAAATATTACTTTCTTTTCTACCTTATATGCATATAAAGTAACTTACAACTTGTTGCGGCTATTGCTTCCGAAGCAGCATCATCGGCTGGAGACCAGTGCACTAATCTCTCTGCACATAATTCAAGTAGGGGTTGCTTTTCAGGTGTGATCAATTCTTCTTGCATCGACTTACACAACGATTTAAAATCTTTTTCAGATGCGCAGAAGAAACACTAAAAAGAAAAAGAATATTACTTACCTACACCATTAAAAACTAATTCACCCATAATTAACAAGCTTAAGTATTTACTAACAAGTGCTACAGAAGGATCTATCCCTGTAATGGGGATATGACTAGCAGACTTGCAGTGATAGGTGATATCCATTTCAATTTCTTCCTCTTCTATTTTTTTTCCAATGCTACCTGATCTCTGTGTTGTGTGAGGATCTAAGTAAATTACTTCATTTTCTGTAAATAAAAATAATGTAAATATTTTACATATATTTTTATGTAGTTTGATTTATTAAAACAACTTGGAAAGTTGCACGTACCAACACATCCTATGAAATACAATGCAAGATTGGGTTTTCCTCCTATTACTCCTAAAGATTGTGGAATTTTGAATGAAGTCTGAAAAATTATAGGTATGAATAGAATATCCTTAATTTCATTCGTGTTTCAGTTCATCTCTAGGCATTCATGCAAGAACATTTATTTCTTTATTACTTTAAGCCCATTAATGTAGATAGGATTAATCTCGTTTAATCCGAGACGGAGCGGTATTAAAAGTAATAAAGGCTTCCATTGGCTAGGTGCTTTCAATGGTATATCACCATCTGCTTCTGCTGTTGTACCTCCTTCTACTCTACATTGCCTTACTGTAAATGTTCATGAAATGATAAGCATTTTGCCAAAATTAACATTAAATTTATATGTGTACTAAAAATTATCAAAGAATGTATACAACACTTACAGATATCGTTAACTATTATTGTATGGTCCAAAGCCACGTGTATTGTGATTGAGCTCCATTCATCATACACAACTAACTTTCTGAAAATTATGATCCAATAATATGACATTTTTACATATACAAGCATTTGAAATATCAAAAATATGTACTTTAATACTTGTGCTATTGTGTTAGGTCCAAACCATTGTCCCAGTTCTTTCCCTTCGGATGCTCCCATTAATGCAATTTGATGAATAGAATATGCAGCAATTCTTTTGTCTTCAAAGCGTTCCAGAATTTTCAAGTATGTGCTATTTTTTGTTTCTGAGGTCCATTGCCAGTCTCTACCTAGTTTTATACATATGTTATATAATATAGTACAAAGCCATTTTGTTCCTTAACCCTTTTGATATTATCTGTCACTATAATCACCAATTAAAATTTTGTGTGTATTATTAAACAATTTTTTAAATTACATTATTCTGATGAGCATTTATTTCTAATTCTTTAAATAGGAGGAATAAAATTTATAAAGTAGGAAAGATTTAGAAAATACTTGTCATATTTAAGCTTAAGTTAAATATGAATTACCTAAGTGTAATGTGATTAAGGCTTGGGCAAGGACCATTTGTCCACATCTTAACATGCAACCCCACCCTTTGTCAGATGTAAATGCAGAATTGTAACCACCAATAGGTACAAAACCTTTGCGATAAGTGAACCATAATTTAGACCGTATATCCCTACGAATCGCATCAAGTTCTGAAATTGAAAATCTTATACATCAAATTTAATGAAGATTTCTTTATTATAATTAACTATTAAACCTCTTATGGTATTGTATTTTTTCCCAAGAATCCAAACTGGCTCATCTGTTTGTGGTATGTCTTCTGGTTCATCCAAAATATTTTGTGTAAAGAGGATATCCATTTTTACGATTTACATAAAAACTATGTATATTATTAATCTTTTAATGTGACATATGGATAAAACGCTCTCTTACTCTATAAATACAAGAAAGGGTACAAGTTCTTATCTGCAAGAATTGGGAACGACTGAAATTAGGTTAAGTATTTTTAAAGAATAACATTCCATTTATACAATACGACCACCTTTAATTTAGAAAAATAGCATTGGTTCATCGATTAAAGATTTCATTGTTTTAGAAAATGACAAATATAGCGCTAGTTATTCACTTTATAAAAACGTCAACAATATCATAACAGTACCACAGCTGATTAACTAGAATCTTGAAGGTAACGTGACTGATAATCGATTGATACAGTGACCAAGTATAAACAATCCATATGAGAAACAACTATATGTTATTTAAACTAAAAATACTTCATTTAAAAGTAGATAACCCATAAAATATCATTTATATCGAATCAAATATATATTGATTGCCTCTGTTGAAATTTTTTCTGTTATATGTACTTCGTACTTTATGCATTTCAAATAACTCTTCCTTGCACTAGGTGGCACCAGTGTTACCGGACGACAGACCGGTACCTAGAGGAAACTGCCCCACTACTTACGTACACTAATAATAAGGCACGTGTAAGTACCCGAATTTCACCACTTCGGACTTCAGAGACTTTCGGGAATTCGAGAAAGATGGTAACTGTACCTTTTCTTCTCGTTCTCGAAACAACTGAAATCCAACTTGCGTCAACTGGCATACGATTTCAAGCCTCGACTGCTCAGGTATTTTTATTTTCCGGCCTATGTATACCTAAAGAACCATAAACGAGGTACAGAATAGACCTATCATTAAATGGAACTTCGTGGCACATGACTTCGTAACACCAACCTTGTAAAATATCAATGATTTTAGAGCAATCTTTTTATTTAAAGAACGGTAGCTTTAAATGTAAGGTAAGAAAGACTTATCTACATTTACTAGCTTTATCAATTTCAGTACTTCCGTTGGCTATAATTTCTAAAGCCATCGTACTTTAAATGAGAAGATTGCTCTAAAACCACAACGTTACCAATAGGTTATAAAATGGAACACAACAGTACAATCTGTGTTATGAGGTTTTGTGTTCGCAGTGAAACTATATTACCGATATATTGCCAATAAACATATTAGTTGCATTTTCCTCCACAATGTCGTCAAGAGGACAAGGATTTCTTCTCTACATATTTTTGTTAAATTATTTTATTTAGATAGTCTTTAGGCTTCATCCTTCGTTATGTGTATGTTTATACTTCAGTTTATTATACATATTTCATTAGTTGAATGTTATAAATAGCGTTTAAATAAGTTCTTTTACGTATGGGTATATATATTCACAAACTAAAACCGATATACTCGAAAATGTCGATTCTTCATAATAATTACTCAAAGTAAAAGTTCTCCATAATTTGAGAACCGAATCGATATTAGAACAGTTTTGAATTGATGTTCGCACGACTTTCATAATTACCGGACACATATCTTTACAAGAACACATTCTTGTCGTGTATCTAATTTCATTGGCTAAAAATTAAACAAATAATAATAAATACCTTAAGAAAGAATGAATTGATTCACGTGTCAAAACACTGCGCTTTATCGCGGTTTTGCAAGAAGCCGATGACCGAGAAACGAGTTTCAGTTATATCGCCACGTAATCGCGATACTACGCGAATATTTAAGGTATTACTCATAAAGCTGTGTCGACACGATGCATTGTATACAGGGTGTTTGGCCACCCCTGGGAAAAATTTTAATGGGAGATTCTAGTGGCCAAAATAAGACGAAAATCAAGAATCTTATCTCTGATTTTACTAGGCTAGCAATTGGAAATTATTGTCCCGGATACTATTGTTTAGAGTTACGCATCGCAGAATGGAAGCTCGACGCTTATGCGTTAGCAGTTAAAAGTAGAAATTCCAAGTCGCGTAAAATGTAGCTCACAGTATACAATTATCCTATTAATTGCGAAACGCGTAACGAGATGCTGGTAAAATGCCTACGCCACATTGTGCGTAATTACGGTAATTAAGGTTGATAATTATTATATGCAATTAATAATCGTGCGACCAAGTTCTGTAGAACGAAATTATCATAATCAACAATTCACTCAATCGATTAGTTTCAAATGAACGAACAAAGTAGATTATTTTTTAAGCCTGATTTTAATCTGTTCTTTAAGAGTAACTTTATATTATCTTCATTGCAGCGACTCGAGAGAACAAATTTCTGGGTGAACTGATTTACGAAAGAGTGAATATGATTTGCAGGAGGATTAATTTTATTCCCGGAGTCACGAGGAGCAGTAAAGCGGTAAATGAGACGTCCTGGAATTTTCGTCGGAGAAACATATTCATTATCCTTGGCCTCTATTTAATTCCATGGAAGGGTGCTCGAGAAGCTGACGCGTTTCAATATCGAGCCGCCCAAAAAACGAACTCCCGTTTACTTCGGACGCCGGCGTCAGTAACCCCGTCGCTCGTCTACGCGCATGCACCACCCTCTTTGAGGGGGTGTGTGTCAGAGAAAGAGAACAAGAGGGGGGTAGATCGAACACCGAGTCACCGACACCGTTTCTCGCAGTCTCCTTCTGTTGTTCGCGCGAGCACCGAAAGCATCTGCCTTCTTGCGCGGTTGTTACGTCGAGCGAAAAAAAAGACGGTCGTACCAGGCTCCGTAATTCGCAAGCGGTGTTTTCGCTTCGCAGTCCAGTGTCTTTCTTCCGCCTTCGCGCATTCTCCGGGAGGATCTAATGCAAAGGACAGCGTCGCGACGCTGGGAAGCTTCGTGAAGCCTTAAGGACTCGGCGTCATCCTCTGGGAACGTCACCAGCGGCACGTAACGCGAAAAAGTGAGTTCCAAGGGCTTAGAAACTATTAAAATAAAGATTTTTGTCCGCGAAATAGATAGGAAGAACCTAAGTTCCTAATTACAGTCCTGGACAAAATTAAGTAAACACATATAATTAATAAAAAGGAATAGATTTAACTTAACGATAGGATTACGCAAATTCGGAGTTTATCGAATATTTAAATTAGCAAACTCGATGAAACACCTATGAAAAAAAAGTCGTAACAAATAATCTTCGTTGCCATTTGCCTTTTCCCGACCAGTTCAATTTTCCACGGTATTATGTTGCAAATATTATTTATAAACTGTATTTTTCGATACATTTCCGCTATTTTTCCATTATTTTTACAATCCGAAACAATCAAACATCACGACTGAATGGAAATTTGTTCTCTTCTCTGAGATAAATATCTTCATTTCTCGTCATAAACGATGATGTCAATGTTTGTATACAACGTTTAGCCTTCGATGTATAATTCTGTACAACGTCTAAATGCTACCTAAGTAAATGAATGTAAGTAAATACTCATAGAAATATAATTTTCACAATTCTTTGTCCTAAATAGATTCTTCCAATATTTAAAAAATGATCTCATGCTGAAAATTTAGTGCGTGTATAATAATGAAATGAAACTATAGATTTTCCAAAAATTAGCGCTGAGACCATTTAATTTTTTCCAGAACTGTATATCGGTTTAAGTTCTTGCATCAGCTCTATAACTGTTAGATTTTGGGTTCTTTACAGGTTTTAAAACGGGATCTATACAATATAAATATTTGTTATCCTCATAGCTTGATTATCTTTTCAAGATATTTATGATATATATTTCTACTATATGTATAGATTCAAAATCTACATAAAATTTAAAAAATAACTGTTGTAGAACCTATGCAGGCTTTGCACTCCAAATTAACCCATTTCCAGATCACATTCACCTTTTTGCATATCAAGTTTTTAAGAAATTTGTTCTCTTAAGGCATTATAATAAAGATAAAATCTGATGTAGAGTTATTATTCCAAAATAAGAATTGTATTGCATGTCTGTAATAATATTTAAACAAAAAATAACATAAGGTGTCGATCGCCTTTTGAAGACTAGTTTGCTAATTACTAAGGAAAATTAATGGGGTTTGAATGTTGGTGTAATATACAAAGTGATTCAGAAAGAATAGACTGCAAAAACTTTCGAGGTTCAATATTAAAGTTAAGCGTCGATAATAATCAAGATAATACTTTTAATAGTGATTTATTTAGTTCGACGAGGGAACATAGTATTTGGAGCAGAGATCATGATACTTGACACAAAAAAAAAAATTTATTGCCTGTGACCTCGAACGCAGCGACAAGTACCTACGCTGTGTGTTATAGGGTGGCGCCGCGACGTCTAGCGTCGTATAGTACGCAATCTCGAGTGATTAAGATCACAAGCCATCGCATAGGAATGTTCCATCTAAGTTAAAACCTTATTAAAAGCCTATAATCATTCTTCTGAATGATACATTCAACTCAATGAATATAAATAATAATAATGCCCCTTTCATGGCGAAACGTAATAAATGAAATAAAGAAACATCAATTACGCAATATACTTATAGAAACAGGAAAAATAAATTTAATTTTGGATCTGATAAAGATGAATATACATATAGCACCTAACAGAAATGTCATACAGTTTGAGGCAACATTAACAATTTCAGGGTATTTCAATAACAAAAGAAGAGATACGTTAGAGAACTACTTTTTTAGCCTAAAAAATATTTATGTGTTATAATTATAATACTTCCATTATCTTCTCATTCGTAACTGAATATCAACAAATTTGTTTTTTAAATCAATTTGTTTAGTAGTTATAGGAATTTATATAATACCAATCATGGCAATACATTCGTCCAGCACTGTAAGTGCATTCACGTTTTGAAGCTTTGTCGTCGGTATTCTTCGAGTGGCTTTGCAAAGTTTTATTTATGCGACTGGTATTGCAATATTTATGCGAGCTTGCGATGAGGTGTACATTTCAATGAAGATGCAATAGCGTGTGTATCGAATAGGTATTGTTTCTGTGTTACTCGCCAATAAGTCGTCCGATCAATAAAACCAGAATCCAATTCAATGGGTGGGCAAAACCGACGTCAATTATTGGGTGGAATGCGAACCCACAATCCGTACGTACGCCACTCATGAACAAGGAAATTGTTATTCGATGGTGCATCATAGCGAGCCATTAATATTAATTATTTAGCGATCGAGCGAATCTACGCGAATCTGACTCGCGTTTCACGATTAAATATCCTCTTGAAATTATTGCAATTGCTTTACATTTCACTTTATTGCTACATTTTATTAATTACTTGGTATATTTAATATATTTTTAATTTTGTTTGCAGTTATACAAATTATTTTAAACGATAGAAAAATTATGGACCACGCATCCAGTTAGATGTTCTAAGAAACTGAACTATCATTAAATCGATCACGATCGAGGCAAATGGACGGCACAGAGCAACACGCAGGAACAACATATAGGGACGAGTGGTAGTTTTCAACATTTAATAATTCGAAAAAATATAATTTAGTATCGAAATTTAGACATCCTGTACAATCCTTGCATTTTCTTTTTACTCGGGCATTTACAACTTTGGCTTACATGTATATTATTCTCATAAATAACAGAAAGGATTCGTACGTTCATTCCGCGATGAAAGGATTTAAATATGGAATAAAATTTAATGTGCGACGAGGCGAAAATAGCCGCGAGCGAAGCAGTAAACGATATCTTTCTTCATTATTAATTCACAAACTTACGGTTCGCTGCCCGGCGTGTCTTTCGCGTGCTTATCGATGGTTTCACCCGCTGTATTGATACATTTCTAAACCGGGAACCTCTGCGTGGCCTTACTTAGTGGAGCCCGCCACCACGAAGGGTGGAAAGGACTCCGTCGTACGATCGATGCGTATAACACGTAAAAGAGAGGGAGAGGGATGATGAAAAATAAGGAAATGAGAGAACGAGAGAGCGAAAGAAACTCCCTCAACGCGGGAGAAACAGTCGGGTGTCACGGCTACTCCGTTATATGCAATTCTCGTTCCTTTCTCTCTTTTCCTTTTGTTTTTTTTTTTCCCATTTTTGCTTTTTCAAACGACAGTAACAAAACTTCCTTCGAGAGCTTGTGACGTTCACGGTTACATTAGAGAAAACGTTCGTGACCTTGCCTCGAACGACTTGAAAAATCATTGTCGCAATAATTTCTGTCTGCTCGTATCGGAATTGTAGAAAGAAGAAATGGTTTATTTACGTAACTAAGGAAGGAAACACATTATTATTAGTCTTTAGAAAATTTAGGATGGACGAATGCGGGGCCATTTTGATCTATAATAAAACTTTCATTGTATAGAGGTTCCAAGAAGAAATTTTGTATCAAATTTTATGTTTAAAGTATGTATAGGTGTAGTTTACAAATACGATGAACCAAATCGTTTCGTTGAATCTATTGGATTTTTCTAACGATATAGAATTAATCAACAGGCTGCGACCGTATTCTTATCACGTGGATCTGGAGTGTGCGACTATCTACAATCTTTTTATCGATCACGGGTATTTTACCAGAAGCTGAAGTAGAAATTTAATATGCACCAAGATTTCATTCTCAAAATAGACTAGTATTCTTTTTAGTTTAATTAAATTTATTTTTCTCTTAGTTTAATTTCAAATAAAGATTAACGTTTTCAAATTGTTGCCGTAGTTGACGAATATTGCGTTTTAATTATTAACTACCAGGATACTCATAATTATTAAATTTCGACGATGACCAAAGGATGCAGTAAGATTATTGAATAAATATTTACATTTTAAAACAATTACTGTTTTTTTATGGAGAGAGTAATAATATTTGAAATATTGTAATAACCTGTTCAGTTTACATAATTTCGTTGCTGAAATCGCTTGTGCATAAATGCTTGAGGGATTTCTTTATGGGGAGAAAATCGATTTATTATTCACACTCTACATAACAAAATTTTATTGGGTCAATCAATGACGATCGGGTCAATTGTGGAAGTAAACTGGAAATCGTCAGCAATCTTTGGCACTGTGCAGTAACCTTAATTTTACTCGAGGTTCTCTATCGCTTAGAAAAGAAAATAGGTCGCAATAATGTTTGAAAATAATAAGCAAATTGAGCGATAATTTTATTTATTGTACTCACAGTGACAACTGTAGCATATTTATCTAGTAACAATAGTTTATTTTATAATTTAATAACTAATATAATTAGAGTATAAATAGTTCTGTCTCCATTGTGAATTTAGTCTCCATTTTTCCAATCTCATACTGGAAAATTACGATCCCTTTTTTGTACATATTTGATGGGAAAGCCACGTAAACTGAATTTTTTCCCTTGTCATGGAACATCTCCTATTTCTCTTTGTCAGAACGTTAACCGAGACGTTAATAATAAATTTTGTTCAAAGAAGTTCAGTTAGATTTATCTCCGAATAAATTATTCAACATGCAAAAAGGTATTCAAATTAAAACGATGAATACGTTGATTCTAAAATAGTTACAGATCGATTAACTAGAATTGTTGGTTTTGTGCGAACCTCGGATAAAAATAGACGAAAACGTTATTTACAAACTCTGCTGTTAAGCGTGCCTTTAGAATGCTTTGGAAATCGAGGTAAACGGATGAGAAATCGGAAGCCGTAGAAAATAAGTAGGCGTCAAATAACAGAAGTAAACTACGGGAACAGTAAAACAGATACACAAGGTAATCCACTACCGGTTTCAATCACGAGGGAGCAATCGGAAGGAACGTTTTATTTTATGTTTGTTTTTAATAGATTACGACCTGTAACTTTTATAAAATGTTTCAGGCAGCAACATAAGGAATGAAAAAATAATATCCTCGTAAATTAAAGTTACTCGGAAACAAATAAATTAGAAAATTGGAGAAAAACACCAATTATTTATCAATCTATCTTTATTAATTTCGAGTTTTTTGTTACAATAGCTTTTTTACAAAATTTTACTTGATTTTCAGGCAAATTCTCAATCTATCTCAGATTTAAGATAATGAAACCAAACTGACCGAAAAAAGAAAGAGAAGTAAACATAATAGTATTCTCGTTCACACATGTGGTATATCCATTATTCATTGTTAGTGTTCTATAGTCTACGTACACAATCTACATTTACAAAAAGGGATTCGTAAAACCTTCTACAGTAGAGGACCGAGACTACTTTGGATAATCGAAAACTCGGATAATACGGATGGGTGTTCATAAGTCGCAAAATAAAATCATGAAGAACATTTTGATAATTTTGCACACATGCATTTAAGTTTAATTACATAATTATTTAATTCAATGAAGGTTTATTAATAATCTTCTCTTCTATTACATTCAATAGATGTCTTGGAAAGGAAATATCTCTACCATAAAGTTCAAAGCACCTCGGAAAATGCGGAAGCTCGGTTAAACGAGACTTTGTTGTACGAAGAACCGTATCATAAGGAAAGAGTAGTTTCAACATCTTTGGTGTTACTGGAATTTGTATTCTGAGAACTCGTGTTATACGAGAGTGTACTGTACGATCACTGTCGATAATGGACAGCCCGTGGACAAGATTACCCATAATGAGAAATTAGAAACTAAAAGTTAAGCGTTTAGCGACAAGTTGTACGCGGATAGAAAGACCGGCTAGGTTGGGAAGGTGGAGGTATATAGGCAGGTAGAAAGAAGGGGGAGGAATGAAATACCGTGGTAGAGGAAGGCGAGGGAGAGAAAGGAGAGCGGAACGAGGGTGTTGGTTGCGAGTCGATAAACCAGGGGAAACGCGAGCACCCTTGCGCACGGTTTCAACATGGCGGTCGGTGAGTCCCATTCCCTTTTTCCTTTCACGTTCGGGTAGGCAGAGGAAGTTAGTCGTCGCGATCGATCCCGTCACACATTTTGCAACGTTCCTGTGCGTTGAATCTGCGAGAATGATCCCGCGGGATCGATAAGAATCCCAGCCACGCTGTTCGCGTGTACACAAGGATCGTTCTTGAAGAATCACACGATCCTCTTCCGACTGTTTTCAGACGAGGATCCGATATGCGGCTCAGGGAGGACGTCGTCTCGGTACTGTTGCACCCTGGGGGACTGAACAACAAGTAAGTGCACATTGATCATAGTCCTGATCAAGTCATCGCGAGCCTACGTTCTGCTTTCTTGTCCCGTAGACGATTTGTTTCTTCGTCGCTTTCATCCTCGAGCTTTTTTTGCGAGCGACTTTTCCGCGAACAGCGCGATCCTACGGGATGTTGGGCTTTGATCGCGATTTTCGTGAACGTGCTGTGTTCCGAGAACCCCGTTTTTCTGTGAATGACGTGGCTGCCGTGAAATCTTTCTGTTTACTTTTAGTTCGACGCAAGAAAGGTGTGCCAAGCTTTCCTCCGAGTTTCATATTTAAGGTGTTCGCGTTAGCCAGTATTCTTTTTTTTTCTCGTAAAGTTTTGTCTTTTTGTGACGAACATAATAGTGTACATCAAATTTTTATATCTGCAATAAGTTTCGAGAAACGAAGGGGACTTTAAATTACAAACTCCATCTACGAATAACGAATGAATAATTTAGATTCGTTTGTAAGCTAATTTTTTATCATGTCTTCGCTTATGTCGATTAATATATTATAATTTTGCGAACAAATTTACAAATGGATCTAAAATTTGTATTCGTTATTCGCGAATAACGTTTGCCCAACATTTATTATCGCGAACCAGAAAATAATTACACGAAGGTTGATTTATTGGACATTCTTTTCGCTTACTTTTGAATCGCCATACGGTTCCAAAATCTTGGACAATTTTTCCAGATCACCCTTTGCATTTATTTTCACGATCAACGTCATAAGTCATTTTGTAAACACTACGTTCAACGATAGTTCTACAGCAGTGTTTTCTTTGACGAAGTTAACAGGAGTACCGTACTGGTAGAATTAGCTATTAGTTCACGTTCAGTCGCGTAGTTTCACTGAGATCTAGCATTGAGTTGCTTTAGATGTTACTTATCTAGTGTAAATTGTAGAATATTTATTCCAAACCTTATTATTAGCAATGCCAAGGCATTTAACTGAAAAGGAAAACCAGAAGGTTAGTGTTGACTCTAAACGGTCCCCTTTTTTGATACAATATGCCGTTTACACTAATTGTTATTGTTTCATCATGCATTCTAGGTATACGTGCTTCTTATGTTGTTTATCGAAAACCAATCCCCAAATCTACATTTTCTTTCTTGATGTATTCCATTTGTAAATATTTATATCTATCCTTTGTCGAACGCATCAAACAGCCGCACACACATCGCAACAAGTGATTGTAGCATGAAACTTCTTGCCACCCTACGACCACCTCTCTTCAAGACACAAGTTTATCGAACATACGATCATTGTACAGGTAGATTTATCTCGTTAGCGATACTCAGATTTCTTTTCTCACCGAACTCAACGTTCATGTTATTTTTATTTTCTGAAACGAAACGATTTCCCTTAGAAAGCGTTTACACGAGATTCTTGTTGTTAAAAATTCTTAGTGTGGTGTTACGTTTTGTTTCACTAGACACAAATAGCTTTACAATAGATTTACAATTTTACTTTCGAGTGTTTTAATACATGATGCTCTGTCTGCACGACGTCATGCGTGTTTTTGGCCATGCGACGCGTCGAAAGCTGTACGAAAGTTATTTTTGGGAACCGTCTCAGAATCTTCTAATTTTTATTACAAGTTATTGGGACAGGAATTCACGGGTTCTGGGCATTCCCAAATCTTCTTCAACGTCGTGCAATAAAAATTACAATAAAAAGATTCTTCGAAGATCATCAAAAGTGTCTTTTATCCAGCTAAACTGGCAACAGATCGCAATGTGTGCGAAAATCGAAATTATCGCATTTGCAAACTTTTGTACGCGTCATATGGCCATTTTAATAAATCCATCGACGAAATTGCACATTCATGCACTACCGAGTACCGATCGTCGACCTCGATCTCGCAAGCTTGACTATGTTTGCTGGATGTTTCGATTGCGAGAGTCAAGTTTAACGAACGCCTGCTTTTTCTCGTAGAAAGACTTCGTTCTTTTGCACTGATACTGTACAGTTAGATATGTATGTCTCTTTGAATGAATGCACTGTTCCAAACAAAAATGTATACGTTATGACATTTGAGCAGCAATATTGGAATAATGATGTTAGAATAGTAATATCAGAAATCCAAATAGTAATATTCGAACAAAGGTGTCGAAGTAATAAATAGGGGAGAAGGAGGGAATACCGACCACTTTTTTTATTATCGTCGTTGTTAATGTACTCTCAGTTATAATAACAGTAAAACCTGAAATAATCTAGGACATTGAAAAGTGGTGAAATTTTGTTTTCTAAAGTATTCAGTCTAGCAAATAACAAATCTAAAATAACAAACCACAAAATTGGAGTAGCAATAAATGGGAAAAAACTGAAAGCAACAAGATAACTACGTTAACCACAGACAACACTCTTTTGGATGCTGCGCTTATGATTCTCACAAGAGTTCTTGGAACACCTATCAGTAGTGAATCAATCCTCTATAGGAATGCTTAAGCTCAACCAAGAGTTTCAGAATTGGTAATTAAAAAGACTCCTATTATATGAATGTGCCCAGTTATAAGAACTGCTTGTTCCCCCATTGGATTCATATAAATGGAGTTCTACAGATTTGGTCCATACTTCCACCTTCTCCCCTAATCACCAGCCGCAAAAGTGTTAAATTAAGTATTCTTCGTGCTCGTCTGAAGAAAAAGAGTTATTCGACAGTCGTCTTCGATTAAAAAAAAAAAGAAAATCCCCAGGGATCAATGTATCAGCAGGAACGCTGAATCGGTTCGGTTCGCGATAAGAAAACGTAAACTCCCGGAATGAAAGAGTTCCCTCGCGGAGCAGTGGTGTGGGTGATCGGAGTAGCTCATGCTATTTCGCAGACGTCTTACGTAGGTGTGTTGCCTATATTTGCATCGTCGTAGGTCGTTCGGGCCGCGGCTAACGGAACGTATCGATCCACTTGGACTCATTTCTCTGTCTCGCTCGTAGTCAACTTCGTAGGAGCGACCAGCCAAACACAGAGGAAATCGGGAATTGCAACGAGACTTCCCCAACGAACACCGTCTCGGTGACCAGAAGCCCGACGTCCACCGACTTCCACGAGGACTCCGATGATTTCCATGTCGCCGAGGACACCACCACGTGGTCCTCGCTCGCCATTACACGCGACAACGTGCAGATCGATAGCTCGAACAACGAGACTGGAAATTTGAATAACAATCTATCGATACCGAGGATCCGCAGGAATAGCTCCATCGAGAGTTTGGCCGATTACGAAGGTAATATGTAGCGTCCATGTTTCATAATCGAAAAGCTTTATTTGACTTTTGATTATAACTATTTACAAAGGGATATTCATAACTACGACAAGCATCAGTTGCATATTGCAAAGAAAAAAAGTTTAAATTGTAAATGTATCTGTCAGTGTCGAAGCTCCATTTTGTACATTTCATTCGATTCAAATAAGAATTTCACACGATGATACTTTCGTTAATTTATTAATTTAAATTGTTGTATTCTGTCGCGTGTCGAAGCACGTGATCTGTACGGGACTGATTCAACGTATCGATCAATTCATGTATTTCGATGAAACGATCATGAGATCCCCTTGGAGTTAAGTGTCTGGGCAGCTGCGATGAGTCAGTGTTGGCGTTACGATGCCCGGATTATTCAGTATTCCGGCAATGTGCAACGAGCATGAAATTCCGCAGGGCGTAACTCCTCTCACGACGACTCGTCCCACGAGTTGACACCGTCCGAGTGGTCCGACTGGTCCGAGGAAGGAAATATACCGGCAGGTTGTCGCGGTATCGTCAACCCCAACTATCCGGGTTTTCAACACCTGGCGCCTTCTCTTCTGTCGGACACCGATCTGACGGAGGACGAGCAAGAGAGCTGTCCCGATTACATCAGACTCAACGAGATCGACGCACGGCCTGTCGAGAACGACAACGAGTACAATAATAACATCGAGGACAGCATCAATCATCTTTGCGGGCAGAAGAACCTGAGGAAATCCTTCTACGAGAAGCCAAAATTTAATATACAGGTAAACGCACGCAAGATTTACTCATTTTTCGAAAAAGAAAAGACGAATTTTTCATGGAAAACAAAAAGTTTAACCAATGATCTATATAGCCCATTCTGTTCGACTACATTTTACCATCTTTCAGGCGCCATTCATGATTCCGCAATCGATAGAATCTTTATCTTGTTCGGAGAAATAGCAGTTCCAAGAACAAATTGATATTTTCTTCAACGAATGTTTTACCATTTAACGCGTTTTGTAAAAAATGGATGATACCAGGCCAATTTCTACATAAAGCATCTTTATGCCTTAACACTAGAACTACCGACAATTATAGTGCATTTATTTGTATCAAAGAAATTAAGACGACAGATATTTGAAAAAATCTATAATGCAACGACAATAAATGTTTATTCGTTCTTGTATAGAAAGCCACGGTAACTTTGCAAAAATCCAATCGAGTAAATTTGTACCAATTTTGATTAGAAATTACGAATTTTGACCAAATGGATAGTTCTAGTGTTAATGGCGGCAAATTATAATGTAGACAATTATCTCCATTATTTTTGCATTACTTGCAAGGAATGATTTCCAATTAACAAATTTTGAGATATCGGCATAAAATTTGTAGGAAGTAATTGTAAGGAGCCAAAATTTAGAAAATGTTGTTTATAAAATCGATATTTTATTTAAACGAGCCAAAATCTTATCTTAAACTAGGCGAAAAGGCCGGTGAAGCTAATCGTTGGCGTGTGCTCTGTTTCTAGACCGTAACATCATTATACGAGTCAGTGGTGCCGCCGTCGGAGAAGTGTATAAACTACGTGAAGAGCGTGAAGGATTCGAGGACGGAGGAAAAGATTCTCTCGCCCGAATCGGAGATCGTCAACGGCGTCGTCGAGGCGGAGACGCATCTGACGGTGTTGGAACCGGAAGAAGCGCTCGCCGACTCGGTGTCCGAGCCACCATTTTCAGAGCCAATCGTGAAAGAGAAACAGGAACGGGAGGTCTCGGTCGAGGTCGAGATCGTCGAACTGACCACCAGCGTCAAGGAAATCCTCCAGTTTCCGCAAATCGAGGAGATTCCGGACTCGGGGAAGACCAGCGAAGTCGGTGAGGTAGGTATCATCATTGGTTCTTCCTTACACCTATGTTTTTAATTAATAAATGAGCCAAGTTTTCATAATCAGAGCTGAGCAAAGTGTGTCACGCGGTAATTATCGTTTAATCATAATTATAAATCTTTAAAACCTGATGAAACAATAATAATAATTCTTTATTTAACAAGCTGATTTCCCTTTGTATACTCTTAAATATGAACTTGTTTTATAAATGTGATGTATGGCGAAAATAAATTTAATTGTTTACAAAACTTGTTTACATTATTGTGAGATTTATACAATTATAGTATATTGTGTTTTCTAGAAGTTGGCCTACGTATCACTCAGGAGATATTATTCTATTATTTAGCATCTTACATTCAAGAATTAAATGAATGTTAAGTGGCTATAGTCTTATTTATTATAGCGTAATTACAGTGCGATTGCATGTATTTTCATCATGAAAAATGTAACGAGATTACACTTTGCCCCACTCTGGTCGTAATTGGTAATCGGTAATATTCCATGATTATTAATAAATTCTTCTCTAAAACTTCGTCGATTAATCAGCACGTTAATTATACATATAGTTTATATATTGTATGTTGTATTATTTGCACACAAGGGGAATCCCATAAATAGAACATATTATTATTGTTATAAAAATTACAATTTCAATATTTCAGTTAAGGAGAAGTTAATAGGCTATTAATAAACTTCAGAGTGAAAGTAAAACGTGTTGCGTGGATTTTATTTTATTTTTGCAGCGAATTACATCAAGTGTGAACTGCATTCATTTTCAAAGCGTGTTTAACGGCAACAATTTTTCACGCGGATTAGAGAGCATCTGCAATGTAAACGTATCTTCGGTGAAGCACGGACGATCGAGATTAACGAGAATTTGCTTTGCATCGACTATAGTACTTCTAATGCACACAAAAGGCTAACGACTGCATAGTAGACGCACACGCTCGTATGACGTATTAATGTATTCAACGATGTTCACGGTACGTTCCTCGTTTTGAAACAGCGCAACTCTCGACTGTTTCACGTCGTGTAGTTACTCGGCACGGTTAATCATAAATTTCCTGGACCTTTGGCCACGGTCTTACTAACAGTTAGTCACTTAATGTCAAACTATGAGGAATACGAATCAGCTTCTGTTCAGAAAATGACGTAAACGCATAAAAGAGTCCAAATTTAGAGTCCAAGAAGGTAAAAAAACTGTGTCATTTTAATTTAAAAAGGATCCCTCTTAACAGTATGTTTCACAAGAGCGTTGTCCAATATTATAGATTGACCTTCACAATCGCCTGATGCAAACCCTATAGCAAACGCATGGGCTATTATAAAGTTAAAATTACGTGGAAAGTATACATATTTTCATTGAAGCAATTATACCGTCGAATAAGGTGTATATATGTAGATATTATATGTTTACTTCAAACATATTTTTGAATTTTTTAAAAATACTTATTATTTTTTCGTGAAACATATTGTACACACTTATAGTGGGCAGTATTATGAGCCTCTTGACGAATGAGAATATTGTGTTCCGTAAAAGTTGGCCTACATGCCACTCAGAAAATATTATTTTGCTATTTAGCACCTTAAAAATCAAATCAAACGTTTAGTCTTTCTTGCGCCTCGCTGTAGTCATGGTCGAGTAGGAATTTCTGTACACAATATAAAGAACTGATTTTTGAAACACAACGATGCGGTATTCGCGATTTCCAAGCAGCATCAAGGAATGAACTAATCATCATTGTTTCTTTCCAGACAGAGGATATCGTGGTGGAGCACATCGACCTAATACGCGAGGCAAAGGAGTTGCCTCGCCAAGCTCGTTCCAAAATAGGCAACCGTCAGACCGTCACGTCGAACGGCTCCGCCGACGACGATTCGGAAAGTAACACGGACACAGACAGTTATCCGGAGGAGCAGCCCACCTACACAAAGCTCGAGGAGATCGATTTGCTTTCAAGCATCGGCCGGGATATCGGCGTCGATCTTGAAAAATACGTACAACCGGTGCCCGACGTGGTTGCCATGGAGGCACTGGATCCCCTGCATGTCTCCACGCGATCCTCGTGCGCCATGAACATGATGAAAGACGCCATCGAGGACACCAACAAATTGCTCGATCGCGATCTTCCGGAGGCATCGAGCGCCGACGCGAGAAAAAAAGAGAAGATGGCTAGAAATCAGGCTAAGAGGAGGCAGCAGCAACAGCAGCAACAGCAACAGCAACAGTTGAGAGCCTCGAACGTGCATAGACGCCCTGATAAGAGAAGGGCCGATGCGGACATTGGACCAGGTACGTTTTTCTGATCGAAAACAATTTATTTTTGGATCGTTTTCGTCCAAGTGTTGAAATATTAAAGCTGACTCGCTTAACGCTAGAACTACCAACGTTAGGATATACAAGGATGTTCCAATGTTGTAGTAAAACCGGGAAGTAGGTGGTTGTTGATGCGAAAACAAGTCGAAAATGTTGAACGAAATTTTGTTATTATAAGGAACAAAGAAATTGTACTGGAACCAATCTTTTGCTGGAATTAACTTTGCAAAGTAACTGTCTTATATTTATATGCAAAAACATTGTAACTAAATCCGTTGTACATAGATTTACAATTAACCGTGTACGAGCTACATACATATCTGTTGTAAATTTTCTTTGGACAGAAACGGAAGTTAAAGAAGAAACTCTCGTTACACTTTGCACCGCAGAAACGCGATTGCATTTAATTTACTGTTGCTTAATAGAAGTGAAATTTTACGGTGCAAGAACATGGAAGACAATAGCGCATACGAACCTAACCGTACATGGCTCGATTTCGATGCAACTGTGATACGCCTAATATTGGTCAAACTTGCCAAAACAGTTATTTATAAAACATTTAATCGAATTCACCTTTATGGAAAACGTTTGAAACCAAATATAATTGAAAAAATGCATCGAACACTACTAATTAATTTTTATTAGTTTCGCTTTTAAAATCTTGTATCGTTTTCTTCTTGTTAAAGGTGGCTTCGACGTCTACAATATCGAAACTGCGATGCCGAAGATCGACTTGGACGCGATCGAGTCTCACCTGAGAGCAGCTCGCGAAGAGGAACGACGGGTAAGTGAAAATCATTCATGTGTAATTGCATGTTACGGTGGTTAAACTAATGTGGGAAAGAGTACAATAATGTTTTAAAAATATTCCATATACAATATTGAAGTTGTAAATATTCACTATTAAAAAATGTCCGTCTGTGAAAGTTGAAGTACGAAAAAATGTTACATACAATTCCGAAGCGAATTATTCAATTAAAATTAGATTACACCACTATGTTTTCAAACGTTTTAATAGGCAAAGTTACAGAAGTGTTTTTAAGAAATGAAATTTTTTGTTTATTAATTTCTGTTTCACGAATGTATGTTTTTGTTGGGACTACGAAACGGTAAAATATCACCACGATAGAATTTTAAAGAATTATTATTAGTAGTAGTGGTAGTAGTAGTAAGTTTTAACGGATTCGTTAGATTCCTAGGAAAACCCGTTATTCAATCAAGTTTTTTCTTAACCTTGCCACTCGGTGGATTAATAAATACTCATAAACTATTGCTGGACACCGGTTTGATAAACGTTATCATTACTCAAACGAGTGTTCCGTAGAAACGCGCGCGAACGGAAGGTGGAAAGCATAATGGTGGCACTCGAAAAGAAAAAGTATCGTAATAAGCGAAGCAAGGAGAAATAACAATTTCCCATCCACCTGGCCAATGTTCTCACGGATAAAACGATACGATAAAACTGAATGAATAGCCACGCGACGAGATTGAATCGCTTTCGTCGAAGGCTATCGTATACGCAGGCTCATAATCATAAATGTTGCACGGCTGATAAACTCTGCCTCGAACGCTCTAAATTAAGCTGCAAAGGATACAGTGGGCGTATTCGAAGATAGAAGGAGAATGCATGAAAAGTCCAATTACCAAGGGCTAATTGATAAGGGAACGTAAATAAAAATATTAAGTAATATGTATACTATACAATACGTTACGTTCAATTAAAATTAATTTCTCTTTTTGCATTTTCCAGGGTTTGAAAACTGTTAGGGTATAACGATTTCGGTTTTTGAAATAGTTAAGAATCTTTACTTTGACTGAATGTCAGGAAAAATTGAAATTCCAGACTGTATCTGTTTAAGTTATGGTTTCTATATCAGTTCTCATATTCACCTTCAAACTATGCAGACATCTTAAAGTTTTTCATACAACATCAAGTACTTACAATGGAGAATTCAGTTCTAACAAGTTCTATAGTATTATCAAGTTTTCGAATTTTACTATAGTTCTTTTAATATAACATTTTTAAGATTATAGCATTAAGAAAATGTAAACAAAAGACATTTATTTTGCTTTCAAATTAGACAGACCTCTTGCCGTTTATCATACAATAAAATTGTATTGTATAATGCAGTTTAAAAACCTGTAGTATTGCCAGCGTTTCAAATTTTAAATTTGAAGCTTGAAAGAACCGTGTAAAGAAAGTAATTTATTGTTTTCATACCCAAAGCAGGCAGATATCTTAATGCACTTTGCCCGGTTGTGGTAGGAAAGATGGAGAAAATTCCCAGCTCGCGAATTTTAATTTCCACGGCGGGCAGAGAAGAGAAACAGCACTCCTTGTAATGACGACGAGATGTTTCGCGCGAGTGTTTTCTGGATTATTGACGCAGAAAATAAGGTCGACGAGGTTTACGACCCCGTTTCGGGATCCCGATAGCGAGAGTCTCATTAAGTTGTACATACGATCTATATTTGCCAGTGCAGTAGCCATTGTATGGAAATAGGGGAACAGGAAACGGATGCCGGCACGGAGACGATCAATGCAACTGTCAGATATAGTGTGACACATTTCGACGCGTAAGATTCGAAGGGGGCTTAACGTCGAACAATAATAATCGCTAACGAAGAGGCACACTTTTTTTTTTCTCAATTCTACGATCTATACACATGGTATTGGGCTGCAGAAAATGAAAAGGAAATCTATTGGACTTGGTCAGAAAGTAAATTTGTTTTTGTAGCAGAATTCAAATTGCTAATAAACAGTACTTATAGGTTCTGTAACCGTGAGTATGGAATCTGAATATAAAATTAATTGTTTATCAATTCGGGTTATATTAACAATTGGACCGACTTCAAAGTTCCACGGCAGTTTAATTTTTTTATTCACGTTTCTTTGTCAATTTATTCTAGCTTTGCTTACGGAGAATATTAATATACAGAATGTCGTTATATTTATGGAAAGATACAGTTTTGAAAGAGCACGGCTGACGCTTGTAACATCTTGAGATTACGTATCACTGCACCTTAAAAGCCAAAGCAGCCGTAGGTCAAACGATTTGCATGGGCGGCCAAGTGAAACACTTTGCGTACAACTTACGAGAGATACAACATCTCCAGCCGCAGCAGTTCGAAAACGAGTTTCGAAGAAGTATTTTAGAAACGATTCCGAACGAAAGAGGCGAACGTAATTGCAGCGCCGAGAGCGACGGGGGGCAAACTTGATCAAGTTTTCTGAAGTCTGACTAAAAAGTAAGACATAACAATTTTTTTAAGCGACGCTATACCGTTCCAATTTTAATTAGAGTTCGCCAATTTTCTCTCACACGCGTTACGTCAGAGCCGATATTCCCCGATAAACGTTTAAAATTAAACCTGCACTGTCACTCGGAAATTTAGAACACCCTTCGATCTTTAGCAATTTTATTGCTTTATTTAAATTGCTTAGGTACAAGATAAAAAATTGCGTATCTTAAATATTCTATGAAATAACATGAAATACTGTGTTTAAACTATTTTTTCTAAGCTGATCGATTGTCTGCTGAATGCAAATTTTCAGAGATAAAATAGAAGACCGGCTAGAACGAAATACAGTACCGAGTTTATCAGCTTAATATTCGTTTCTCTTTAAAATAAAATGGTCAATCACTGACAGATGACCAACAACTGTACTGTTCGAAGACTACAGGCCAAAATAAGATTCTACAGGCCAAAATAAGACGAAAATCAAGAGTATCAATTTGTTGATTAAGGTTGTTCGTTAAAAAGTTATTAAAAAATTAAATTAAAAAATTTCAGATCATTCACGGAAAAATTATTTTCGGTTATGGGGTTCAATTACAATTATTTTTGGCGAATACACATACCCCCGAAATCCTACGTACTTTCGAGAGAAAAATTCTTTACCGAAAATTTACTGTGTGACCAAAAATGTTTCTATGTATAACTTTTTAACGAAGCCTCAATCAACAAATTAGTATCCTTGATTTTCGTCTTATTTTGGCCTCTAGAATCTCCCATTGAAATTTCTCCCAGGGGTGGCTGAACACCCTGTAGGGTAAATATTGATTCAATAGTTATGAAATATTTGAGTCACAGTAATACAAGAAGATAGATACAATAAGAATCAAAAAGTTCTGGACATAGCGTTAGTATATTTTTCTTTTTATAATAAAATGACCGGTAGATAAACAACTGTTTACCCGCCAATTTGTTTAAATTTAACAGAATGATCGCGTACCTCAAATCGATAAACGCGCGTCAAAAGGTGGCCAGCCACTTTCACCGGGGACTGCGAAAACCTGAGCTAGTCCAGCCTCCGTAGACGGTTAATAGCACCAGCTCCACCACCTCCTTCGAGCAGCAAACTATACCGGAAGATCGGTTCGCCGCTCACTTGACTCGCTTTACGCCAGTCTCGTGTTGTTCTCGTCTCGCGCGAGTCCGTTGGCAAAAACGCAAGTAATCGAGGCGCTTTCGGTGTACCGCGGCGTGAAAAGGAGGAAGCCCCCGTTCGTCAACGACAGTGAATCGCATAAAAAGTGAAGATATTCTTTGAGAAAGTGATTGCCGGATCGAGAATCCTTTCAGTTTTTCGTTTATCGATCAAAGAAACACGTTGATCGATTTACTATTATAGAATCTTGCTCGAAACGCTCCGGTAATTCCATCCTTTGCGGCTTCCGAATGTAAGCTAAGTCCATTGTTGGCGAATCGATGTTTCGTCATCGTTGCGGTCAGTTTTATCAGGGTCAGAGGAGACATCGATATCCCTATGGCGATACAGGGAATCTCGTATAACGACGTTGTGGCGAAGATATCTCGGATCGCCAGCAATTTAGCGTTTTCGTTGGAAATGCTATAATTTAGAATTTACGCTTTCCTTCCCATGGAAATAATTGATTTACAACAGAATATGGTAGAGACTGGAGTCTCTGAAAGACTTGACTTCCACTTCGAGAAGTACCTCGCACCAAAGGCAGGCGTAATTAAATCATACTTCCGCTTCATTTGCGTCACGGACACGACCTCTCGAGACATCTTCCTCGTGTATTTTATTAACTGAAGAGACACAGAGGCCTGGAACATGGCAATTTTTTGCGAAAAGTACATTTTTGAATTTGGAGAAAATTTGTTCCACGTACCGATAACCTTTGAAAGCTTTTAAAACCGAGATATCGTATCTGCTAAATAACTATAATTAAATATAATTATAGAGTTTTAATTCTCTTTAAAAAAATATTAGGGATTAAGAAGGATTTTACAAAAATGGTAGAATATGTTAGACAACAGGTTTGTTTCGTGTGAAAGCTTTGAGGATTGCTGGAAGAAGCATACAAGTTTTGGCTGCTACTATGTGCTACTTGTAATTTTAGCCAACCACATAATAAATATCGTATAAATAACTACACGGTTTTCCTTTCACGTGTGTGTTGCCATCGCCAGGAGTAACTTTAAGGAGACTTGGAGAGAAGATACTGTGCAAATGAAGTGAAAGGAAAGTGTACGTTGTTCGTAGTATTAAAGAAATTGGCGAAACAAACGTCGAGATCCTAGAAAGTGGACGAACTGTAGCGAATCCAAGAAATATGGGCAGCAGGAACAAGGCGAAAAGGCATTATAAAAAGGATTCCCGATTTCTCACGGACCTTTACACATTCACATACGATGACTTCGATCTCGTAAGATTAGGTTTTCACCAACAGACAAATGGCGACAGAGTGTTTATTCAATATTTGTTCATTTCTTTTATCGAGTTTCATCAATATACATATATATATATTTTGTAAAAACTAAGAAATCTAGTTGCTTTCTTAAAATTAACTTCTTCGGCAACTCACGCATCAATACCAAATTTTATATATTCCCTATGAAACAAATGACACTCCAATGCGCGTGAACAAAAGTTAGACAATGTCAACATCGGTGAGGCCGTGAACCTTCCCAAACGACCCTCGTATTGTGGAACATTGGAAGTATGCACAACGCGTCTTTTCGACAGGGAGTCTGTTTTTATGATAAGATATCGGCAATGAAAGCGTGACCCTTCGTTGACTCTGTCCGACAAATTGTTTCCTATGCTCGATGTTCCATGGAAGGTTAACGACCCAACGATGATTCGATACATAGAACGGGAAAAGTGGGTCGTGGCTGTACAGGTGCCGGAAAGTTAATTTTGACATTCACGCGCTAGTTAATTGCACCAAAGGTAGAAGAAAGTTTCGAGAAATTCGCGAGACTCGATTGTAAAAAATGATCGAAGAAGCTCGAATCTTGTTCCTTTATCTCGTTCAACAATCGTTTCTTCGATGAACTATGAGTTCGTTTGTCAGAACTAAATGATAACAGTGGCTCTGAAGGATATCTTTTTTAGCATTTTTATATCCTTATTATTTACAACACTAAATTGTATAAAAAACATTCAAGGAAAGAACGTCCGGACAATGTTTCAATAAAATATTCGTTGGAAAGATAATGTCACGAAAAAGCACCCGGTACGGATCCCGGAATACGTAAAAACTTTTATCGCATAGTTAAACGTAATGACCAGGAGTGTATCGTGAAAATTCGAGTTACGGATCGTCTTTCTTCGCATTCACAGTTTGCTGAAAGAAGATGAAAGAAAGTTGTATAATGGAACGTGTTGCGAACGCCACATAATAGTTCTGTCATTTAAAAAATAATATCTCTGTCGCCATTCGAGCAATGTAATCGAGTGTATCGATTACCTTGCTTTCATTTCTGGGGCATTAGGACGACGATAAAGAGCCGGCCAAGGAACAGTCAAAGTCAGGAGCGACCATGCTTGCGTTGCTCCAGAAATCCGACGAAACGGAGGAACTTGTAAGGGAAGATCTGGTCGCGCGATTCGATAGAGTCGTGCGGGGAAATCCGGATGATACTCTCCAGGTGTGACATCAGCCGATCTTTAACACAAATATTTCAAAAATCTATTAATCTGAACAGCGAAAGAAAAAACAGTATATTTATGAGCATATGTATATTATTCAATTAGGTCTAGATCAGCACAAACTATAATCGAAGAAATACATGTTAATTATACAGCGTTTATTATAGTGGCAACGTGACTGTTTTGTTTGTATCGTGGTCCTACTTTTTAAGGGGCAGTTATTTCCAAAAAACTGAATATTCAAATACTTCTCTGGGGTAGCTCTAAGTGCTGAAAAGTAAATTTTTCAGAATGGAAATCCTGTTGTCGTTGAATTAAAACGAAATCCATTAGCACCCACGTCATAATTCGTAGCACATTACGCAGACGTTGTCAATCTCATTAATGATATCACTCCCACGCGATTCCGGTAGAACTTGAGGAGAGACGAACTTGCAGGGGGATTAATGCACCGAGGGGGTTTCCAACCCCTTCCCCTCCCCCCTCTCCACGTGTAACGGACGATCACACACCAGATTTCTCTGTCCACAGCGACGAAACGACCGCGAAGAGATCAGAAGGAGGTTGGCGATGGGTCCAGACGCTGAAGACTTGCGCGCTGAACGCGGAAGAAAGCCGAGCCTTCAGTCGCGGCTACAAAGCGGTTGGTATCGCTCCAACCCTTAACACACTAAGCACACTGCGCCCGCAAAACCATGCCTCCTTCCTCTAACTCGTAAAAATACCCACTCGCGATCCCATTGCAACAGTTATCGTTTAACGTTGGAAAGGTACGACGGGCAGTATGGACAATAACAGTTTGCGATTAGTTTATCAGAGTGAAATTTTAAAAGAAAACAAAATACAGAAACATAGTAAACTACGAAAATAATAATTTAATAGGAATATTAGAAAAGATGACTTATTGGTGTGTAATCGTGAAACTAAAAATTTTCTGGTGAACACAGAAATACAGTGCGACGACGACGCAAATTCTGTGAATATTAATTAATTGGAAATTTATTAAAACAGTAGTTTTTACTATCGATCTCTTTGCATTCGGTCTTGCGACATTTAATTTTTACGAGAACTAATATCCTTCTGATTAAAAATATTATTTTAATTAGGAAGTATCAAGAAGTGCACTCTTAATCGATGTTTGAGTCTAAGCGGATTTAGAAAAATTCATAATAATCACTTATTTTTGCAATCAGTTTACCAGGGTGAAATCTTAAAAGGAAAGAATAAAAAGTTCAATATATTTTCATGATAATTTCATACGCAGAAAATAGTCGTTTAACAATCAGGAACTAATTATAATCTAATGTTTCAAAAACCTTACTCTATGATTGGTTTTCCAAGATACCTTTTCAAAAATTTCTATTAGTCCCCATATTCCAAAGGTTATAGAGGTTCCAATAAAGCCATGTTTCTGTGTACAGTTTGAACAGTTGACAAAGTGTTAAAGGAATAAAATAGTTAAAAATTCTAATAGAAGTCTCGTATCTGTTTAGGAATGAATCTTCAGATCTGCTTCATGAACGAAACACCCTCGGACACGGAGTCTCCGTGCTCGGAGAACGACGCCTCGCCTGGATCAACGCCAATCTCGAAGCAACAACAGAAACAACAAACGCCCATTAGACCTCAGGTGCTCAGTCTTCCTCCTTTGAGGCTCGATACAGGCTCGAATTCAGCACCGATCGACGAGGCCGACTTTTTCGCCAGGCAGGCCAGGTTGCAAACTGAGGCAAGAATGGCCCTGGCACAGGCCAAAGAAATGGCGCACATGCAAATGGAAGTCGAGAGGCAAAGGCTGAAACAAAGTCCCATCACGGAGATGGTGCGATCCAGCCTTGAAAAAGTGAGCCCTTAATGTTGTGAAAATAACTGTTTCAAATCTACGTTAAATCTCTGGCTTAGCCAAAACCTGTTCCAAATCTTAAAAATATAACTTGCAACATGTTTTTCCGAATACCTTGGGAAAGAGTTATACATATTCAGGTTGCATGGATTTGACAAAATATTTTCTTTCAAATCTGATAAATGGATCTTAGTCTACATAATCACCATAAAATAACTGTCTTTTAAAGATTAATGAATAAAATTGGAATACCCAGAAAATTATTCGAAACTAAAGGAACACTTGTATTATTTTTTCCAGGTCGGTGTTCAGTTAGGTGAGGACAGACGCAGATTGTCCCGAGTGCTTTTAACAGAACTAAACGTCGCACAGCTTCAAGTAGTAGCAAATGACTTGCACGCCAGAATCGCAGCCCTAAACGAGGCTCTCGTCGAGGGGCTCCTGAGAAGGGACGACTTGCACATGGAACAAGATTCCATGCTCGTCGATGTCGAAGATCTCACCCGATACCTGTAAGTTCCGCTCGTTCGAAGCGATATCATTCAACTGGGTTCCTTTTATTATTGCCCCTGTTCGCGCGGCTCCCAGCTAATTAAAATTTAAAAAAAAAAAGGTGAATGTTCACAAAAAGACGTATGGCCCCATTTTACTGAATGTAAAGTAGAACGAGGACTCTCGACACAAAAATCGATGTTTTTCCGAGCTTGAGCAACCATACTTCGTTTTTTCTACCATTTAACCCCTTTGTTCGACGAATTACGTTCCACGTGAATTACCCCTGTCGAAAGTGCACATTTTTTTCTCGACCAAAATTCTGGAAGCTTATTGCGGTAAACACTGTGGTTCTGGAGTCTTTTTATTATTATTATTTTAATAGATACGGCTTATTGTACATATTTTCTATTATTACTAATCGTGCAATTGTTCAATTTTTCAGGTTCTTTTGTACATGTTACAGTGAAACACCGAAATCTGGAGAATGTTGACTTTCACCGGTGAATGTCAACATTCACATAGTCGCTTAGTGTATGTCCGAAATATTTGCTAAACACCCTTATTTCTGACTTACACCGGTAAATGTTGACATTCACCATGCACTAATGGTGAGTGTTGAACATGTTGGAGATTTATATTTTCTTCTCCGTAATTCAGTCGCTATAAAACGTCACAAGGGTGACGTAACTTTTTCGCCTCTCTTTCTGAAAGGATCTAACCCAGAGCTAACCCAGACCTAACCCAGACCACTCTATTATTAAATAGGATTTTTGAGTCATATAAAATTATTTCATAAGAATTTTATTGTATACCAGGTCTGGGTTAGGTCTGGGTTAGGTCTGGGTTAGAAAAAGATCACGATTTACTGCAGTATCCATTTAGTATAAATTAGGGTATCGGAAAAAAAATTAAGAAAACGTTGCTCGCGTTATCAAAGCTTGCATAAGACTGACAAAGCTGATTGACTCCGAGCAGAACAAAGGATTTGGCGGGAGAGAGCCAGTCGCTTGTTTGTTGACTCTTCTATTTTGGACCTCCACCAGAGCATATCTGTGATTGTCGACACACACCGGAGAGGGTCCGAATGTACAACAATGTAATGAAATATTCGATCTTTCACCGACGTATTTGGTATCTGTTGACATTCACCGGTGAAAGTTGACATTCTCCAATTTCGGTCATTCACGGTAACATACAAATAACTTAGAGATTCGAGACAGTATTTTAAAACAAGGTCTAATAAAATATCGTTTTTCGTTTCCAATTTACACGCGATTATATTATAAAACACAGACTGTGCCAATACTTTTGTTCGTTTAGATAAGCTGTTATTCGTTCAATGCGAAATTATTTTAATCGCTACTTTTATTTACTGTTTCTTGTTTTAAAATTTTATTTTATAGTATTCATGTGTCTTCTACTTCTAAATTCTATCTACTAATCCAATATTTTCCAGCTTGCCTAGAATGTGAAGACGTCTTTTCACTTTTTTTTCATTTATTAATCATTTTAATTTGACTTATATACTCCAAAAATAGAGATATGGTGTTTTGCCAACACCTTAAACGTCCCAGTATCAAGTCTTCAACCTTATCAGAAACCTGAGTTAATTTCCTAATTTTCTACGTTCCTTTCACAGCCAACTAGTCTCCCATAACAAAAATTAGAATTGTTTAAACTGAACGTATTGCAGTGTATGGAATCTCTCTTCGGTAATTGTAAATTACCGTCGTTTTTCGTAAGCTGTTTCTCTTTACCAGTATCCCCCTACAAACTATGACAAATGTTACAGAAGTGGCCATAGAAATCGCACCGCCTTAAAAGTAATGTAAATTAAATTTGGACTCATCCAAAAATATTACTGACTAATTCACATATTGTTTTGCTCATTCTAGATGTTTCTTTATTATTGCGGTCAGCAGAGACTTCTTAACAAATCCACGTGCATTTAGTCCAAAATTTTGAAACCACCTCTTTATTGTTTTAGTACTTGCTTTTGATCCAGAATGGTCATTGATCCTTTGGTAACCAGTTCCTTGTTTTTTATCAATATTTCCGGTTTCTCAATTTTTATGACGAAGCCAGGACACAGTTTCTGCTTGCTATATCACGGTTAGATAAATTTTACTTATTTAGTGTAACAATTACACTCTTCTTTCAAGGCGCGAGCTGCTTATTAAAAACTAACTGTTAAAACATATGATATAACTCACGGCTGACTCTGTTTCGCTTCAGATTATGTAATCCTATTAAAACAATGGTAAAACACTATAGAGAAACTGATAAGTTTACAGTGTGTCTACATATTCGATAAACAGCATTTTAAAGGAGTTGTGCAATTTTTATGGCCATTATATTTCACGGTCTGTCGTAGTAATAACACAATGTTCCCATACCCAGAGGTGCCAAGCAGGAGTCCATGAAGAAGAAGCAGAACACGAGAGAGCAACAGACGGCCAGCAGAAATCATCAGCAAACGACAGCCGCCCAGAACAAGTTGACCATGAAGCCGAAGCTAACGCACCGCGGTCTAGTCTCCCTGGTGAGAAAATAATGCCTGGCCACGAGACTGCGTGGTCTCGTCGGAAATTAAACGAGCAGGAAGCACCGAGAAGACGCGATTAGTAGGGTAGATCACATCGAAGCCAAGGTCGACGCCAGACTCGACGGGAAACGCATCGGGCGTCGATGACTCGGATTTTCTCTCAATTGAGTCGGCCCGTTTAAAAATTTCTATCTCGTGGTAGACGAGCGCGATTCTCTTGAGAATGAAAACGAGTTCTTTTCGTTCGCCTGGAAAAATAAACGAGAGTATGATAGAGTCGTTTTCGGTTTTGCCAGAAGGTTCGAACAAAAAAGGATACCGCGGATCCTCTTTCTTTTCTCCAGGCAACAGTCAAAGAAGGGACAGAGGCTTTCCCAGAATTTCCAATGTTTTTACAGCTTCGTCGTTACCAAGTGAAAGTATAATATACGTACGTGCATATATAGATAGCCGGACAAGTAGCAACGAGCCAATAACCTTTTCCTGTAAGTCCTAAACGGGACGAATCCCTTCCGTTCTGGTAATATCCTGCGACCATGCATGCATGTGTTTCCCGAGTGTATCGCCTTTCTATGATAGCGTTTAAACGGTAGGCAGATCTCTTCTCTATGTTGTAAATAAACGAACGCGGTTAGACCAGCGAGTCTGCAACACGCGTTCTTCCGTCGCCGACAGAATTCGGGTTCTTAAAATTATTAATCGGATTAAGGGATTATCGCCGATTTCTTGGAAATTTTTGGGAACGGAAAGCTTTAATTCTACATTTCAAGAGTGTCTACAATTTTCTTTTCGTACAAAAATATACAAAATTGCAAAAGTTACAACGAATCCAGTGAAGGCCTTAAAAAATACAATTGACCGATTGGATTCGTTGTAACTCCTATAATTTTTAATATTTCTGCACGAAAAAATTTGTGAATACTCTTGAAACATAGAGGTAAAATTGTTTTTTAACAAAAATTTCTAAAAAACAATTAAAAAATTTCAGTCATGGCGGAAAACAGCCCTTTAAATCATACTCCGTTTGATTTAGTTGAAGGGGTATCTGATTTCTGATATTTTCGAGAATAATTTATATTAATTTTTACTTTGGTTTCTCTCCTAGTCGGGTGAAATTCGTTTACTAATTTAATACAAACTCTTCAACGCATCGTTTTGAAGATAAAACAAGACTAATAAGGAAGGTTTTTTAGGTGTCCGCCTCCGATTGTTCTGAATTTTGGATATGTTTTAAAGGACCGAAAAATAAAATATACTAAAGTTTCAGCTACAATAGGCTATATCAAAAACTATCATAGATAGAAGAAAACTTCTTAAGGAAAAGTTTCATGGTTTTTTATGTACATATAAATGCTGGTCATCAATTTTGTAAAAAATAATTTGTTTATAACATTATTTTAAAAGAAATCACAATTTACATAATAACAAAAAAGAACACAATTTCTTTTCTGAATCCATTGATATATCACATAGTATGTTTGCCTCTTACAATTTTGCGTATTTCAATATTATACAGTGATGCGCACAAACATCGGATGGCGGTCATACCAGATATAATGTATGGTTAATGTTCATTATAATATCTGGTGTTTACTATGTATACTAGGCACTAGTAAAATTATTTATAGCTTACAATATTAATAAAAATTACTTTAGTATTTACGTATTAATATGCGATACGTACATATGGTAAGGAATATAATTAATATAAATTAATTTCCGGTACTACTAACATGATTGGTGCAATTATATTTCAAATGTATGTATACATAGTATACATTTATCACCTGAATTTTTTACATAATGTATGAAATTTATAAAATGATTCACTTAATATTCAAATTTGTCTCAGAAGTAATATTCATGAAAAAAATGTTTTAAACAAAATGCTTTGTTACACCAAGAACATCTAACTATCGGTATTTCATCACAGAGTGCACATTTCATTTTTGTGTTCTGTTCGAAAGCAAAGTTTATAGGATTCACAAAATCTGATTTTTCTTCTGTATACCCACTTTTGTACCAAGCATACTGGAATAGATTTTTATATCTTGGTGAAGACAGTTGACTGTGTACAAGTGATTGTAATTTAATTACATTATTCCTTAAATGAAGATTAACGTCGTAATCACGTAACAGTACATCATCGGAAAAACGTCGAACATAATTTTTCCACACCCTAAATATATAAACATCTAGAGGTCGGATTCGTCCAATGGTACCCTTTGATATCGTCTTAATTATAATTTCTTTACCAGTTGGTTTCGCATTACGTACATCTTGCTTACAGTGTCCACTCCAGGAGTCTAATAGCAAAACAGACGTTGTTTTAGTATTGGTGAAAAAGACCTCTTCCAACCAGATTTTAAATGATTTCAATCAAAGATAATTTTTAGATACTGGTTACCAGAAGTGAGTTTCCCAGATTTTGATGCAGTCTCTCTCTCTCAGACTTTGGTCTGAATTGTACAAATTTTCATGTCCGTATCTCGTAATCAAAGGTTTTACTTCATTGACAAAATCCGTAGCTTTAACTTCCAATACTTCATCGTCTTCTATTTTCTTTCGTGTTACAAATTTTGTTACTTTTCGAGAAACAATACGATGAGCTTTTTTAAAATTATACAGCCATGTTTTGGAAGCTTTAAATGTCATATAATCGTTACCTTGTTCCTTATATGCTTGTAAAGCCCATCGTCGAATATCTCTATCATGCAAAATATAACCGGAATCAATAGCTCTCTTCAAATTTGTTATCACGAACTCGGAAATTTGAGCCAATCTTTCTTTTCTAGTTCCTCTTGCTTCAATTTGATGAATCCATCTTCGTAATTGTCGTTCAGATGAAACAAGTTTAAAATTATGATGAACGGTAGCATGTCTACGTCTTTTTTCTCCACCTTTCCAAAACGCAACTGCATTCCGTTTATAAACAACATCAACGTTTTCGTCACGCTGCGAACAAACTCCAATATATGTCTCCCCAGACCAATTTTCGTCTGCATCATCTTCATCAATAGCCTCAACCTCACATTCTTTAAATTGATCCAAAAAGTCCAATGACAATTCAGAAACTTCAATTTCATTATATTCAAATATGCTATCGAGCAACATTTTTAAATGATTTCCTTGAGTTGTACTTCCTCTCTTGTTACAGGAGTATCCATTAAATACATTGTTTGAAATGTTGCTAATAGCAAATTAATCACATTCATCGGATTGATAATCATTTTTAATCACTGTATTACAAAATGAATGCTGTGAGTGATCACGTCGAACGCTCGTATATGACTTTACAACTAACCAATCATCGAGGTATATGTATATGTATGTATAGAGCACAGCTTCGCAAAAAATAACTCATAATTTGATACACTGCTATTGTTCTTGAGATAGCCTATCGTAGCTGAAATTTTAGGGGGTCGTTTCACCCCCTAAATATGAAAACGGGCCGATATAAAAAAATACGTATATCTTATTTTTCGGTCCTTTAAAACATATCCAAAATTCAGAACAATCGAAGGCGGACACCTAAAAAACCTTCCTTGTAAGTACAAAAATAAAGAAAATATTTGATTTTCTTAAATATTTTTAATCTGTGGGGAAACATGAAAGTATAGTTTATTCTGAAAATATCACAAGTCTGGAACATTTAGAACAAGGGACAAATAAAAACCAGACACGCAGTAAGCAAGCATAACGCAAAACTTATTTAAAAGAATACTTACTTTGCATACGAGAAAACGTACATTTTGAACAATATCTTGACTAAAAACAGACGCAACTATGTAATGAAATCCGCGATATGGGTTAATTAATTAAGTACACGTGTACTTGAATGATATTCAAAGTTCGAAAACGAAGCCTCCCACGCTATTTCGTTCTTATTCTGAACCATAAAATCTGTCTGATTCAATTTGTACCATGAATTACGGACTCATGCTGTGTATACATATATACAGAAATCTAGAAATTAAATGTTAAATATCTTTGTAAATAATGAGCACTGGGGAAAAAGCTTGGATACGTGTCTGCTCATTTTTGCTGTAGAAACACCAGAAAAATCAACGACCCCACAGGTGCGACCTCTTCTTGTAAATTTCACCCTTAGACGACCACGGGGGTCCCCAGTCGCATTATTTCGTTAATAACTAATTGACGAAGTGAATTAATTCCACTTTAATTAATCCTTTCGTTTAACCTTTGTAACGTTATACCATTTCAAAATAAATAATCTTAAACCGATTGAAACGAAATAATTCAGAGCTGGGGTCGATTAAGGATAATTACAAATAATAGTTGTAGAGAATAAATTAATAAATACGTATGTTTCTAGTCACTCGTTTACGAAGCACACATAAGAATTCAGTTTTCGCTTTTATAAATATCTTTATTCTCGAGCATTTGTGATATTACTTTTTCTAATGACCAATTTGTATTGATCCGTCGTCTAAGTAATAAACAGATTAATATTGACGTTTGTCAAAATGAGACCCGGCATATGAAAACCACGTGGTCGTCTAAAGATCAATGAAAAGCGTAAACGAATGGAAGTTAAACGACATTGTGAAAAATGCCAGTTTTGCGTAGAAATTACTGTTACGAAAAAAAGCAGCTTCGATCGTTTGTATATACACGTATTATTTTGTAAAAACCTCTACGCGTCGGGGAACAGTGTCGTTCGATCATTTCATGCGTTTTTTCACAGAATTTCCCACTCGCGAACCAAACAGCGTTTCCTGCAGATCTCACATTTTGTCAATTGTGTTTCATGAACTCCGCTCTGTACAAAACATACAGTAGTGAGGAACTATCGGCATCGAATATTAGTTACTAATCGTATAGTAATGAAATGTATTTAAAAACAAATCGAATTGTTTTAGAAACAACGGAAATCTATCTAATATTATCGTTCTATTTATACTTACGGAAATCAATACATAGATTTATCGATACCTGCTCACCTAATATTACCAAAGAAACGAGTACATTCCTTTTATATCTTAAAACAACGCAAACGAGTACGTCTTATTTAAATACTCTATTTATATTGTACCGATGATCGTTCAATCCTTGTGATCTTATTTCATTATTCGTTTAGTAAAGTATTTACGATCGTTTGAGTGTTTCGTCTATTTAATTGATAAATTTCAGATGAAACAGTTCTTACTCGCTCCTCTGTAAATGCATCAACGTAAATTCCAGAGATGGAAGAGAACAAATACGCAAAAGGAAAAGAAAAAATAACGATCAGTACACGAACTAGCCTTAAAAATGTATTCGAGATTCAAGTAAAGGAAACGGACTGATTAGACGATTTTGAGTAAAATTCCTTTGTCAACTGCCCATTAAAACAACCAAGACTTAGCAAAGTAATCAAAAGTATATATGTATATATATACTTTTAGGCCCTTTTAAACAAATACCAATAAATACCAATGAAAGTTAAATGATTAGAGTATAATTTGTTTAATTTAAACAGCTTTTTTACAGGTTTAAATACTGGGACATTTACCTTAACACGCAAATGATGTCTCTTCAGTATTAAACAACAATTGACAACAGTTGCCACGCCCACAAGGAATTTTAATAGATTGTCTATTGTTTTAAACAAATTTATTTACAGATATTTATCGAGGATCTATCAAAACTTTTGTACCGATCCAATAGTTTTAGAAAATGAAATAAAAAGAGATATCGCTTTTTTGAAGGTTCTAGATTAGAATACCCCCTTTCATGTTTACATTTGTACAAAATAAAGCGTCGTATTCATCCACGTCGCACAATCGTTCGTGAAGAGGAAGAGAACGGTGATTAGATCGTCGATCTCACAGTCAGGAAATAATTAAAAGGTCGTCGACGCGTAGCAACGGAGGACCCTTTCATTAATTCGAGACATCGCCACGGCTCGTTGATGCATTGTAAACGAGCAAGAGCCGCTAATTAACCATCGATCGTATTCTAATTAGAGATCGTGTTCTCGAAAGTTCGAAGAAAAATAGACAACGTTCGCAAGGGTGATTTCTTTCGTAAACAATGCAGGTAATTTGCATAGAACAGAAGCTGCCGTTAAAGTCGGTTCGTCGGAAGTTCAAGATCTTCAGAAACAATTTTTCCAATGTTTATTACAATATCTACAATCGTGGGATTCACTCAGGCTCGGTCTCGATGTTGGTTGTTCGCACCTTCTGCCGAAAAAAAGAAATAAAACATTCGATTGCGAAACATTTTATCTCAGGACTTTGATTACAGACGAAACTAAACATTAGATTCGAACGTAGAAAAATGTAAATCGTACGGGGTATCATTTTGTACTTAAATCGATTACGAAGAAACGAAAGATAGAGTAAAAGAAAAAGAAAAAGAAAAAAAAACGAGAATTATAAAATAGAGGAGAAAATATCACTGTATTCAGTATTCGCTAGATGCGTGTATAGGTTGAGTAGAACGTACGGTATATGTATAGATACATATATATATATATATGTATATCTATATATATATATATATACATATATATATATCTAACAATAAAACATTTAATCAAAATCATCGCATAGAGCCTTTGTACTTCTACATAATCTGTAACAGGTCCACGAGATTGGTGCGTTCGTTGCATAAAAAAAGAAAATGGCAGTCGAGCGTTGACTCTGTTTTGTGTATTGTCTTACCGTTAGTATTATAAATATACATATACATATATATATATATTTATAATATATGTATGTATACAGGGTATTCGGCCATTCCTGGAAAAAATTTTAATGGGATATTCTGGAGGCTAAAATAAGATGAAAATCAAGAATACCAATTTGTTGATTGAGGTTTCGTTAAAAAGTTATTAACGTTTAAAGTTTCGCTTGTAGAACGGCAATCTGCGAACAGCTGTGTGCATGCAATAATGGTTCTCACTCAGCATGAGAAACACTAGTTAGTGATGTATAGACAAACTTATAATTTTATGAGTGAGAACCACTATAGCTGTTCGCAGATTGCCGCTCTACAGACGGAACTTTAAACGTTAATAACTTTTTAACGAAGCCTTAATCAACAAATTGGTATTTTTGATTTTCGTGTTAATTTGGACTCTGGAATCTCCCATTAAAATTTGTCCCAGGATTGGCCGAACACCCTGTATATATACTATATAGAGACGATAAAATATCGATCGGGGCCCCTTCGCGAAGGAGAGAGGTCGCCGGATAAAAAGAGATCGCGACGATATCTGTGGTATCCGGCGACGAAAATTCATCATTCGGCAATGATGGAAACGTCTAGACTCGCGTTATTATCTACAAAATACTTTAATCGTAATATTAATTAATAATATACAGATTGTAAATAACTAAACAATAATAAAATATGCTCTAACAAGTTCTTCCGCTTCTTGCTTCTGTCTCTTTCGTTATCTTGCATTGTCAATTTATTTTCCAGCCCGCCGCCGGGAAAAATCCAGACGGAGGAAGCCAGAACGGGGAAGAAGGCACGGGGCAATAGTCGAAACGATGTTCCTATTTTCATGATCGATTCGTGCATCTAACTCTCGCAAGCTTCGTCTGTTAAATCGATGAACGACGACGTCACGAGCTTCCTTTCAGCTTATGAAAGCTCCCTTTCCTCGAGAACCAAAGAAAAGAATGATGGGCAGGAAAGTGTGGGGGGGGGGGTGGGGGGGTGGACAGAGTTGGGCAGATTTTGTTCACCTAACTTCTATGGTTTCATTTATAAATTAAAATCTAATAACGAATTTTTTGAACCAATGTTCAGATGATTTTCACGAACGAATCTAATATTTTTATTCGATATTTAAGTATAAAATATGTCCAACTCTAGGGGCAAAGTAGGATGGGGGAGGGAGCACCATTTAAAAAGACGTCTCACGCGGGAACACGTAGCGACCTACACACAGAGGGTATGGGACGAACAGAGATTGAAAAAGTCATACAGGGTGCCCCGTAACACGTGAGATCCGCTTCAGCAATGAAAACAAATAAAAAAAGTTCGTATAAACATATACCCTATTGCACCTTGCTTTCGAGTTGTAAGTTTTATGTTGGGGCCATTCTATTGAAAGAGGCCTTTTTAAAGCATCATTCGTGAAGATGAACTCGCCATAACTCGAAAACAAGTTCAAATAAAACACACGTTTATAAGAATGTTTTGTGAACGTTTTGTGTTTTCTCATATGTAGAATTTATTGCTGAAGCGTTTACCACATGGTACGGGACACCATACATGAAGGTTCCGCTTGGAACCTTTATAAGAACCATAATTATGCTATAATAGTTACGAATGCGAAAAAGTTCTGGTCCAAATCGGTCATGGGCTCAATAATAGAGGTGCTGCTATCGATAATATCGTTAAGATATCGATAAGACAAATTTAAACAAGAATAAATATATTAATATGGTAGAAGTACCTGTATGTTTCATTTTGCTAAACGATCACTTGGATCTATCAATTTTCTTTATTTATCTATTGCTGATGACAAAAGATTCCTCATTTTTTCTTTAATCATTGGAATATCGATAGCAGCGCATCTCTACTCTACAACGTTTTTCTCTGTTGGTTTTAAAATGGTTGTGTATCAGTTCTATATCGGGATCATATCAATTCTAAAATTAAGTCTATCACGACAATTGAAGCACTTCATATCGGACAAAGTATAAATAATGATACATGCATGTATATGAGAAGAAAATTCTAAACTCTAATTTGCTATTTACAAATCTACATTTCAATTTTTCAATCGTAATTATAACATTGCAATAAAAAATGCTGAAACAAGTGGAAATGGGAAAAATCATTACCAAAAATTGCTAAATGATAGTTCCATAGAGACGTAATTTTTTAAGACAACCACGTTTAAAACAAATATTTTATCATTTTGGGATATCGAATTGCATAAAATAGTTTTGGTGCTTTTGGGCGTTCTACCTACGTAGGTCACTGTGGAATTATTTTCCGCAATGGTATAATTTATCCTCTAAAATTATTGTCAATTATTCATTCGATTGAATTATAATAAGACTAAAATAAAAACTCAGTGATTAGTATTAGAATAAGATAAGATGCTGTACATTTAGTAATTTATAAAGTAATTAATAAAGTAATTATAAATTAAAAAGACCCAGCGGATGCCGATTTAATATTGATACCCCCAAGACACAAAACTTTGACAGAATTTATATACATAATTTCAAGAACCTGCGGAAACGGTACACAATTGACATAGAAACACTTTGGAACCAATATACGGAATATTACTTTTAAATAATATCGGTATTTATTTTGGTATTCGGTAGTATATCGGTTTCGGTATTAAATAAGTATTCTTTGTCTTTTTATTTTTATTACAATGGTTTAAGCGAGTATTCTAGTCTAGAACTTTCAAAATCCGATGTTTTTTTAACACATAATAGATAAAGCGGTTTTAAAGTGATGCTAAAATTTTATTTATCGATATTTTTGCACAATTTTAATACCGATTATAGCCACCCATATATTTGTACTGAATAAAATGGTTTCCAGCCAGAAAGCATGTTCAACAAGTCTCCATTGTAACAGCTGGTATCTTCAACAATTTTAAATATTTTTATATGAAAAAAATTGTATATATGTACTTCTTAAATATAGAACAAAACCATGCGACGAGAATCCGAGACAAAAATATCATAGTTTCCTTGTTATTAAATTCTATAGAACGCATAAAAGATTGACGTAGACTAGAATACCCTTTTAAGTAACCGAATCTATAGAAAAACTTGACTTTTGCAAAAGGATTAATTTGGAGACCAAAATCTATAGAACTGATATAGAACCGTTTTAGAATCGATACAAAATGCAATTATAACCGATATGGACCAGAACCTTTTTTACTCGTAACCGTTACAACATGATTTCGGGTTCTTATAACCAGAACTGATAACTGTTTTCGATCCCTGAAATTTCGTTTCCCGTTCGTCCCGAAGCGACGTGGCCGATACACGTCACTGAGGTACCATGGTAAGAACACAAACGGCGACGACGATTAATAATACGTTCTCTACGCTCGTTACAGTTTGTTTTCTTTACTTTCGATCAATGCCTTTCGCTTGCGAATTCTCTCACTCGGCACCGACAACAAAACACCTTAAGCCTCTCGATTATGCGCGTTTCCTCTTTTCAAGATAATAGCGAATATCGTACATCGTATTAAAAATTCTTAAATTACAACTGTAAATATTATCTCTACTATACAATCAAGCTCATTCGTGGCGCTGTTCCTTAGTGTTCACCGTTCTACGACTCATCCATCTACGTCCCGTCCACACGGTTTCGTTCACCGCATTTACATTTTACAAATACATGGCAATGGGGAGGAGAATTTACAATGTACAAAAACACCGGTTGAACCTTCGAAACGTTCTGAAAGTCTTCCAATGTAAACGAACAAGACGTTCGAGAATGAAAATGAAAGAGAAGAAAGAATTGCCGAAAAGTATAGAAGATAAGAACGTGGAGCACAGAGTTCCTTTGTTCGGAAGCTTTTTTCAGACTTTCACGAGTCTCAAAGCTCAATTAATATCTCCCATTGGTAAATTCTTGGTAAAATACTTTCAATATTCAGCGTCCTACGCGGTCGATCCTCCTCTTAAGGCGGTACTTTAAATACTTTAATCTCGAAACGTATAAAAATAATAATACTATCGATCTGGCGTAGTAAATACACAGTATTACGTATTTCCAAAGCGCACTTTTAAATAACCGCAAAGAGCCGAGCAACACATCGTCGATCAGAGTCGGGCAAATTTGATCAATGAAAAACGGATAACAAATTTTAGACTCGTTCGTAAATTAATTTTTACAAGGAATCCTGTCAACGAATTATAATTTACGAATAATTTCATGAACAAAACGTAAATGGATATTTCACGAACGAATCTGCAATCTTTACTCGTTTTATTCTTGAATACAATTTGCCCGAGTCTATCGTTATGTTCAAAAAACGTCCATAACTATATCACCGAATGCGAAATAATTGACAAAAAACAACGGTTCGGAGAAAGTAAAATTGTCAGTAATAAGGGCGGATATTTTAATTACTGACACCATTTTAAATAGAATTATTCTGCATTCGGCGATACCGGTGATTCGACGCAGTTTGTTTCCGGATGCAAATGGGTTAACCCTTCATGTATAGCGATTTCAAATACTATATACCAATCCACAAATCTTCGTTGATCTATTTTTACAAATTAAATTTGATCGCTCAAGGACGTCTATCTTTTTTCGGGCCCCATTAAAATCGACACTATTTTCAATTACAAAAATTGTTTAACATTATTTAAAAGGTTAGCCTAAACCAAAGTACTTTTTGTTTTCTCGCCAGAAACTGAATTTATTATCGTCGCATTAATTACCGAATCATAATTGTTTCAACTCTAATAAAACAGATGATTGTTATATTTTGTTCAATTTATTAACACTAGAACTACCAAAGCAGTCAAAATGACCCATTCATAATTTCTAATAAAATTTGTACAAAATTTATTCGACTAAATTTTTGAAAATTTACTGTAATTTTCTATAAGAGAATGAATAAACGCTTAGTTCCATTGCATTATATATTTTTTCACGTATCTATCGTTTTAATCACTTTGATATAAATAAGTGCACTATATTTGTCGGTAGTTCTAGTGTTAAACATTTTCCAGACCCACCAAAAAAATAAGTGGTCTCATCGACAGGTATGCTTTCCTTATTTCAAGCGGGTACTCGAGTATTTAGGGGAGGGGATGTTAGACTTGTTCGGTTGGGTCCGTTCCCAATCAAGAAGTCGTCGCGGATTAGTATCGCGTCCAGCGTCGTTCACGGTGTTGTATTTTCGAGGTCGATTCCGGTCTTCATTCTGATTGTAAGAACGATCATGAATATTTAGTGAAATCGTGACTTTTCCAAAGTGAGTGATTTTAACAATTATGATATGGTGTAGGAAAAATGAAGTGATTCGTTTGAAAAATTCAGATTTAATAATAATTTGTTATCAAAGTGGTCCTCTTCTGGTCGACAAATCAATCAGTTTTTTAAGAAGTACAAACAGTAGTTAAATTTTGAATTTATTATTGCCGGGAAAGTAACGTTAGAACTTCCGTCTGGTTCATCTACAACGGTAAGTACTCATTAAAATCTAAATCTGTCCCAAAATTGTTAGATAGACAAAAAGAAAAGAACCGAATTAAACAAAACAGAGTTGATGATTTCAATGGGGTCCTATTTTTCAAAATCTTTCCCGTGCCATAGCTCCTTGAAAAATCGCTAGAATTTAAATAAAAAATTTAATCGATTAAGGTAAAAAGTTGTGCCATACCTGAGGGGTTAAGAGCTTCGCGGTGTCTTATCTCCTCTACGCAATCGTTTCAAAAGTAACGAACGAACTGCTATCGACTGAAAACAGTTTAGTGTATGTACAAAGGGTGGAAATCATATTTAAGCGTCTACGGAAAAAGTCACTATAAAAACTCGATTCGATCTCTCGTGGAAAAAGACATTTAAAAAATAACACGGTGATCCTGGGAACGCTACACGGATTATCGACGGACACGCGCGTCGAACACGACTCCGTACAGAGTCCGGCAAGTCCGAGGAACACGGGCCACGTTCTTAATTTATTACGACCCCTATGCTCGTTTGTAAACATTATTATCAACGACTTGTAAATAACAGCTGCGCGCTTTCGCTCAATAAAATCGCCTGTCTTCCTTCCTAACGTTCTCGTCTATAGCATTCAGAACTTTTACAACATCCTAGCGATCACGTTTCATCATTGTGTACTGGATGTTCGTATTATTAATATTGTACATGTCTTTCAATTTCATTCCTTTTGACATTACAATATATATATTCGTTATGATTTTGTTTTCCAAATTATTTCTAGACTTCTTTAATGAAATATGAATTTATTATGTATAGTGTACGATTTTATATAATCGTATCACGCTCAACATTGTAATTAAATTTTAATATAGCGATTAAAATTAATTATAATTATCTAAAAAGAGCTGTTGAGTTTCCGTTCTTATGATGCTATTCGCTCTCCTGTCTTCGCAAACAGGTGGATCAAATCTACCACTGTACAAAGTATCGTTAAAATGACTAATCTCGTTGCGTTTTCCTTGTTGATGGCGACGAGTAACTATAATAATACAAAAATCCTGTACACGACATTCGTGCACGATGCTGCTAAGGAACTAACTGCAAATAACGATCGATACGAATAGTATTAGCGTTTTCGCTCGATTGATTCGCGCCTGTCTTATTTGAAAGCGGATTAGATGCTTTCAAAACGCACGAAATCGAAATTCAAGTAACTAATATAATGTACTCGCTCAACTGATCGTTAGGAAGGACGTCGAAGTAACGAATTCCAACCAGGTATTGTCAATGCTAGCTAAGGTCACTTGCCCATGCTGGCATTCGCTGGCAGAGTCGCGGATCGTTGTTGCACCGATGAGTATGGCTTCAAGGTAGATCTCGTAGACTCCCTGAAAAATAACGCTATCGATAAAACACGGCCACGCGATGCAAAATAATTGTACAACTCGTCTGAATGCAAATAATATCAAAACATCAAGTGTGTGAATTAATGCAAAAAATATAAAGCTCCGAAAGCGCAACAGCGGGTTTTTTAATTTATGAAAGGTGTAGGAATAAAATTATGAAAGCCCCATTTCAATAAAAAAAGCGCCGAAAGGAGGATGATGAAAATGGACAGATCTTATGCCATATTGTCAATGAAAAAGTTTATCATAATTCTACAACCCCTTGCAAACAAATTTCCAATCATGTATCACAAGCTAAAACGAAAACTTTTCGTTGGCACTATGATCAAAAATCGACCTATTTTTATCGCTCTTCTTTGTTGATTTCTAGATTAGTTTACAGGGATTACTTTCGGAACTGTTCGGATGGACAAATATTTATAATACTCGTGCAAGTATAACAATTTTTCAGTTCTTTTTTAACAGAATATGATTTAAAATTTGTTGATCTGTGATAATTAGACTAAAAGGTTCTTTAATTAAAAAGTAATCCTCGTAAATGAATTGAAATCACTATGAAATCCGATATTTTACCGTGCATACTAAACACACATCTTATTGTTCAACACGTTGCATTCCACAATCATTAACATATAATCTGCCGATACAAAAACATCACACAAAAAGCTATGCAAAATCACTTAGTAGTATAGCACATTACGAAATGCATTTTAAATAGAGGAAACAACAGATATCAATTAATTATTACTTGTACTATCGATTTCATTTTTAAAACTTTCTAATTTTGTTAAGATTAAACCAAAGCAATTAATAACTATAAATCATCGCTTGATGGACTAACTTGAACTTTCTGAAAAAGTAAATAACATTATAGTAACAATATAAGGTTATACGTATATAGAAAGGAAGTGTGAATTGAAAACATGTTGCCTATATTTAGTTATAAACAATTTGAAACCATTTCTTCTTTGTTCTCATTATGTAAGATAATCGTCTTTTTAAGAAAAAAAAAAAATGACTATAAATAACTATATTTTATTACAGAAAACATTTCAATTAAGAAAGATCGCACACAATAATTTTACTTTTCTCTGTGCGTTATTACACTTTAATTTAACAAATATGATTTCTTAAAATTAAATTTGTGTTACTATCGACCCCCATACGTTGTTACAACCGACCCGGAATCTAAAACGATTGTAATAGTTTCTCAGCTTTCCATTTTTTATTAATAACTTGGATACTGTTTCATGCGCAGAAAAATGGCTGTGACTCGATAACATCAAATAAGTATGTAACATGTTCGCCTAGAAATTGTTGTTGTGAATGCGATAGCTTTTGTATGATCGTATTCTAAAATCAAAGTGTTACTGCCATCCCCAGTCACTACTACAGATCGGTATCACGTTTTGTGTTCTAATGTTCGATAAGAGAATCGAGCGTCGATTTTATGTGGGAAAATGGAAGAGCAAAAAAAATCAAACGGCTCTAACCTCGCTACACCCAATCATGCGATGCCACAATACAAGAGATCTACTTAGTCTCTGGTTAGGTTGAGTCGCATGGCTACGCTACCTTGGCGAGACACGCTGCCCCGTGCCGTCGACATGCGAGTTCGCCTTGTAGCCACATTTTTGTACACGTCTAGACAGTCTTGCAACCCAGTACTTCTGCTCGTCAGGACTACCAGCCAAGATTAAAAGTTCACGAGCGCTGTTCGGATCATAGTGCAATTTACACGGCGCTATGGTATCTTCCTTCTTGTCCAAATGCTCCTTATGCACTTTTATACGACACCCTGAACAAAACATGACAATTTAATAATGTGACTACGTTGTCACGGCCACTGAAAAAAGCTAGAGTCTTTAATTTCTTACAGGAATCTTAAATTTATTTATTTCTTGAGAATAGTACTATTCGTGTTATTGTTCAATACTTACTTCGACACTCGAGAGCAGGTGGTGGTCGGAACATATGCCACAGTTGTTTTGAGCATACCTCGCAAGTTGTGGGCATGTGATACGATATTGAAACGAATTCGTGGCCTTTTAACGATTGTGTTCCTGGTTTATCCGTAAGTTGTGGCAGTTCCACTCCAGGCAGTGTGTTTCCTTCATCGCCCGGACGCCTTGCTTCGCCTTCACCAGCGTATAATAACTGTAAACAAAGAAAGCATGCAACTGAGTTAGCCATTCTATAAGTAGAGTGATGCAGAATTAACCTAACCTAACGGTGAATGTTAAAGAAGCGTTGCTGTATTTATTACTGGGCATTTTATTTACCTGAAAAATTCTCGGAATATCTTTGGCATCGGCTCGGATGACATCACCCTGAGTAACAGATCTAACGTGGAAGACTTTATTTAAATCCAATATCAAAACTGGATCCGCGTTTAGTTTATCGTTTTCGCTATTGTAAAATATTATCTTCTTCGAAGAGACAACAACGTATTGCTTCTTCCAGCCGTGCCTCTTAATGTTTTGTTTATTTGGCACATTTAACCAGCCTTCCAATCTCCTCGTACCATGTTCCGACAAAACAGAATCTTCCCCATCATTTTCTACGGATGAGACGCTAGCAGTTTCCGAGTTCAACGACGCGATCTTCATTTGCAACGTTTCTATCTCTGAATCTTTTGAATCTAGTTCCATTTGTAACCTCAATTTCGCTTGATTTTCTTCTACCAATTGTGCCTGTACGAATAAATTAACATAAAAAACTATAACTATTTGTAAAAATTAATGATGTTAACATTTTATTTACTTGTAAATCTTGCAAATCCTTTTGCCATTTAGCTGCCAGTTGTCCGTATTTTTCCCTCTCTTGAGTAAGCTCCTGTTGTAAACGTCTGCAATCTTTCTCTTTCTTCCTTAGATCCGCTGCAGATGCTTTGTTCTTAGTCTTACCGCTTGAAGATAAATCTTTCCTGTTCATGATCTCTGCTAGCTTATTAACCGCCTGCTGTTTCAATAATTGCTCAGTTTTCAGTTTACTACTGAGTTTTTCTATTTCTTCGGCATTAGATTGTGCTTTAGTAAGTTGATCTTGCAACTCTTTAAACCGCTTACTTAAATCTTCCTTTTCTTTAAAGTATTGATCAACATTCTTCTTAAGATCACCTTCACTGTCTTTAAGTCGATTTATAATTTGTTCTTTTGCATTTAGTTCTTGGTGATGTTTGGCTACTCCGTCTTTATATTCCAACTCCTTCATTGTTCGTTCTTTTTCGAGATCTGCCACAGTTTCTTCGGCTATTGATCTTGCTAAAGCTTCACTGTCTCCTCTAGCTAACGACAATTGTAACTGATGAACTAAAGAACTACGTTCTTCTTCTAACTCTTGTTGCAACCGAATTTTTTCTTCCAGCTCTTCTCGAAGTTCTTGTGTCTGTGTTTTATAAAGAGTCTGTAAATAAAAAAACGATATAGAACAAAGTCATGAAACGGTCAAATAGCCCCAAATAGAACATCAGAGTTAAAATGCAAACTTACCGAAAAGTACGCTTCTGCTTCCAACTGTTCTTGTAATTCCTTGGTTTGCAACTGGTCCACATTTCTTTGAGTTTTCAAGTGATGTAGCTCTTCTTCTATTTGCCGTTTAGCTTCTCTGAGCTGAGCAACCTCGCCAACTAACTGCTGTTCCCTGGCACGTAACCGTCCTGCTTCGGATGACTGCTGTGCCAATTCAGTCTGCAGAACGTTTCTTTTCTGCTGTTCCTGTTCTACCTGACCCTGTAATACTTTTACCTTTTCTACCTCTTGCCTATGCTCACCCTCCAGTTTCTGTAATCGTTGTTGTATCTGACGATAATCCACGGAGAGCATAGAGGTTTGCCGCTCCTTCTCCTGCGCGAGCAATTCAGCACGTTGTCTTCCACTTTTTTCCTCGTTTAGTTTTGCTTGTAGCGCTGTTAATATTACATCAACGTATAAGTATAACTTTGCCTCCTAAACAATCAATTACAAGTGTACAAATTCAAGTACAGTAGTGTACATACGTAAACAGAAATACCATTTAGCACGGTAAGCGGAAAATTTAAAGAATTGCAATTAGTAGTAAAACAATATAGAAATAAAAATGTAATGTAACTGTATAATATGTACGTACATGAGTGCAACATAATTTGCAAAAATCAGGGTCTCGGTAACACGTGAGGTTTATGTTGTTATTTAACAGTATTCGAACATATTATGATATCACATATACGCATGATGTAACATAATTTACTTTATATAAAACAACAGTTAAAATATCTTTTGACAGTTATTTAGAGTAAATGTATAAAAATGGCATAACAAAACTATGAATTTGTAAAAATTAGTGTACATTACCTTCAAATATTTTATTCTTTCGCTCTGTTATGCATATTGGAATAAAAATGTATAACTTATCAAAATTATGTTATTGCGGCTACTTAATTTAAAATTAAATTAAATTACCTTTAACAACTTCCAAATTAGCTTCCTCTTTTGATAATATACGCGAACGTTCCGTTTCTTGATGCGCCACCACTTCCTGATTATACCTAGCTTGCGCAGCCTTTAATTCAAGAGTCAAACTAGCAGCTTCTTTTTCCAACGCCGAAATTCTTTCAGTCAATTGCCTGTTGTCCATGATCACTTTTTCCTCTTTTTCGCGACTATGTTCGAGTTCAAGATGAAGAGCAGAAAGACGGGTTTCCAATTCAACGGTTAAAGATGACGCCTGTGATCGTGAACTACGCTCCTTCGATAATTGCCCCTATATTCAGAAAAGGTAGATTTAGTCGATGAAACCTATAATATTGAATATGTATAATGATCAATTTGAAACTTAAATACACACTTGTAACGTTGCCACTTCTTGCTGTAAGTTATCTCGTTGCGCCTGTAGCTGTGCTCTTGCTACTTGCAACTCGTTTGCCATTTGTTCTGCAGCTTGACGAGCCACAGTAATCTCTGTAGCTTGTTTTCGTAACCTCGTTACGGCTTCCGTTTCTCTTTCTAATTTTGATTGCATTTCTTTAATTTGTTTTTCTAATGTTGTGACGCGTTCAGAAGTTTGTTGCGAATTGCTTGCATCGCGCGCTCTTTTTGTTTGTTCTTCGTCAAACTTTTTTTTTAACTCCACAAACAACGACTCTGCTTTTCTGCGCGATTCTGTCTCATGTTCTACCCTACGTTGTGCTTCTTTGTAGTTGTGTCTCAGCAAAGTCAATTCTTTATCCGCTCTACCTATCTCTTCGCGCAATTCAGTTTCTCGACGCGTCATAGCTTCTAACTGTGTCGTCAAAGCTTTTTGCCTCGATTCCAAGGATTCTACTTGTCTTTTCTCTCGGTCCAATAAATTTTCCAATTGAGAAATTTTAATATCATCGCTTGTACCATTATTGATATGATTTTCTAATCCATCTACCGATTCTTTACCATTAGAAGCCATTAATTGATAATCTCCCGAATACGTAAAACCAATAAATGGTAGATGATTGCCAGAAAATGCTTTTGGTACCGGAAAACTCTCTTCTGGCCCATCCTCCTTATCAACGTCATCAAAATTACTGGTATCATCATCGCCAGAAAGTTCTGGTACTACTGGCGGCACACATTCTCGTAAATTTTCAAAAGTCCACTGATCATTTTTAAAGAAAGGGTGACTTTTTATTTCGTCTACACCGTTTCTTCCTAAACGTTTAGTTCTATCCGTAAGAAAACCGCATATCAAATTCTTGGCAGAGTGAGAAATATCAACTTCTTGAGGAAAGTGTAATGAATTTCTATGATCCATGATCTTTGAATATGTTCCGACTAATGAATCTGCATAAAAAGGAGTATCACCGACGAGCATTTCATACAAGAACACACCAACTGACCACCAATCGCATTCCCTTCCATATACACCTTCACCGCCTTGAGACTGTAGTACTTCCGGCGATATATAATCAGGTGTACCCACTGCAGTATCAGATCGAACAAGTCCGTCCTAAAAAATACAACATAATGATTGAATATTTTACTAAATAAATTTGACCGAAAAATATATAAATATACGTACAACATCCATTCTCATACAAGTGCCAAAATCTGCAAGTTTTAAATGACCGTGCTTATCAAGTAACATATTATCCGGTTTTACGTCTCTATGAACAAATCCCATAAGGTGTATTGCATCTAATGCAAGCACCACTTCAGCGCAATAAAACTTCGCCCATTTTTCTGGCACATCATAATTTGACATTAAGTTTACTAAATCACCACCTGGCATATAATCCATCACCATATAAAGATATTTTTGATCTTGAAATGCAAAATGAAGTTGAACTATCCATTGGGAATTGGCATGTGCCATTATATCACGTTCTTCCCAGAAAAAAGCAGAATCTGATCGTTTAATCTACATAAAAAAAAAAAGATAAACAGGAGGAAGGAAATATACAAAAGTGTAATTGGTTGTTAAAAATTACATATACTTCTTACCATTTCAAATTTACTGAGTAATTTCATAGCATACACTTTTTGGGTAGACTTATGACGTACCAACTGTACTTCCCCAAATGCCCCACGACCTATCACTTTTATTAGAGTGAAGTCATCTGTACGCATTCGCATTTTACTAATATCTTGAGCCACTGAGTCATCTGAAATTATAAACAGTTTTATCTAAGTACTTGTTCTTAGAAAATCAATGCTGTCATCACATTAGCATAACAAATGTATTCAAATTTTTGTTTTATATTAGTAATACAAAATACTTTCCAAAGACTGGTGGACTGATATTTAAAACATTACTTTTATAGTATTATGTACCTTTTTTTATACATATTTTCATTAACAATTGATTAAATACTTACATCTATTCATATACGCTTCTATATTTTTCATACGTTTTACACTGGGATGCTCGCAATCAGCCACCAAAGCTTGGACTGTATCCAATAGGCAATCAATATTTGTAACGCTCCTTGGATCTTTTATACGTTCCTCCAGCCCTCTTAGGCGCCTGCGCCTGTCCTCATCTCGTACTGCATCCATTTCTCCTATTAGAAGCTAGGAATAATTTGCCTCAAAAATGTATTGTTCCTCTTCATGCATCAAAAGTAATGCAAAACAAAAGGCTACATGCAATGTAAGCACAATTTATGCACTGTTGCAATACTGGATGGGTAGTCCATGTTTCCTAAAATGACAAAAGTATATTAATCACATTAACTTTTTCCATAAAAATATTTACATTCATATATTTAAATACTAAAAGACTATTGCATAGAAATAACAGTACGATTATTTTTGTATAAGTTAAAATAAAATACACAAGTACTTTAATAGATAGTAATTACAGAAAACAATGTACATGTACATAATTTATTGTATGTTTAAAATAATTTAATTACTAATTTATAGCATATGTTTGTATTACTTTATGCATTATAAATATAAGAACAAATTCAAAATATCATAGAAATAAATAAAAGAACATTAAATTAAAAAGCTCACAGTGAAAGCTCAAAATAAAATTGTCTCTCACCTTTTACTAAAAGAAAAAAAATAGGTATAAATAAAACAAAACAAAGTTGTACTCAATAAGTATAAAAAAATTTGTTGAACACTAGAATACATGAAATATATAATTATTAAAAACGATTTATATATAGGAAACGATCGTTAAGAAACAATTACTGAACTATTTTAAAAAGTGGAATGTTCCAAGTAATTCTTATATATCTAGTTTTCATTTCAAATCGAATATTAAAACGCAAACAAAAATTTACTGTTTTCTTGTCACTTTTGTTGAAAGCATTTTTATATGAAGAATGCCAGTCACAGAAACTATTAAACAAAATCAAAGCTGAATAGTATTTCTGCGTCTTAGTATTTAAGTGGAAAGTGACAAATTTATAAACTGACAAGGTGAAGAAGTCTGTCAGGAAGCTCGTAGAGCTAAGGTGGATCCCATGCAGGTGCTTCTGAACCCGTCACAAAAGATTCTCTACGAATCCCGTATTTTCCAGGATCGGTTAATTAATGTCAAAAAAAATCCACTTTAACGTACCTAATATCACGAATACCATGCCCCAGTACTCCGTCTAATTAGATAAAAATACTATAAAATACATTATTTTTCTACGTAAACTGGTCGCGATTGCACACAGCTGAGCCGTGCATGCGCCATTAGGAAAATTTACAACGGTCATCAAAGCCAATGAAAAATCCGCGGAAAACTTAAATCATTCGACACGTCTTTCGATTCGTGTAAAATGACGATGAAGAATCTTCAGTTTTTGTTGAAGAAAATTGATGTCTATACCAGACGCGAACTCTCACGTTATTCGATTTTAAAATCTACTAGCATCTTCGAGGATATTTTGGTTATTTGCACTGTACCCTACACCGTTCGAATGTTCGCTATTTCGAAATTAACAACATACAAGTCACCCTTCTCTACATGAATATACATTTATTTGAATCAGATCAACCTTAGAAAGTACCGCGCGTATAATCGAAAACTACGTTAAAGTTGTTGAGACGGAGTATCAACGACTTCAGAAAAAACGATGTAATGGAGTGCGGGAATAACCAAGATGGCGTAGCATTTCACGCACCGAACGAGATGCGTGTTTCTACACTTGTGCAATCTGCTTGTTGTTCGTTATTTCTTTAATTAACAGAAAAATCATTACCAGAAGTGAAATTCTGAGTGAGCTACACAATTGAAATACACACGGAATGCTACATGGTTCTGTAACATAGTAAAATCCTTAGTTTCCCGCGCGTATTTTGATGTTCATTGGACCATTCTACGAATTTTTTTGGCACCGTTTATGTCATATTTTGTATTTATAGCGATAATACGTATCGTAGAGAGATAGGTATGTATGGTTATTAAGCTAAATACGTCAGTTTATTGCTTTAGAGATATTTAAACCTTCGTTTCTAATATATTGTTCTTTTACACCTTTTCCCATGAAAGTTTTGTATTTTAAGGGTTTGGCTTCTTCTGTTCCTTGCCTGCATCATTATAATTTTATTCTGCGTGAAGTTTACGAATCTAAATTAATTTTGTGTTCCAAATTCTGTGAAAATGGGTCTGCCTTATGATTGGCAGATAAATAAACAAAAGATATCAGAACGCATCCAATATTTATTGGAGACAGGACAATGGTCAGACTGCAATTTTATTGTTGGGGAAGAACCTCATCAACAAACACTAAAAGGACATAAATTATTTTTGGCTATGTCTAGTCCTGTGTTCGAAGTGATGTTTTTTGGAGGCATGGCAGAAAAAAATGATCCGATACCGATACCAGATATTCAACCAGAAGCATTTAAGGCTCTGCTAGAATATATATACACAGACCGAGTTGATTTGGGTTCTTTTGAGTTGGCTTGCGAATTATGCTATTGTGGCAAGAAATATATGCTTCCTTCATTGGTAGAAGAATGTACAAAGTATCTATGGTCTGATTTATCACCAAAAAAAGCCTGCAGAGCTTATGAATTTGCTAAGTTGTTTGAGGAACCTGTGCTTATGGAAAAATGCCTCCAAATTATTTGCACAAAGACATGTGAAGTTTTAAAAGAATCTAGTTGGAAAGATGTTGAATTAGGAACTGTCTTAACCGTATTAGAACAAGAAAATTTACAAATAAATTCTGAAATAGAATTATTTTATGCTATGGAATCTTGGGCAAAAGCAGAATGCGTAAGGAAATCTCTTGATGCCAATGATGGAAAATTTTTAAGATCTGTAATTGGTAATGCTTTATTCGAGATTAGATTTTTAAGTTTAAGTCCTCAGGAATTTGCAGAAGGGCCAGGAATGTCATTATTGCTTACTAAAGATGAATCTTTTGCAATTCTTATGAATATACTGTGTACTAGTAATAAAGCACCTATGCCTGAAGGATTTTCTACTAATGCACACAGTAGAATTAAACCATTAAAAATGCCAACTACAAATAAAGAGTATGCATTGGTAAGTTACTGAAATATTCCTTGATTAGTCTAATGATGGGCAAACTAAGGCTCATGGGCCAGATGTGGTCTGCCTCAAGGTTCTATCCAGCTCACTGCAGATTTTAAAACAATTGTATAGAAATTTTCAATTTCAATGTTTTAAACAAATTCATTTAAGGACGTTCCATTTTTTGCATATGTAGAAATTTCCATAGAAATTTGAATATTTTTTGTATATACAAAATATAGCTGTGAATATTTATATAGAAATCGGGCCTAAGAAACATGCATAAAATTATTAAAATATACTTATTTGCTTTTATGTTTAAATTAAAAAAAAAAAAAATAGAAACAAGATTTTGGAAGAAAAATGTATTGCTTTTTATACTAAATTATATTGGCCCACCAAAATTTTTCTTTTCTTTTTTTGATCTATCCCTAAAATAGTTTGCCCATCATTGGTTTAGACTTTGCATTTTCGATATTCTGTACAGAATTTTCCTGTATAGAATGTACATGTAGGATGTAGGATGGAAGGACCAAAGTACTGTATGAGAAGTATACTTCAACAAACAGATTGTGCCAATGCAGATACATTAGATTCATCTGTTACTTTTATTGTAGATAAAAGTATTTGTATACTGGGTGTACAAGTACCAACGCAAATTATGGGTGCAGTAAGTTCCATGTATAAAAATTAAATTTTATTAGATTTTATTTGGTATTAATTGCTATATATTATCTACCCGTTACAGGCTAGTAATATGAATCATGTTGTTAATCGTGATACATCATATACTGAAATTTTGTATGCTCACCTACTTGATTCTGATGGTACTCGTTTAACTTATACACATTTATCGACAAAAGTAAATATTAATACTCTCGTGGAAATTACGTTTAATCGACCTGTTTACATTCGGGAAAATACGGTACATGTTCAAAAATTAAATCTTATAGAAGACTATTAATTTAAAAATTGTTTCTGAAGTTGTTTCTGTTCTTTTTTCAACTATAGGTTTATCGAGTTGGTGTCGTTTTTAACAAAATCGGTTGGTACCCAATGGGAGTCTGTGCTCAAAATGTAACCTGTGATAATGTATATTTCTCGTTTGGTATCGGCGACAATGTAAATAGTGTGCGAGATGGTCTTATTCGATCTATAGTATTTATTCATCATTAATTGTTGGTATTACATACCAACAATAAAATTGTCTTACATAAAAGAATTTTAAATACGTATTTTGAATTTGTGATAAGACAGAAGTCTGCAATATGCATTATTACTATTGTATATTATATTATTAGTGCATTATTTTATTTTTCAAATTATATTGGTGCTATCCTTTATAACAAATTTAAACTAAACAACTGTACAAAATTATACTCATTGGTTCTAGTTATAATGAAAGTCAGCCCTGTAAAAAACGAAGTTCTTAATTTATATAAAAGTATTAAGGTTTGAAAAACAAATAAGAAACCTGGATTTTAACAATTAAGTGTCTTTATTAAAACTAACATTGCACATTAATATCATATGTATCTACTTCTGTTTCTCCCTCTAAAATTATTTATAAACTTCTAACAATTTTATTATTTTACAAAAATGTAATTATCTATTTATCACATATCATATACTATTTACTATTCATCTGTAATATTTCATTCAATATATAAAAACACAGGTGTAAGATACAAAATTTTTATTATATTTATGATTTTATCATATTTGATTTATTGGACTTTTAAATATAAATTCTGAACGTACAAATTTTTACCAAATTATATACATTTTGTATTAAACATTAATATATAACTATCATAAATGTTACAGATTTTGTGCTTAACTTTATGTATTATTCATATAAAGACATATATTAATTAACAAATAGATTAAAAAATGTAACCAGTCTATGTGATTAAGTACCTACTTTACAGTACAAAAAATAATAAATCTATGTCACCTATACTTGTATCTTGATAATGTAAAGTATATCCAATAATAATTAAAATTTGTGCATCATATACTACATAGACAAAAATACATATATCTTATTGCTATAATATGATTGATACACTTTAAATCAAACTTTTCGATACAAATAAATAACAATATTTAAAATATTTTAAATTTAAATAATTTCTTACGTTTTATGTACAATGAAGTCCCATGTATCTCGCCATCTTAACTTTAAAACTTCCTTAGCACTTAATGGTGTTGTCCCATAACTGAGTACAGCAAACTTATTAAATACATAAATAATACAAAATATCCATATAAAAATACTGCACTTGAATGCATATGATAAAAACTTTTGTTGGTATCGAATTCTGAAAGTTGAAAGAAATGAATTAGTGAACTAATCTTTATAACCTTATTTAATAACGAGAATTGTATGTAATGATTTTTCGACGTACGCAATTAAGTAGTACAGATGTTCTATTGTTGCAGCTGTTAGTAATAGTTTAAAAATGAATGCCGGTAAATAATGATGAAGAAAAAGAGTTCTTTCGACGAAATTGAAGGGTAAGAAATGTAACAAGTATCCAGCTAATAAGGTTCTTCCAATATTAGAAAATCTGTTCCATTCTACATGTGAGATATCAAAATACATTCGTCTCCTTCGTAACATGTAAAATATTAATAGAAGTGTGTATATGACTATACAGACTGTTCCAGAATACCAGATTACTATATTTCCTAAAAGGTGTACTTGTGCCTGTAATAAAAACGAAACATACTAATACTAACGAATATTACGGAATTTGAAAAACTTATATAAATGTAATTAAATTTCTACTTACATTACTATCATTTGAAACCCAGTATGCAATTCCTCTAGACATTAGTGGCCAATCTAAAGGACTGCTAGAATACATGTGACTATTTTGCCCTTCTTGACCACTGAAAAGCATTTTTATCTGCAATTCTACAAACTTTTCCCAAAAACTTAAAGTAGTAGCTTGCAATGGAATCATTTCAGCATTGATCAATTCTCTTTCTCTTTGTTTCTGATCTTCGCTTCTAGTGTACCTATGTTCTTCAACATTCCATATAGAGTCTACTTGACCCACAAATTTATCTGCCACTACTTCATGTTGATTAAAACCCCAATCAGGTAATTGTCTTCCACTAAATTTTAATGCATAATCTGTATTTACGTGTATTAAACGCACTTGACTTTGTATTGCATACCAGACATTGCCAACATTATCTTTATTAGTAATTTCTACTCTCCAAAGATTTTGAACACTCATGGACACATTATAATCAATGTAACAAGACACCTCTTGACTCTGAGGTGTCATTGGGGCTGCAACATCATGCGAATTTAATGCTCTACTTGTAATTCCATGCACCAGTTGTATCACATCTCCGTGTTTTATTGGTTCACTAGGTTTTGTAACAACTAAATCATTTCTATCTGGCCTTTTTACAATCCACCAATTGTTGACATCTTTAAAAGAGTAACATGTAACTTGTTGCTGATGTGAACTACCCCTATTATCTGCATATTTTAATGGATAGATATGATTATGACTATGAAGCCAGCAAGCTCTCCCATATGTATGTCTTAAAGTAATTTGTGACCCATGTGTTACTTCTAAAGGTTGGCCTTTTGTAATGCTAGCAAGACCTCCATCCAAACTTGCTTGAAAAGCACTTGTCATTATTGCATCATGTGGTCCAGCTTTAGAGAGTATTGATAAATGAATATAAAATACTGACAAATAAATGGTACAAATAACACCCAATATTACAAAAATTCTCAATATGAGATGAATATATAATACTGTGCTAGATAAAGTCTTCCTTGGTATTAGAGTCCAATAATCATAACTGATTAGAAATACAGCAAGGATTAATGAATATAATCCAACATATTTTACACTGAAAAAAAATCTTTTAATGTTTACTATAATAAACCCAAGTATCAAAATTGCATAACATTTTTAAAACTGTACCATAATGCACATGTTAAGTTTACAATGCCCAAAATTAACCATATCCACCAGGATAAAGTTGTTGGTCGATCCATTACTTTTCTGAATTTTATAATACACATAAATCCAAATAATGAAAATTGCATTAGAATACTTTCCATCAAGATAAATCTTGATTGTGTTAAAAGTGCATTATCTAAAATATAATAATAAACAAACTTAGCTTGTTCAAGCATGCTGATAACTCTACTGATACACTCAGGGACAAAATGATAGCACACTTAACTAAAAGCTTGAAGTATAAAACAATTAATTAATAATACTCAAAGCTTAATATTTTATAGTGCCTCTACATTTAATAACTGCACACATTTAATCTTTTTCACAAAGATTTATATAATTTTACAATATTTTTTTTGCTTTAGATTTCACCACACATCCTAAATGTACTGTTTAAAATCATTAATATTTTTTAATTATTATTGATAAAGTTATGATTGGGAGATTCTGTTGGCTATTCTAACACATGAATGTTTTAGAAGAAAAGTACAGTGAATCCTCGAAAATTAGAATAAAAATTTCAAAGAAAATTCAAGCAAAAGGACAAAAAACCAACTATGTCCAATGAGCGAGATTCCAACAGAGAAGATAGAAAAACAAAAGAACGTTCGTAACTAAAATCATTAGATCCATTCAAATCAAGCAACAAAATATAGGATGTGCTATCTTTTCATCCTCAAGTGTAATATATAATATAATGGATTACCAAATAGTAGTAATATTCCAGCTAATGCAGCGGTCCATTGTTTTAGACCTAATTCTGAAATCAAGTAATAAGCTGTTGGAATTAGAAGGCTGCCACATAACGCAGGTACTAATCGTAATGCGAACAAAGGAACAGCATCCGTATACGGACTTCCTATTCTATCAAATTTGAATTGTCCATCAAAATCCGCAAAATATGCAGCTGCGGAAAGAATCTGCTTTCCTAGAGGAGGATGTGAATCGAAAAAAAACGTCTTCTTCATGTAGAGTCCCACATATTTTCCATAATGCAATTCATCAAATCTGTTTCAAGTAAAACCGATTAATATTTTCTTTTAATTCATTTTATAAAAAGTTATATTTACTACAAAATTGTTTTTAACTTTTGTTATTTTCATAAATGTCGGAAATTGCTTACACTATACTTCGTGGTTCCTCTAAACGATAAAGGCGAGTGATAACTCCAGCCAACAGTAAAATAACTGAAATTATATCAATCTCGAAGCTTATTTTAATCCGGGTTCGTGCTCCTATATTTTCCGACTGTTCCTCCAGCTTAGATTTGTCGAACGTGTTCGAAGCAATTTCTCCATTTTTCTATTAAAAAAATAATTAATACATTAATGGCGATGTAAATATAGTGAAATTAAAAAAAAAAGACATAAACACCAAATAATCATTATTAAATTGTAGTAGGTATTAGTTAAATCAATTCATTTTGTATCGAAATATCGAACAAAATGTGAAAATGTAAACTTTGGAGAAGCTATAAAATGATAAATATAACATGTCCTCATGTTAGTTTTTTAATTAAACTTTCACCTTGTCTCGTTGAATGTTTTCGGCAGATTTGGCAAAAGTACGGTCATAATCAAACTTGGCGCTTTGAGCTTGCGACTGTTTATTATCTTCAATCTTTGTTCGCCTGCGTCGAACTTCCATCGCGAGAATCAACAGTTATTAAAGTAGTGCGACCAGAGTTGGCATAATTGAGTGCATCGACGGCGACACTAGTAATGACGAACTTCCTTAGCATCTAACGGAATGATAGGGATTCGTCGCTTCTATAGAGAAAATATTGTATAACGGTACCGTTACCGAAAGTCCATCTTTATCGTCCTTCTTGCGCAACACGTGTAGCTATCTTGTACTTACAACATATCCTTTCACAAAGTAAGAAGCTTTTCTAAGTTAAATTATATTAAAAATCATTTAAATGTTTTCATACGCCAAAAGACTCCAAATCCTTCTTTTTGATGTTTGTGGCTTAGTCTCATAATTATTAAATATAATTGTGTTTATACGAATTGCGTCTGTTACAGATTTAAACATGAGCAGTGATAAAATTGCTTGTCCTATATGCTTTAAAGAATTTTCTTCTTCAACGATAGAAGGTCATGTTAGTAAATGTTTATTTTTAAACGAATCAACAAGCAATGAATCTTCAACATCCTTTAAAGATGGTAGTCCTATTGGGAAATTAATAAAATTAGATGACACAAAAGCAAAAAGGATTAATTTAGGAACAATGAAAAGGAAAAGCAATTTAATAGAATCAACTTCAATAAGCACAAATGATGAAAGTTCAAAAATTTCGTCTAATAGCAGTATAAGTAATTACATTTTTTCGTTTCACAAAATAAAGAATTATGATATTTGAATCTGTAATAGTCATTAACAACAATAATAATTACTAGATAGATACAGAAATTAAAAAGTCATTTGGAAACGATCATGTACCACTTGCCGAACGGATGAGACCTACAACACTTACAGGTTATGTTGGACAAACGCATATTCTTGGGCCATCCACTATACTTTTTCAATTATTACATAAATCTGAAGTACCAAATATAATTTTATGGGGCCCACCTGGTTGTGGAAAGGTACTTAGAAAATGCTATAACTTTATTTACACAAATATATGTACAAATTCATTTATTTCTAGACATCTCTGGCAAATGTCATAGCTCATATATGCAAAAATAAATCAAATGGTAAAATGAGATATGTTAAATTGTCTGCAGCAATGGCTGGTGTCAGTGAAATAAAAGAAATGATCACCATAGCATCTAATGAATTAAAATTTAACAGAAGGACAGTAATATTTATGGATGAAATACATCGTTTTAATAAAGCCCAACAAGATGTATTTTTACCTCATGTTGAATCTGGAACCATTACATTAATTGGTGCTACAACAGAAAATCCTTCATTCAGTCTAAATTCTGCACTTTTAAGTCGTTGTAGAGTCATCGTTTTGGAAAAACTAACTGTACTTAATTTAATATCTATATTAAATCGAGCTGTATCCTCAGTAGATGGAATAGTATACAAATCATCAGAACCATTAGAAAATGCTTCAAAAATACCAAAATTTATTATAGATGAACCAACTATAGAATGGTTGGCAGGAACATGCGATGGCGATGCTCGAATAGCTTTAGGTGGTCTTGAATTAGCAATACAATGTAAAGTATCAGGAGAAGATTTTTTAAAAACTGGTCCTGTGACAATCACATTGAATGACATTAAGGAAGGTCTTAAGAAGACTCACATGTTATATGATAAGAAAGGTGAACAACATTATGATATGATTTCTGCTCTACACAAATCTGTTAGAGCAAGTGATGAAAACGCTTCCCTTTATTGGCTGACCAGAATGATATTAGGCGGCGAAAATCCGGTTTATATTGCACGAAGATTAGTGCGAATGGCATGTGAAGATATTGGTTTAGCAGACCCGAAAGCACTTGGTAGTATAAAATTTTAATATGACACTGATTGTTATGTAAAAAATTGTTTAATACATTAAATTATTTCCAGGAATTGCTGTACATACAATGCATGGTTGTAAAATGGTAGGAATGCCCGAGTGTGATGTTCTTTTAACACAATGTACAATATACTTGGCAAGAGCACCAAAATCACGATTAATGGAAGATGCTCTTAGAGCTGCTCAGAGAGTAGTAGCCGAACACAAAGGTTCTCAACCAGCAGTACCCTTACATTTAAGAAATGCTCCAACAAAACTGATGAAAAATCTTGGTAATTGATTTATGTTGTTCATTAACATTAAAAGGACAAATATTACACTATAGAAATGTATGTATTTCATATAAATTTTATTTTAGGATACAGTAAGGGTTATAACATGAGACATAAAGATGAATCAGGATTAAATTATTTACCAGAAGGATTAGAAAATGTAAACTTTTTTGACTTTGATGAAAGCTGTATTGTATGAATATTTTCATTTGAATGAGAATATGTAAGTTTTTGTTATATTACATATACAGTATTACTTAAGAAATGGAAAACATAGTGTATAAACTGTACTAGTTATCAAACCTAAACAAAAAATACATATAAATATAAGTATAGTTTTTATACTATATGTAATATAATATTTAATAATGTGAAATTTAAATATTTTAAAACAACACCTAATGTACTTAGTAAGTCAGGTATAGTCAAATATTAATTAATACTTCGGTTACATGTGCATTTTGTTCATGTTGGTGCAGTCTTATTCTTGATTTAGCACTTTTTTCCATATAATAGTTTTATTATTAGCAGGCATATCAACAATGTCTATTAATTGAATACCATTTTCTTGTGCCAATTCTTTTAAATCTTTAATGTCTCTAAGACCCCAACTTGGATCTTGAAGCTTCAAAGATTTATCAAAATTAATATTACTTTCTGGCGTTATTTTCCCATCTACAGCATATGGTCCATATGTAAACAGGTAACCATTGTTCTTTAATAATTTACCCGCATTTTGAAATAAACCAATAGTACATTGATAAGGTGAAATGTGCATCATATTTGCATTGTAGATATAATCAATACTTGATTCTTTAAAAATACCATTACCCCAAGTAAGAAAATTTGTGGTAATATCTATTTTCAATGCATGATTTATATTTATTAAACCATGTGCATACATCGCGATACTTTCTAGCAATCTTCGCTCATATTCCGAAGGATAAAATGTAATATCTGGAAAATGGGGGGCAAAATGGGCTATATGTTGTCCAGAACCAGATGCAATCTCCAAAAATATTTGGTTTGAACCACGTTGAATATATTTTTGAAGAACCGAGAGTATTGGATCCTTGTTACGATCAGCTGCAGGATAAATAAGTTTTTTGGCAGCCATAATTTTAGACCTTAAATTGAAGTCAAATATATTTAAATTATGTATACCGAAATTTTTTATTTACTTTAAAATGAGCTTTGTTTTGTTACATATATTTGTTTAGAAAACTTTTAAGGATAAAAAGAAAAAACAGTACAAATCTTACCTGTGAGTATTAGCACATTGGATAATTGTATTCATGCTTAATTGTTACTTTGATTTTGGTTTCTACCTGAAAAATTCAAATATGAACATTTTGCAATCTTAAAGTGTATATTATTAAGAAACAAATATAACTTCCATACAAATTAAATTTGCATGTATTATATGCTTTAGTATTAAATCTAGCATAATTCTAAATAATATTTCTAATTTAATACAATGCAAAAAAAGGTCTTTGCATAAAATACAAATTAATTTTAATCAAAACTTGTACAGCTATTGTTTATTTACTAGATACTAACAGCATTACAAATAATATTTGCTCATTTAATAATTTCTTTTTCTAAATATTTAATTTAGACAATGTATAACACATTTTGTATTTATGGTACAAGAAAACACATTGATTTGTAGGATACGTTTATTGATCAAATATCCTTCACATTTCTTTAACAAATAAATGAAACTACAATAGATAAGTTCTTTAAGGATTAACGAGTTTGTTTGACATTATTTACTTTGCATTTACTTGATCTTTCTTGATTTATTTTCATTTTCACTGTGCTCCGCGGAATTTATAGTGGTTAGTTTTTTTCAAGTGTTCAAATAATTTATTTTGACTAGGAAATTCAACTTTACACCTAATACAAATATTTTTGCTTTTACTTTTGCTGGTTTTTTCTGTTGGTGTACCTAGGTTTTTTACATTTTTAGATTTTTTGCTTTTATTTTTTTCATCAATTACGTTATTTTCTTTTAAATTTTCTTTCTTTGTCTGATCTTCAATCTCTTTTTTGTCATTAAACACTTGCTGATTATTTTCTATAACTTTGCTTAATAGTGCCTTTTTCTGCTGTTGTTTTTTACGTTGTTTCTTTGATAACATTGCATCTTCATTAATACTTGTATCTTCTTCTTCACTAGCCTGCTCTGTTAATGAATTCTGAATGTTCTTCTTTCGTTTTTTCTTCTTCTGTTTCTTAGGTTGAGGAACTTCTTCATCTTCTTGATCAGAAATAAGCTCATCTTCAGAAGTTACACATTCATTGTCATTTTCAGTTACCTTATGTGGGATATAAATAGCACTATCCATTTGAGAATCTACTGCAGCATTAGTGCTTTCCGCGTAATATTTTTTTTGTTTAATTTTTGCTGGGTTTTCAGAATGCTCATCATCATCGTCATCCGATATTAACTCTTCTTCCGAAGTTTCTTCCTTGGTATTGTCTTCATTATATGACGAACTGTTTTGAACAGGATTTAGTAGAAAGTCAGGCATTTGTGAATCTGTTGCTAATTTTTTGTTACTTTCTGATGCTGATTGTGAGCTAATATCACTGTCTTGAGAACTTTCAAATTCTTTATCATCTTTTATCATAGAAGCCTTCATTGTAACAATATTATCTTTATGTTTTTTGGAGTTTTCATGATTTGTATATGCTTTATGTGTTTTAAATATTTTATTACAAGCTACACAGTAAAGAGTATTATCATGTACAGTGTTTTCATCTTCTATGTCTGTTTCTGAAGATAAATTTTCACCAAATTCACGAGCGAGATTAGCTTCTATATTTTTAAGTTCAGCCTCTATGTTCGAAAATTTCGACCATTCGGATTCTGTATGTTCTCTCAGTTGTTTTTGTCTTTCTAGTAATTGTTGTTTTTTCCGTTCTTCTACTTTCTTTAAATTATCTCTTGCACGTTCAGCAAGTTTTTTTGCATGAGCTTGTACACGTTCATCGCGTTTACGTACAAAAGCTACTAAATTTCTTACTTGTTCATTCCTTTCTCTTTTAGCTTTATCCCTAATTATTTTATTTTTCTTTTCAATAAATCGTGCAACTTTTCTATTAGAAGCATTCCTTACATCGTAAGAATCTAACCAAGCAAACGATCTCTTCGTACTATAACTTTGCCAATATGCATAAAAATTATGTACAACATTGGTGTATGAACTTTGAGAATCTCCAAATCCTGGAATTTCATCCGAATTTCCATCTTTTGCAAATTCTGCATCTTCAGCTGTCAGTTTTTCAAAAACAGTGCGATAAACAGTATAAAATCCTTTTTCATTGTCTCCATACCCTTTGAAGCAAGTGGTTGAGAAATATTGGAAGAGATCGATAGAATCATCTTTGTAATCTTCACCAATGCCACCTTTTAAGATGGCCTCATAATGATTATCATACCAAGCACGTTCATGAGGATCACTTAGCACTTCCCAAGCTTGTTGAACAATTTGAAATTGTTCTTTTGCTTGTTCTGCAGTGTCCAAATTTTTGTCAGGATGCCATTTCAGTGCTAGTTTTCTATAAGCTTTTTTCAAATCATCGTCAGACGCATTTCTTGATACACCTAATACCTCATAATGACATTTCATTGTGATGAATAGTACTTTTTACTCACGACGTTTAAATTCTCGTGTAAACTCACGTAATACAAAGTAATATAAGTCAGGTGCTACAAAAAATAAAATTAACACGTGAATAACGAGAAACGTTTATGTTTCAAGCACGAATGTTATATGCGCGTACAAAAAAAATTTTTTTCTAAATTTTCTCAAATCGCACATAATCTAAAACTTGTTTAAATAAGTAAGTTGCATATTTATCTTACCAAAAGTCACTTAGCAACTATTACTTATTATAATCTGTAGTGTCAGTACATTCAATCTTAACAATTCTTATAAATGATTTACCTACCAGAGGTACATTTTACAAAGTGAAACTTTAACTTTCAGGTTATGCCACACGTAAGGTGTCACTCATAGATAAGTTAACTACCATACACTTGTCGCATTTATTTAGAAACTTTTGACCTATATTTAAAAAATATTTAAATAGGTATAATTTATAATTGATGTAATGTAAAGAGACTTACCTATATTACTCAAATGCATCAAAAGGTTTCCGATTGGTAGAATACGAATCATCAATCGCATTCTTTCTTTCAAAAATCAAGACTTGGTCAATGTAATTCATAACAGTTTCATAGTAACATCAGTGATTGCAAAAGAAAATAATAAGTTGAATCGATTGGTGGATTAACAAAATTAAGTTGACCTCCATTTGTCCATCTAGAAAAATCTTACTTAGATTACGTGCCCCCTGAAACTATTCAACTTTTATTTGAAACAGTTTTTGGTATAATCAACAGTTTCGAAAATATTTGATTGAATAAATTTAAATGAGTCATCCAAAATAGAAACTCTCTGTGCATAAAATATACAAATTAAGGGTGTATTTGTATTTAAAATGATGATTTTGATGACGTGTGCAAAGAATAGTTATACTCTTTCGCTAATAATGAAAAATCACCGTGATTGGGGACGAACATGATCAAATCACGAGTAATTCACAAGTAGCAGTTAGCAGTTCCAGCCATCTCTAATTCTAAGATTCTAGTTACTTAGCGAGGGCCATGATCAGAGTAACAGTTGTTACTTTTTGCCCATGTGCCATACTGCCATATTAAACAGAATTTAACTATCTAGGAACCTTTTGACGTGGAACAGCTGATTGTATGTGTATTCATCTATTCTCAACATCAAGATGGCTACGATCGTGAGAGTGCAGTAAGGATTGTATGATTTTTGGCATAGATCGCCAGTTACGACGTTTGGGGCCATTGTCATTAATATTCAGTATTTTCGGTAAATATTTCTTTGTTTTGTTAGATAGGACACGCGTTGATTTGCTGAAGTAATTGCATATAAATGCGATAAAATCAAAATACTGCAGATTGTCAGTGACATCTCGTGAATGTGATGTAGCAGACGCCTCTAATTGCTTTTAATAGGTTTTCTTCGAGAGCCTTAGTGTATCGCGTTGTTGCGATGGACTTTGTGGTAGATGCTTGTCAAGCCCTTTTTACTACGGATGAAGAATTGATTTATTATCAACGAAAATACCTGCTGTTAATATCGATGTAACGCTGATTATTCTTCGACTACTCTATAACAAGGTTTTGTCATTTATTTATTACGGGATTATTTTATTGCATTGTTAATTAACAGTTTATGTTGGATTATATATTTTGTTGAATTATTGTTATTTCATGTGTCGTAAGAGAAACGTATATTGTAGCTGCAATTTCCATCTGTATATCTTCACAAATGAAACATGTGCTTAGCCTGTATATGTATTGCTGTATTGTCAAAACAAACAATTTGTTAACAAATCGATAAATCGAGAACAAATATTTCAATCACATTGTAAACTAAAAGTAATATGTTGTTCTAAAATGAGAATAAATGAACATTATATAATAAGAACAATAATTACATATAGAAATGTTTTTATGTTAAAGAGATATTGAAATGTGATAATAATATTATGTATAGTATTGTATGTATTTGTAATACATATAATAATTGCTTGTATTAACAATGTTTAAATGGTTTGGCATTTATTGAATTAATTAGCCATTAGATGCATTTATTAATAATATAAAATAAATGAATTAATATAAATCTTTTAGGATTAATGTGTATTTACAAGGTTTATAAAATAAATTATAGGTTGAATTTTAAAAATGACAGCAGGTACAAGCCTGGTAGTACCCATAGTGCTATGGGGTCGTATAGCTCCAACTCATTGCATTTCTTGTATTTATTTATCTCGAGATCAAAAAACTTTGGTAACAGGATGTTACGATGGGCAGATATGTTTGTGGCAAGTGGATCCTGAAACACTAAATGTAAATATATTAAATGTAAAGTAGGGAATGTTTTAAATTATATTAAATTTAAATAATTTATCTGTCAATTATATATTAAGATGACACCAAGATGTTTGCTTGTTGGCCATACTGCTCCAATACTGTGCCTAAGTCGAGCAAGCGTCATTATGGAACAGAATTATATTGTCAGCAGCAGTGAAAGCGGAGAGATGTGCACTTGGGATTTAGTCGATGGAAAATGCAGAGAAGCTGTAAAACTTAGCAGTGTTCATACACAGATGTTGCCTTATGTCTCAGCTGATGCAGAAGATGTTAGACTTTTTTGTTCTGGGTATATCAAAATTACATAATATTCTTTTGAACAAATATATACATAGTTTCACATAAAAGAATATTTGCTTTATAATTTTAGGTACTACCCTGAGGTTTTAGTGATGGACCCTTTCAGCTTAGAAGTTTTGTTCACCTTAAGTTCGCGCGTGAATCCTGATTGGATCAGTGCTTTGCACGTTTTGCGGCCGACCAAACGGAAAGGTCGGTTCTACGTGTATACAAGTTAGTTACACTCCATCACACCTACACTTTATACCATAAGCTACCACTCTCTCTTTTTTCTCTCTCTCTCTCCCTCTCTTTCTCTCACTCTCTGATTTCTCTACCAATCTATATTGTGCAAAAATTTACTACTGTAATAAAATAATATTTGTCATAGTATAATTTACTCAATTTAAATTTCAACTGACATTTAATCGCACAATATGTTTGGTATTTCCTGGTTTACCAATGTTTTGTAAACAACCTTGTTGTTCGGAACGTCTTTTTTCAAATATTAAAGTCATTAATGTAGTATGTTTTCTTGGGGTACTTGTAGTTATAACGTTTATAGATTTTCTTCTCGCCTTTTGGTAAAGTATTTAACAGGAAGGTCTATGTATATAGATTTTATATTGTTTCAGGGTTTTGAATTGTCTGCTAGTCATTTTTTAAGCAATTAACTTAAAAAAGCTTTGTGGTTTGGGTATATTAGGGACTTTACATCTAATTAATTCTCTCTGTAAAGGTATTTTTTGATAATAATGTAATTTGGTAGTAGTACTAATAATAATAATATACTTTACTCTCTAATGATAATAATTTATACATTATTGAAATCTTAATAAAAGTTACATTGTTGCAGCATGTTAATGAATTACATGTGAAGGTACATCAGAATTATTTCACTAGTAGTCAAGGCTGTATCATTTCTTTCATACCTTCTTCCTCTTGGTCTTTTAAGTTTTTATTTTTTTGAACAATAAGTCAAATCAAATGAACAGCCATTGTTAATATTTTAATTAATCTTCCTTTTTATACTAATTCCCTACACTTGCTTTTCATATCACAAAACTCAATCATTAAAGCATACATTGCATTTGCCTACATTCATTAATCACATTCATACCATATTACTGTAAACTCATGAATGTTTAAAATGTGTTCAATATTTGAATGTAATGAATGCAATTGATAGTGTTTTTTTATGATTTCAAAAGGAATATTGTTCAGTTTTGTGTTTATTTATTGTTATAGCAGTGTGTTCGATGTTTTATGTTTTAATCAACATGTAGAAAACTTTCATTTTCAGTGTTGCATTTTAAACTATATGTTATTTAATCAAATTACATATCATATTTGCGATGAGAAATTTTCTTTTCCTTTTTAGAATTTAAATTTTAAAAATAGTTTTATTTATATAATAGGTATAATTGTAGCTTGAGTGAAGACATATATAGAAATCTTAGGTATGTTAATTTTTAATATGTGGAATCTTTTAAGTTTAGTACAAAATTCAATATGTCTATATTTGGAATATTAACAATTATTCTCTAAACTTTCAAGATAACTTGTGCATGATTCAAGTAAGCATGAATCGAGCTCTCCACGTGGATATAATTATTTCATTATTATAATATGAAAGGTCTCATTTTGCATGAAATTATAATATGTACTATGTTACATGGGTTTATTAATTACAGCTATAATTATTTCGAATATTTTTTCCCCCTTATATTAGTGTATTTATTTGACAGTATTACTTGCAAAGAAATTATAATTTCGAGTGCATTTATAATACTTGTGAAGCGTTACTTTACTCTTTTACTGAAAATTTTTTTGCTTAAAATGCTATGACACTTACTTGGATGTAGTTAACGCGCAACAGGCGCTTCCATTCATTTAAAGACGATGTTGTACTGGCACTAACAACAACCGGCACGGTCAAGGTGTGGACTCTTCTCGGATATGAAAATCGTCATTGTGAACCCCTTTATGAACATGAAAGCAAACAGATACGATGTCTAAATGCACTTGCAATGACTTGTTGTCCATATAATCTAAGGACAGTATTAATTGTGTGTTCCAAAGATTGGCAGGTAAATTTTCTTATTACTATCATCTTTCTGATGTTGTTTAAGTTTGCTTTTATTAATGCATTATTTAAATCAGATATACGATGCTGGTGATTTCTCGGTCCTGTGTTCTATTTCTGCGCCGCGCGGGGAACGTTGGATGGCTGGAGACTTTCTAGCTGCAGACAGAGTCATTTTATGGAATGACAAAGGTCATGGTTATCTCTATAAATTACCAGCTAAGTACGTTTTTAAATAAAACGCTATTCCTTCTTGTTACTCTATTTTTTTAATCATGGATATTTTACACTTTAGAAGTCTTACGAAATATTCCAATTTTATTATTTCATTATATAGTAGAAGAGCTTGTAAATAATTCATAACATCAAATATTTTTAAGACAAAACATTCGTAATCATATTATCCAATACATCTTACTTATAAATTTATTAAATAGATTATTCATTTGTTGCTTATAGAATTCTGGTACACCTTGACAGGTAGTTTTTTGAAAATTAGTATTGTAAATTTTTTCAGATTTCTAAGAAAAAAATTTGTGATATTTAATTAAGAGTTGCTTATTTTTATGGCATAGCAAACAATACTAATATACATATATTTGTTTGCTCTAATTTGTTGTAATCAATTGTTATGCTAATTTAACAAATCTAAAACTAAGAATATAATAAGAATTTGTTAATTACATAGTTTAATAAAGTAGCATACAATATATTCAATAACATATCATTTTAAATACATGCTAGAAATATGTTTGTAATAGTTCAATATATAGCATTTGCTAAATAACTTCAAATTAAAAACGAGATATCATTACAAGTGTATCTGACCTGAAATGTAACATAGAATACACCTAATGTAATTACTGTATCTTTACAAATGCAATTGCAGTTGTTTAATGTTCTTTTTTCGATACATTTTATTTAAATACATACATAGGTAAATTCATATCAGTCAGAAGCACCAATCTTTAAATTAAGCAAAGGCTTTAATTTTTAAGTCTGAATGCTATTCTGTAGAGGCACTTGCTGGCAATGCACACATTTAATATTTGTTCTCCTTATGTTTCTTTATTCCATTTTTCATGAACATTCATATTTGATCATTATGTTGAAAATAGAAATTTTAATCTACCTATTTTACACAGAAACTATATTAACAAAGTTTTAACATTTATAAAGAAATATATATTATTTACTATATTCATAGTACACACTTTATGAATTGTTATAATATTGATTTTTGTAAAATATTTAGTACATTTTGTTTCTAACAATTTTATACTTCTAGTATGAATACGTGAAATTTTAACATATATTTGTTACGTTGTCGATAAACAAAGTTCATGTTTAATTGTTTTAATCATTCCATTGATGAGATCGAATTTAATGAGTTTTCTTAATAAATGAGAAGAGAACACCAAAAGCAGTGTATCTATGATCTAAGTAAAATTGTTATTAAAAGTGTGAAAATTCTTATATTCGAGAACAATTAACATATAATTAACACTGCAACTTGTTTTTACGGTGATGTGTCTTTTTCATATAATACACATCTACTTCATTCTACGGTGGATCTGGTGTTCTTCTAGCAAGCTGAAGGGCAAGGCTCTCAGCAGGTAACACTGCATTATCTTTATTACACACTCTTGTTCTTGTGTTCTCCACTGTAATTTCTCTGTCTCCTTACCTGCGTTTTCTCATGTATTCGTTTTGTTAATCATATTGCTCTTCTACTGATTTAGTTTTCATCGTCAATTGTTCCTCTTCCTACTGAATGTCATAAATCAGGTGCCGTTTTACATATTTTTATATACGTGTGTAAATGAAAGGTAAATACAGTGAAATATACTTTAAAAATGCAGTAACTCCTCAGTGGTTGATCATTTTGTACGTTATCTCCTATACATTTTCTAAATGAGTCACAGACCGTTTATAAATCACGAATTAATTAACACGAACAGCACAGTATAAGAATTTCACTGTATTCAGTTTCTGGCAAATAGGCATGAATAGTGTAGTTTATGATCAAGGATTAGACTATAATTGAAAAGTTTCTAGACTAGAATATTAAACACAAAACAAAGATTTAATAAAAAGGAAATATTCTACTCCAAATTTTATGTTTCTGATAAAAATTGTACTTCTCTAGTAGTAATAGATATTAAAAAGAACAACAATTTATTCAATTTTCGTGTACTGTCTACTTATCAGTATATACATCATATTTTATTTTCTACATAACATAATTATGAAAAGTATCATACAAAAACATATTGAATGAGGACATTACAAATAAGGGCAATATGCATTTCAGTTGCTTTACATGTATCAATAGTTTCTGGATTAGGTGAATGGTGAAAATAATTATTTAAATAAAAAATAGTAGTGTTATGCCAGCTTATGTAGTTTTAGTTACTCATGCTAAATTTTGTTGTTTGCACTCATCATGCAAGTAAATCTTTGTAATTAAAGATTTTGTACTAGATTTACATCTGACTTAACAAATTTACTATACTATAACAAATTACTATAAAAGATATATGATTATACAGATTGATTTAAACAAATTGTGCAATGCTTTACTGCTTAGTTATACATATCTTATTAAATAAACAATCAATTAAGCTGTTAAAATTAATAAATACATGTGAGCCTCCACCAAATATGATAATTACATACTATTTATGGACTATATTATAGAACATTTCAATTTCATAGTTTACAATATGTTATATTTGAATCTGTCGTGGATTAATGTCCATAAATGGTGTTATGGTAGGGCAAGAAATTGAAAATACTAACATGATATATTATTCTTGTTTGTTTTGATTATATAGTAGTGTAGCAGACAATAAAAGTTTTCATACCGCGGGTGCTGAATACGATCAACCTTACTTATACTGCACTTTAACGCAACCTGGAGACAAGGTAATTTTAAAGTTTCTAATCAATAAAACTAGTTTTAAATACATTGAACAAATCAAAATTATCAAGTACTATTTTACTTTTTATTGTAGCCTCTGTCGTGTCCCCCAGCAATGCGATTAGTTACAGTTCAACGACAAAATGAAACGTTAAAATATTTACTACGCGGTGACAGCGAAGGTGTTGTTGTTCTTTGGACAGTACCAGAAGTAACTACTCAACAATTGTCTCAAATCTGTCAGAATGAGCACTCAATGCCTGTTTCATTGTCGCCGGCAGTAAAAGTAAGTCTTATGGCTGCTTGGGCACAAATGAAACCACCGCCGGTTGGAATATTAGATCAGTTGGACAGTGGGGACGGACATGGTATAAAGTTAACAGCTAGTATTTATTTACCACAACAAAGTCGCCTAGTTGTTGGTCGTGAAGACGGCAGTATTATTATTGTTCCTGCAACGCAAACAGTCATGCTTCAGTTACTTCATGGCCATCACCAACAATACGATGGTACAATAAATTTATACCTCGGAACTTTTCTATCGAATAACAAACTTATACTACATTTTTCTCTCTATTTTATTATGTGGTTCCATAGATTGGCCTCCGCACCAAGTACTTTTGGGTCACTCTGGCCGAGTGAATTGCCTGTTGTATCCACACGGAGCGGCACCGCGTTATGACCGAATACATCTTGTTTCTGGTTCTGTTGATTTTGCTGTATGTTTGTGGGATCTTTATGCCGGTACACTAATTCATAGATTCTGTGTCCATGCTGGTGAAATTACACAATTGATGGTGCCACCTGATAATTGCAGTGTACGCTACATTTTTTAATCGTTTACAGCAAACAGAATGTTTTGCGAAACAACTGTTATACTACTTCAAGTTTCAATGAAAAAATAGTTTCTTTCTGAGTGTTAGATTGTTTCGAAAGTTCGTTTCACTCAGTCTGGCCGATCTTAGCTGGTTGACGAAACAATTCTGAAGTGTTTCATTCATATAAAAGATTTGAAACAAATTTTCCATACAACCTAATACATTACCATTTAATACAATTTTGTAACAGTTATTTCATAATATATTTTTCATAATTTTATACTTTCTCATTATCCATGCATTTGTAATCTCGTCTCTTTTCAGCCTAGAATACAAAAGTGTGTTTGCAGTGTTGCATCAGATCATAGTGTTACTTTATTGTCGCTAACAGAAAGGAAGTGTGTTGTTCTTGCGTCGCGACACCTGTTTCCAGTTGTCACGATAAAGTGGAGGCCATTAGATGATTTTATGATAGTTGGATGTTCGGATGGAGCTGTGTACGTATGGCAAATGGAAACTGGTCATCTAGATCGTGTATTACATGGTATGCATAATTTTTCAGTTTTCATATTCTTTTATGTATTCGTTTAAAGTCTATTATGCAAGGTGTCCCAGACAAAGACTAAAAACAGCATGTTTTTTTATTAAACCTAATTAAAATAATTACAGGTATTATTGCAGAGGAGGTACTTTACGCATGTGATGAAAACACTATAGCTGCAGCTGGAGGATCGGTCGCTGGTGGCGAACTGGGCTTAGCTAATCCTGCTGTACATTTCTTTAGGTAAATGAAATCTTGCAACATGGATGGTGAGAAACTTGTGTGAATTTTAGGGAAAGGTTCCTGAAAAGCAATTCTTCTTCTTGATCATATTTGTTGTATTTTATTTCTTCAGAGGTTTAAGGCATAGAAATCTCTCTGCTATAAGACACGCGACGCAAAGAGGGTTGCATCAGCTGCAACAACTTCATGGTGGACAGGGACCAGATCACGGAAGTCAAATAAAAGCGAAGGGCGCCCCTTTATTAATTCAAGGCTTCAGAAGTAATCCTAAAGACCCAGAAAGTCATATTTTATTTTTTGACATAGAAGCATTAATAGGTACTTGTTACTTCTGTTTTGTTTACAACGTATGTAATAACAAATTGATAGAGGCGTTTCTCTTTTTCTTTTATATAGTACAATTACTTAGCGACGAGTATGGAGCTATGTCACCAGGTTCTTTGGAATCACAAGGTCTGATTTCAGCTTCGGAGTATCAAAAAGTTGCAGCACTGACGCAGTCTGCTAGTCCAGATGCACATAAAAAAATTGCAGGTTAAGACCAATTTTATTTTTTCCGTAATATAAATAAAAATATTGCTTTTGAACATTTTAATATGATTCGAATTAATTAAAAAAGAAAATATATACTAACATGCCACTTTATAGACTTTTTCGGTCGCGTCAAGGATAAGGCAGGCGACGTTGAACGAATTTTAAAGGAAAAGGATCGTCACGGTATTGTTCTCTGTTATTGCTTCATTTTATAAATTGTAGTTTGTTTCTGGTTATTTATTTGTTTATTTTTTATACACCTTGTAGAGTGAAGGTTTAATAAGGATCTCATGCAAGATCATTAGATTTTCTTTATACATATATTACTTATTGCACAAGCTATTCATTATTCAATCAATGCACATATAAAATTCTTCTCGTGTGATTGCATGTGCACAAACGTAGGTGGTTTTATGTATATTTGTGAGATACAATGTACAGCTCAAAGTCTATACTGAGCGTTCGGAAAGTTTTAGGCAGTGTTAATTCGATTTAATTAGTATTCCTATACACCTGTTTGATCAATCGAAATTTACTTCATTCATGTTCATTCGTTAAACACGTTTGAGAGAGAAGCTTGGTATAGTGAATCGATGTTTTGTGTTCTTAATTCTCCTAACGCTTGATTACATTTCTGTTATACTGGATACATTGTTTCACGGATATAACTCAAGTACGCTCTTTCTTGGAATGTTTATTTCATATAATACTCATCACAGATTTCATAGTGCCTGTAATCCATACTTCAGCTGTAGTCGTTAGTTAGAAGACTCGTGTTGAGAACGTATTCGTTTATTGACATCGTCTAAAGCAGATTTCTTTCTGTAGGTATATTGGCTAAAATGAAGGAGGGAGCAGAGAACGTACACACTAAAATTCAGGCCAAGGTGGAAAGCGTTGGCCTCAAGCCGTCGACTCTCGACGGTAAAGGTTAGCCACGATTTAAGGAGGATGGCTGAGTCATTGTATTTTCTGTTGCTATAATCACATCGCATGGTTTTTTTTTCTTTTGTTAGTTCAGATTTGTCGTTCCGCTTCTCAGTTTCTTCATTTTGTATATAAAATGCATTTATTTTTTATTTCAATTTTTACGATACAAGTGTGATCGCTAACTTTTCTTTTGATGCACTTACACATCGATTTACAGTTTGAACAATCGTTCATTTTTATACAAATTTATTTCAGGCTATTATTCTATAAATACACTATATAATGTGGTACTTTTATGTACAAAAGCGAGTTATAAATGAAAAATTTTAGTATAGGAAATGTAAATCATATTTTAGGGAATCATTCGTGTTTCTCCTAATTAATTTCTTTCGTTTATTTTGTATGTTATGTACATACATTTTATACATTTCAGGTTTTTGCTTTATATATTCATGTTCTTATTTATAGATTCCTTATCTGTGTATGTTATTGTAAGACTTTCCACATATCTTACACAATGAATATTTAAGAAATGTATTAGCATCTGATTATTGAAACATTTTTCATATTTTTATTTTAGAAAATTCTTGTACAAATATGAAACATTTCAAACATTGATGTTATAGTTTCATTTCTCTGACGCACATTTGTGTAAATTAAAAATTCTCCTAGTTATAGTTACTCAAGAAGTTTTAACCCTTCACAGGGGACCACTGGAATAACAGCGATGCTGCAAAAAACAATTTAAAACGGAACGGAACTTTTAACGAACCGAATGCAACTATGGAAGTTGCTCAGCTTATATTGAGTCTATTGCATGCCTGGGGCATGGACCCAGATTTAGATCGTGTTTGCGAAGGAAAACTGGGTTTATTAAGGCCCATGGTTCCCGTTTCTTTTGGCGTATTGTCGAAAGGAGGTATAAATAGAAAATATCAGAAGACCAATTCTACTGTTCATTGTATCAGTATTGTTAAATCAACATTATTTACCATAGGTTATATGTCGTTGTTATTACCAACTTGGCAAACGCAATTGGAACCAGCCGGCGAACCTATAACACAATTGGAACAACGTTTGCCAGTCGAATTAGTTAGGCAAGAAAGACTCACCAGAGCGTTCACGGCAAGAGCACATTGGGAGTTGTCTACCACATTAACCAGTAATCATTTATTGGCAGTAGTCGCTTTGGCGAACACGTTAATGTCAATGAACAATGCAACATTTGTACCTGAACAAGAACGAAATCGAAAACTGCATAGGTCAGTCAGCTATCTTGTAGAAAAAGTTAGGACGTAGGATAGATCTTATTAATATATTTAATGCAGGCCGGGTAACAGATCGGCGGTTAATTGGAACAAAGCGGAAGAAGAAAACGAAGAGATTTATACAGTACAGCAAGCACAGATTAAACAAGGTTGGTCCCTCCTGGCAACATTGCATTGTGTGCTTCTCCCTGATAAAGTAGCTGTACAAGGTGGTGCAAAAACATTCAAACGACCTTTAGTCGAAATGATGGCACGGCGATGGCAACATCAATGTCTTGAGGTTAGCAATAGCATGCAAACATACATAACTGTAGTTAAAGACACATACGGACACGGGGGGTTAACATTATTGTTCGGTGACTTTTAGATCCGCGAAGCGGCGCAAGCTTTATTACTCGCTGAATTGGGTAGAATGGGTCCAAAAGGAAGGAAAGCATTAGTAGATAGTTGGTCGCAATATCTACCGATGTACAGCGTTCAAGAGCCTATTGCACCACAAGTACAAAACCAAAGTCCTCCAGCGTCCAATAGTCCAATTCCACCAACCGAATCACATCCGGAAGAAGAAGATGAAGAGGAGGAATTAGTGGAAGGTAATTTATGTATACAATTATACTCGTATATGTATATTAGGTGTGGAAATTAATTCGTTGCTTTTATGGTGATTTGGAAATAGCAACAGTAGACTCTAAGGAATATTAAAAGAATCGATAACGCGACATAATTCTTCATAATAGCAGCAAAAAAATGTCTTTCAATAAGGAAATTATAACATTATGTTCATAAACTTTGAATTTCATGAAAAAGCATCTGAATTAATTTGCACACCTAATAATTTTAGGATAAAAAGAAATTGTACATAATTTCTATCGACAAAAATAAATGTAGCCAGGAAACCATCGAGCGTAGCGGAATTGAAACAGAAACAAACGACAGCAGTCGTATTATTAGGCGTGATAGGAGCCGAATTTGGGCAAGACGTTACTACGATGAATCAAAAAAGGGATAATGAACAGAGACGAAAGAGTTCGATTGTAGAAGGTTTTGGAATAGGAAATAATAATGTTGCCAGGCATACTAGTATGGCGCTTACACATCTACTACATGCGCCACACTCTCCAAAATTGCCTTTACACACAGCATTACGAAGAGCGGCAATTGATCTCATTGGTAGAGGTTTCACCGTTTGGGAACCCTATCTCGACGTATCAAAAGTAAGAGAAAATTACTATCTTAATGAACTGATCTTCATTACCCTTTGTGGTATTTTCTTGCATCATATAAATTATTGATCTCTTATCTAAGTTATATTGAACTGATTTAGTTAAAAAAAAATATTTATTAATTTCGTGATATTATAATGTAGGTATTATTGAGACTACTGGAAATGTGTTGTGATGCTGATAAATTAGTACCAAGCATGACGTACGGCCTTCCACTTACGCCTCAAGCCGACACATGTCGTACAGCTCGTCATGCATTAACTTTGATAGCAACTGTCAGACCCGCGGCATTCATTACTACAATGGCACGAGAGGTGGCCAGATTCAACACACTGCAACAAAACGCGCAAACACTAAATGTAAACATAGGTGCAAGTGTTCTTGCTAGGGCAAAACCAGAAATACTCAGAATCGTTGAACAATTAATTGATAAAATGCAGAGTGAAATGAACGATCTTTTAGTCGAGGTAAAAATAACAGTATTCATAGAGATCTGAGAAAATCTGAAACACTTTTGCACGTATAATGTAATAAGTATTTACAGGTCATGGATATTATTTTACATTGTCTGGACCCAGGTCATCTTAAAACTAAATCATTGAACGATGTATTTCCAGCAGTATGCAGATTCAATCAAGTAAGTCAATGTATACTGGTAGTTAATCAAAATTAGTATCTAATAGGATTGATTGTTCTTCAGTAAACGAAGAAGGTATTTTTACTTGCTCTTGTATATTAATAAGAAAGGTTTAGCTACATATATGTATACAGGGGCTATCCGTCCATAAATGAGCAAGTAAAAGTGTCGTTAGTGTTAAGTATTAGCTCGTAATAAATAGATTATTTCTTCAGGTAAGTCATTGTCCAGCAACGCGCAGGATAGCAGTAGGTAGTCGTAGCGGTCAACTCGCTCTTTATGAATTGCGAGGAAACGTTAAATGCCAGACAGTACCTGCGCATACAGCACCTGTGACCGCGTTAGCATTTTCACCCGAGGGCAAGTTCCTGGTTAGTTATTCTTGTGCGGAAAACAAATTGTGTTTCTGGCAGGTAAGAGATTTTTTACCTCGTTAACGCTGAAACCTTTATAGATATCAACATGTTTTTAAAAATATTGTATAATGTCTCAAGCATCTTCTAAACTATTAACTGTACAGTAGACTCTCTCTTAACCGGCCTCTATGGGGCTGGGCCTCTGGCCAGATAAACGAATGACCAATTAATCCGAAATTATCAAACAGGACCGGATAACTAGGAGTCTACTGTATTTCTACATAACCATTCTATCGCTGTAGAAAGCTTGTAAAATGATGCCTTATAGTTATTTTATGTGCCTGGTGGGGTACAAATTTGGCACTTTTTTAACATCCTCCTTTGCAGTTTGACTATTTCGATAATATTAATTGGGAACTTTAAAAATTTTCAGCAAACAAATAGCGGTATGTTCGGCCTAGGTAATTCGCAAACGCGTTGCGTTAAGTCGTACAGTACCGCGCCGATTAACGACGTGGCACGATTAAACCCAATGCGATTAGCTCGATTGATATGGATAAACAATCGAACGGTTACGTTAATGCTTGCCGATGGATCTGAAACACGATTCAACGTCTAAACCGCAGATGACCTCTCCTATTCCAGTACTGGGCAAACAATGATAAAACTGAACAGTACAGCAAGTGGGATCAGTATAAGCAAAAAACGTGGAATCATCGTAGGCAAAAAAAATAACCGAAAGTGCCGTCGTGAATGTTGGTGCGTTTATTGGTACTTCATAGTGCTAGTGCTAAATAATCGGATACCGTATCGTACGGAATATGTTTGAGTGATGAATTTCATCGTTCTACGACGCAGGATATGGCATAGCGATTATCGTCGAGTATGGTACGAAAATTTGTTCCTTTTCAATCTATCTCATCTTTTTTCTTTCCATTTATGTAATTGAAATTTTTTCGTTTCTTGGTTCCGCACGGACACGCTCGATTATTTGCGTTGCTATAGCACTCAGAGATAGTTGAATGTCGTAACGCATTAAGAAAAAAGTATTCTTTTTACTCAGTAATTTAATTGCACTATCATTTGATTATTAACTACGTAGCTATCTAATCTGATTTCATTCAAATTTTGCGAGTCTAGGTCGCAGTTAAATATATAAAATGGAATTTTGTAATGAAAATGTTTCTACAGAAAAGGATTTGTATGCCGTACTGTACATTTATGCAATGTTACGCAACCGCGTGTGCTATTTAAGCCACGTTTTCATTATTCCTAAAACCCCAATATAATAGTTGAAAGGTTACCTTACGGAATCTCGCGTTGAAAGTACATACATGTGTATATATACATACCAAAAAAAGAAGAAAAAAAATATGAATTGTCGCCCAAGGATTTGTACATACATAATACAGTGGCGAACCCATAGGTCAGTGTAACAATTTATACGAATCGTCTTATGTTTAATCGGTTTATGTATAGTTAAACGCTTCAAATGAATTCCTGTTTTACGAATTTTACACGTGTTTATCTGCCACGTGATTTTTACCATTTAGCAAGTTAAATATTCCCGTGTCTTGTAAGACACTCTCTATAAAAGGAACTGTGTATCGAGATCCGTTCATAATCACCACTCGATCGCACATGTTTAGTATTTATGACCGGGGATTGAAAAAGTTCTGAAAATAACTGTTATATAGTTTATATAATACCATAACTATATTGGGAAAACGGTTCTGATGTAATATCAGTTTCGGTTGAAGTATTTTATAGATATTTGTACTCTCATCATTTATAAAAAAAATTTGTTGAAAAACCAGGCGTGTAAGATTTTGCAATGAATTTTTTTAATATAAATGGACACATATAAAGATTATGTATACTAAATTTTAACAAGATTGAGTAATTAATAGCAAAAATATATTAATTTTAATTTAAATAGAACAAAAGCTAAGTTCTTGGGTGACTCTTTTAACACCTTGTGCCGTTGCGCGGATTTTATATCCTTCGATGATTTTGCATTTGGATGATTATAAAAAAAAAAACGTATATTACAATAGTTTTATTACTTAATATTTCGTCAGTCTACCTTGATGCTTTAATCGATTTTGCATATTTTTCATTCTGAGGTGTAGATAAATAATTGAGAATATGATAAATGATTGTAAACAGTATTTTTTGGATTATTATCTTATTGAAAATAATAATTATCTTGCAGGCTTAGTTTCATTACTATTACATCAGAACCGCTATTTCAGTAACAGTTATAAGATTATTTCGGTTCTTCTTAACTGTTTACGAAACAGAAATCGAAATTGCAACAATTTTCAATCCCTGTTTATGGCTAAAAACGAAATGACAGTGAAGATGAATGGTTAAATTCTTTAGTGAAAGAATCGAAAGTGTGTAACTTTTGTGACAGTTGTCCGAGATTTCAATACGCTCTGTAGTTACCTAATGGTTTTTATAAATATGCCACGCGAAAACAATTATGTAATAATATTTATTTCATTGTTTAGACTCCGAAAAGTGAGGGATTGAATTTAATCTGTAGTCGTCCAAACGTAAAATGTAATTCCTTTGTTATTTTCGATTTCGAAGAATTAAGATGTCTCCATTTGTAAAGCAAACGGATAACGCGATAAAGATTTGTAGATGATATCAAGTTCATTTAGCTTAATTTATTATCGTTATTCCCTCTTGGAAATTTAGTGCAATGTTTTATATAAGCATGGTAAACATATACGCGTATGTGTGTACTGTTTTGGTTAGAGAAATGACGACTTCGTTGTCCAGATTCTTACAGACGCGTTAACGGAAGTATGCAATTGTGTGTTTAAACATTGCAGTTTAGTTACGTCTATCATGGATCGCACAAAATCACGAGTGTATCTTCCAACACATGACAAATTTTTGGATGTAATTAAATACCATGTGTTTAGAGTCAAAAACAAAAGATCTTACAAGGGGATTGTGCAACATGCAGGTCAACGAATTGGCTCAAATTTGATCGAATACAGTGAAAACATAAACAGTGCTATGGACTTAAATTTAGTCATGCGACTTTTCTTAAGCATACATTTTTTTTTTGACAATTAAAATATCAGTGATTAACAATAGTTTAAATAATTTATACAGAAATGTACACTCTGTGCAATAGTTAAGCCAAATCAGTAGCACGAATGTTATGCAGTTCTCATATCAGGGACGACGAGTTGCGTTAATCGAGCAGAATATAACAAACGTTAATGCCAAAATAATTTTTATTATCGATACTTCGACATGTTCATCGAATTCATTCGCTGTTATTCCTTCTGCCTCTTGCAGTAATTGCTCGAAACGTGATAACTGTAGCAGAGAAATTTTTCTAAAAAGGAATGGTGCAAATTTACCACATGATACTTCAAAAGGATAGAAATTTTATAAGTAAAAGAACTTCCATACAAAAGTTTGTCCTTTTTTGCGTAGAATACGAATCTGTAAATAAAAATATAGATTTTCAAGTTACCCTTGAAAACGTTCGACAAATAAATAATAAATAAACCAGATACACACCTATACACGAAAGTATTCGAATGCTTATATTTATAATATTCATTTATTGTAAACATGTACCAAAAGTAGCTTACAAAAGTATATGAACATGATATACTGTTGAATTATTTTCTAATTTCGTTTATGTGATCTTAGAGCCCATTCCTTGTATTATATTATATCAAATATCAGTTTCACGTACGTATTCCGTTAGTTGAATGTTATAATATTTTCGTGTACGGGTGTAGGTAGGCGAATGGATTGGAAAATGCGAAATCAAATCTTATTGATAACAAAATTTAAGTGATATTATTGTTTCGATTATCGTGAGAAGGAAGAAATATTAGTACCGCAAGAATATGTCACGCAGGCGTGTCTACGGCCGGTATCGAAACGAAATACTAGTAAACGCAGAAAAGAAGTATAAGACGACGGATCTGCTCCCCGACATAGCATCTCATCGTGGCGAATCGAACGATTACTATGCGTTACTTGTATCTTGTATATAAAACCAAACTATGCCTAATTGTATCTATGTAATTATTTATGTGTACATTATGTACTTTATCGTGCCCTGCTTATGGTTAAATCAATCCTGTCCGAAACATACTCTTAAGAGCAATCGTATCTCTCTCCGATCAGTTACCAATATGAACATCACATAAGTCAATATTCTGTGTTATGTATACGTGCCTAATTAAGCACAGTAACGATACGACGCGTAAACAAAGATAACATCTCGTAAAGGACTCCACCCATGGACAGGATTGAACTACACGAAACTCGATCGAGAAAATGGTCAATGATGGATACTCGATATTTCAGTCTTCGAAGTGAATCAATTTTTGGAAAACTTCGAATAATTCTATCTTCTTAAATCAAGTAACATTTTCAAAGTTCAACGAATATGATAAATGTACTTTTGGAATAAAAATTGTTATAAAAAATTTATTTCTTTTTGAAAATGATAATAAGCTAAATTTCCTATATTTCTCTCGTACGAAGGCAACCAAGAAAGCCTACTCGTAAGTGCTTGATTTCTTAAGAACTACATAGCGTTCTAATTGTTTCGACTAATTGATCTCTCGATGTTTTCCATTGTTCACTCGAAACATTTCGAGTAATTCTAGATTCCATCACTAACAGTAATGTTTAATGCAAAGGAAAGTATACCGCACGTGTTGTTAATCGTTATGCAATAATCGAATGTATTTAAATGTAATCAATGTCAAACGCGTTGCGTTGAAAATCCGATAATATATACACAATGAAGACGAAAATCGTTTCTACCTTGACAAATTTTACTAACTCAATCATTTGTATTAGAGAAAATATCAAAATTTTTATTTGTTATACCAAGAATTATACAATAAATTAGATATTTTTTATTAGTATCAGAAGACAAATGACACAGATATAAATTGTAAACTTGATTAAAGCCTTAATGGTGGAAATTCTTATAGATAAAACATGATACACGATATTTAAATAATAAATATTCAATGTCGTGTTTGTAGGAATTGTTCATAAACATATACATATAAAGGAACTACCTGGGTAAGGAGATAAACTACATTATTAATGCAATGACAAAACTTTTTCAGGTTTTATCTTTTCATGCAATTTTGTTTAAAATATAGCTACAGCCGACTCCAGTACTAGCCATGTTAAACGAGAAACAATAAAACCGTGAGAATCTGATTTTGCATTTGATAGAAAAAGTACGCGGTATTTGTGCATCTCTGTCTATTTAGTACAAAATCGGATTCTCATAGCTTTATTGCCTCTTGCTCAGCATGGCCCATAAGTCAGTTGTGATAAAACGTCACTGATGTATATATAGACTATAAAGATCAGTGGGTAACGTCGCATGTGACACGGCAATGCATTCAATGATGGATCTATGCTGTACCTAATCTATGCATATGCTTCTCAATTTACATATTGTGCTTTTTAAATTATTATAGAGTATTTTTTAATATTCTATTAATATAATTTTGATTAATTATCGTTTTAAATTACAAATATTTTTGAAGTTGCCTTTTCTTTTACAAAATTTAATAAAAAATAAATAGTTCAAATTCTGACTGTGAAGGACTCCAACTCTGTGGAATTGCTTTCTTATTTCAAGATATAATATTTATAATTGAGATATCATGATTAACGTAAATATAAAACATTTTTTAATGTGGTATAAATGTATTAAACAGTAAATATCACAAGTATTGTCAAATTTAGTTTATACTTATAAAATGTTAATATGAATCTCTTCTATGTAATTTTTTGGTTAAACATGGCAACATTGCATTAGTATGCACCAACCAATCACGAGATTTTGTCACTAACCGCTTCAACCAATTATAGACTTTGAAAGATTTACCGGATATGACGACACATAGTGGGGGCAATTTCTCTAGAAGGTCTCCTACTTGGCGGTTTCGTTCTCTTCGTTGTCGAACGCCATAGTGGACGCCTCGTTGCAGAGGACGGTCGAAAGTGAGCCAGACTCGTTGTCTGCGAAAAGCTTGTGGTCTTTGTACGCAGTGGTAGAAACGAGTATACGTACATTTTAAGCGAACGATGGCAGGAGCCGATTCGCCAAATGTAAAACAGGAGCAGCAAAATCCGACAGTAGAAAATAGTAACGAAAATGCACGAGAACGAAATCCACCGGGTGGCGGAAACCGTGGTCCGCGTGGTCGAAAAGGCGGCACACGATTTTCTGGTGGACGCGGTGGCGGAATGGGCGGTGGAAACAGAAATAATGATGGACCGGTGAGAATTTTCCCATATTATCTTTGTAGAAATTGTAATACATTTAAACACGCTTTGTCTTTGTCCGCCATTTTTTCTTCAAACTGATGCGTAATACCTCGAAGTAGTTTTAAATTTTCATTTTCCGTCCTCGTACAGTTTTTTCCCATAAAAAAATCCAAGCTTTGAAGCTTTAATTTATTCCCCTATTACAAACGAAGCAAACATAATTTTCAATATCTTTATGATTCATCATATTGTACTCTCGCAATATGTATTGTTTTTCGATAGAATTAAACTATACAAAGTAGCAATTTTACTATGCTGTAAAGGAAAAATTTTAGTGTTGTAAAATAGGCCAATGTATTTATTATTAGAATTTTTAAATATGCTATTTCGTGGCTATTTCATAGCATATTTATTGGCATTGTGCATTAAACGATTTAATATCTGTTACTAGCAAATATGAAATTAACTGATGTTTTTCGAAGGAGTAGAATAAAGTTTAAGTTTATATTTCGTTGGGTTTATTAAAAGCCACAAAAATGTTTAATACGCGTAGTATAAGATTCAAAGGTATATAATATATATTTTCATGTATGTATATTCATCATGAATAAATATGATACTTGCTTTTTAGTGTAAATTCCTAGAATTCCACACGTATTAAGAGTTATATTGCATGGAGTTTTATTTTAACATGAACCGCACTGTAAAAGGTTTTAGTAAACGTATCGATTTTCCCTACAAAGTATTACAAAATGGCGTATACGGAAAGTAAAATGGCTAACGCGTATTATCGAACGTAGGAACACGTGGCGTTCAAAAAATGTTTGATGAAATACTAATATATAATAAAATTTATTAACGATAACCTATCGTAAACCATCATAATAATAATATTTGATAAAAAATACAAATTTATTATTTTTTGTCTGCGATTTTGAGGGAAATTAAGTTCTTGTAATTTCTAAGTATTATTGGACTTTTTGATTTTAAATGTAGCATCTACAAATTGTGTATATATACGTATATTGATAATCATTTTTAATTGAAACTGCCAAGCATATATTTTTTTCTATTAATTAAACTACATTACTGAGTACATTAAACTGAAATTTTTTTTTAATGGTTAATTTGTCTTGTTATATATCTTTTATATTTGAGTTTAAAACAAATTTGTTGTATTTAAAGTATTGAGTCCTGCAATGTTTGCCAGCGATTTATATTTTAGGCTTATAATGCAATGAAAATCATGCCTGTATTAATTTTTCCCTCTTTTTTTATTCTTAATTCGAAAATAGAATGTTAAAAAAGATTGTTGTGTGCCCATTCATTTATACTTGTAATTGTATAGTTAGAAATGATTGAAAAAGAATCTGAATTTACAAATTTTAATATTTATGAACGATTTGTAGATTAATCAGTTCTTCCCATTTTTGTTATACGTTTTTTCTCAATTCATTGAAATAATGATTTATTTATAAATTTATCAATTTTATATGGATTTCATATAGGATTATATCAGTTCCATTATTTATTGAACATTTATCAGTATTTATAAGGAAACAGAAAAATGCACCAGAAACTTATAAAAGATACACTTGCAACAAAAATTCACAAATTTAAAAGCTTCTAAATTCTGATTTCTAAATCATTAATTTAAAATTTATAATTTTTTTTTCAATTTGTGAATTTATGAACAATTTAAAAAGAATTTAGAGATTTGTGAAAATTCTAAATTTTATACATTACTAACCAGGATATATCACATGATATAGCTTTGACTACTTATGCATATATTGTTTATGTTAAAGTATAATTATCACGTAATGGTAGAAACAGAAATCACGGTCAGTTTTAGCATAAAGTCGACAACAATTAATACATCATTCGGATATCTTTTACTAATAAACGTGGGAGAAACAGAGGTCAGTCGATAGTAGATGATATACGTAAAACGGGAAATATCTGTTTCCATTATTTTACGTAGAAAAATTAAAATTTTAACTAAGTGAAGTGAAAAGTACTCTGTGATCCAGGTACATACATCTTGTGTGATCGGAAATGAAATACGCGGAATAACTTGCTTTTTTCAATACGTAGTAATTTAAATCATTTAACTCATTTTTATAAAATACTTTTTCCAAATTCTATAGATTTCAACATTTCAAAAAACGAATAAATATTTTTACAGATGAAGATGAGCGATTCCATGGATGGTGGAATGGATAACACAATGTCTGAAGGAATGGGCGGTGGTATGGGGGGAGGAATGGGTATGGGGCGCGGGGGCGGAATGCGAGGTAGAGGTGGCCGAGGAGGTGGTGATAGAAACATGGGAAATCGTTCTCAAGATGTAAGCAATATTTATCTGATACAAACATATATAACTATATCCATTGACATGTTCCATTTAGTATACTAAAATACGAGTTGTATTTATTTAAATTACTATTATTATTATTTTCATGTAATTAGGATCGTTTAATGGAACGTATTATGGCTATTAGTGGACCAACTCATGATTTGCCAGTTCAAGAAACTACAGAAAAGAAGTTCAGTGGTCGAAATCGTTTATATATTGGAAATTTGACAAATGATGTTACAGAAGAAGAAATCCAACAGATGTTTCAACAATATGGAGAAATATCAGAACTTTTTGTCAATAAAGAGAAGAATTTCGCATTTCTCAGAATGGTAAATTGAAATTTACATTTATTAAGTTTAATATTTTATTCGTATCAAATAAATGATTAAAACAATTACCGTTTGATAGATAATGATACTAATTATTGGCTGCTATTTTTTTTAGTAATGATAAACTATTTCATACGTATAATATTGATATAATATTGATTTGCAAACTTAGTAAATTTCTTATTTCATAGGATTACAGGGTAAATGCTGAGAAAGCAAAGCACGAATTGGATGGCACAATGCGTAAAGGACGCGCGCTTAAAGTGCGTTTTGCTCCACATTCGTCCACAATTAAAATTAAAAATCTTACACCTTGGATTTCAAATGAATTGCTTGAGAGATCATTCAGTGTTTTCGGTGAAATTGAACGCGCGATAGTTATAGTGGATGACAGAGGAAAAACTACCGGTGAAGGAATCGTAGAATTCTGCAGGAAACCATCAGCCCAACTTGCTTTACGAAAATGCACTGAAGGATGTTATTTTTTGACCGCGTAAGTTCTTATAGTGAACATAAATACCATTTACCCCGAAAATACGCCACGCTTGTTCGATGCATTTAAATAATCAACAAGTGCCAATTTAATATGACTGGGGGAAAGAAATTAGTTCCCAATGGAAGCATGGTGCAATAATTATTTGTACTGTGTGCCGAACAGAGGAATACAATTTAATTTTATGTAAAACATAATCGTGTCGAGTAAGTAAAATTTATGTGAAATGTATTTGTTTACAGTTCTTTGCGTCCAGTCGTTGTTGAACCATTCGAACAACAAGACGACGTTGATGGTTATCCGGATAAGAATTTACCTAGAAAAAATCCTGAATTTTTCAAAGCTCGCGATATTGGTCCCAGATTTGCACAGATAGGAAGCTTTGAACACGAGTATGGAACAAGATGGAAGCAACTGCATGAATTGTACAAACAAAAAGAAGAGGCACTAAAGAGAGAAATGGCAATGGAGGAGGAAAAGTTAGAAGCTCAGATGGAATTTGCACGTTACGAACACGAAACGGAATTGTTAAGAGAACGTAATTATTTGATTATGCTTAATTTTAAAACTTATGAGGTAAAAACAATTTACTTATAAACAAGTTTCGGTTTGTTCCAGAACTGCGTATGCGTGAAGCAGACCGAGAGAGGCAAAAAAGAGAATGGGAAATGAAGGAAAGACAAGCAGAAGAGCAAAGAACACGAGAAGAAGAATTACGAAGAAGGCAACAGGAAGAAATGGCAATACGCATCAGAAGGCAAGAAGAAGAACTTCACAGGCGTCAACAAGAAAATAATCTATTTATGCAGGTAATTAACTTAAAAAAATACGTTTTGAAAAGAATAACCAACCTTTAGTGTTTTAAGGGATTTTTTGCAACAATCGTTTTTCAATAATTTAATTCTTTTCCATACAATTGTTTCTTGTATAATAGTTAGCGTATTTATGTTTTGTATAAATTATTCTTTTTTTTTTCTATTTATAATTTTAGATAACAATACTGCACATCTTAATAATATTTAATAATTACTTTATATTCATCGTTTCTTAATAATATCTAGGGCCATGTTCCTTTTATATTTAAGGAGCAGGCAATGAGAGGAGGTGGTGGTGGCGGCGGAGGTGGAGGCGGTGGAGGTGGAATGGGAGGGAAGAATTACGATTCCGTTAGTAATAGTGATCGCGATGGATATGGTCAACCTGATGGTAAGTTCAATATATTTAAATAATTGCATATTAATTATTTAGCTTTTATTGACGTTTATACAAAATTCATTCGTGTTTTTGTACCGAAAACTGTATACTGTAAAGAACATGTTAATACCACTACCAGTGGAAATCATACCTCACAATATTTAGCAAAATTTTTCTGTATTTTTTTATATTTTTGGTTCCCTAAATTTCACAGTTTTGACTTTAAAAAGACAATCCGTTTGTGCGTAATGTACTAAATAATTAAGATATATCTATTCTGTATCCACAAAAGTACGATAATTATTTACAAAACAAGTCTATCCGCCGATTTCAATAGTTAGTTTTACGTTCAAAAGGAAAGGGGTGCCTTATTGCAGCAGACTCTTCAATTAGTTTTTACATTAGAAAAAAATGTACTTCCTCCAAGATGTTTATCAAAACAATAGTAATCGGCGGATAATACTCTTTCGTAAACACTTACCCAACATACTATTAATCTATTAATTGTGTTTTTTAAACGTTAGTAAATTTATTTATTTTAAATATGTTGATTTGTAATACTGTGGTGTTTCTAGAATTAGCAGTAGTTTTGGACCGCTGAGTGCCAATTATGAAAACACGCGATTCTTTTCGTGGGAGCAATCTACCTTTTAGAGTTCGCTCGACTTCGACGACTCGAACGTTGACTCTCATGTTTTATCGTTGATGACAAGGAAAGAAAGTGTAAGACTGAGTGAGGACGAATGAAAAAGAATAAGGGTGAACCGAAGGAAATAAGAGTGACTGAGATATTTATTGACTGCTTCCATCTCTTATCGCTGTGCTCATTCTGTTGAGTGGGATAACAATCGGTCAATTCTAGAGTAGTACGAACTGCTAGTTCTAAAGACAACACTGTATTAAGAAAAACTTACACATATTACAAATATTAAATGGATACAGATCTTCCATATTTAGTTTGATATAAAATTATTTATCCAGTGACAGTTTTTAATTTCAGAATTGTGCTTCGTTACAGGTGGAAGCGGCATGCCAGTGGTAATGTATCCCTTTTAATTATTATTTTATTTAATTTTAATTTTAATTTTTCACAACAAAAACAGTTACATATTCTTTTCCAAAATATTTAATTTGGACCTTTCATTTGTATACATATTTCTATGTGGTGGTACTCCGAAACTATTGGGTCCATATACGAAAATTTTTACTAGATGAATCGAATTGTGTTCTTGCATGTCGAAAGAACCAATGTCAGTGAACAATTTTGCGAAAAATGCGCGAAAGGGCTTTTTTTTACAAATATTCCCATGCAGCATGCTTTCCAATGTAGCAGAGTTCTTATGTCTGCAATAATGCCAACTTTTAATTATATATTTAATTTTATATCTATACATTAATCAAACGATTCAGTTTTATTCATTTGGCTATAACATATGGAGGTGTCAATGGGCATATATCGAAACATTCTGTTTGTCCTTAGTTATCTTTTAGTGATACTTTATGGCATGGACAAATGTTACAATATAAATTTGTGGCTTACGCTGCCATAACTGAAATAAGGTATTTTAGTCACTGAGAGGATGTTTGTATCAGATCTTTGGTTGCAAATTTTTCACACGTATTGAAATGAAATATTGCCATGAGTTTTCATCCATTGTCATGTTGTCTTCGTTTTAAATTAATTGCAACCGTACACATACATGATATCTACTTCTACAAGCAATTATTAAGGTATTATTTTATTTATTTCTCAGACTTGATCTGATATTTCATAAAACTATCTCTGAATGAGCATTCTACTCGATCGAAAGTGGTGCCATAAGTTTGAGATTCCTTCAAAACATACATCTGTTGGAGGATCTCGTCATATTGACTATCTTCAATATTGTTTAAAATTTCTGGAATTATCCTCGGATGATTGAGGAATAACAATGCAAATTGAACTAAAAGTGTTAGTTTAAATTGTGCTCTGTCAACGAGAAATTTCGAATAATGAACTTTCTTACAATTCGTACACTGTGTAGGGATTTTAATATAAGAAAATACGTAGGTAGGTTGATTTAATTTGATAAATTCGTCTTCATGCATTTGAACTTTCCATTTGTAAGGAATATCCGAAATTTTAGAGCAAATCTTTGGGGAGAGGAATCTTGCAAAATTACTCTACGTATACTTATCGTTCATTGTTCATTTATACCCTTAATTTATCTATTCAACAATAGTACAAAGTTTTCATGGTTACCTTAAGAACTCTCTTATTGCTTTTATCAACGATATGCTTTAACTGTAGAGGAAAGCGAATATCGTAAATTCATTAAACACACAATAAAACAAGAATAACTTGGTTATTCAATTTGAATAGTCTTTATAAATTATAAGGAACTGAAAAAGTTGTTTATGTACTGTACAGATTATTTTCTGTGGGCATTAACATACGAAGTGGTTATAACCAAAACTATATTAATACTTTGCCACATTGATTTCTCCATGTGCTTGCAGACAGGAGGCTCTGTCTTCTATTTTCTCTAGTTTCATTAAGGATTAGGAGTATTATTTATTATGGAACTAACATATTCATACATATTTATAAGAATGTTACGATTCCGAACATTTTCTATATGGATGTTATATTCTTACTTCAGTAGTAGATTTTTAACTTCTCATTAGATAGTTCCATGGTAATAATTTGATATTTATTGACCAAGAAATGCCCAACTATTAAATATTACTCATACATAATCAGCTGTATTCAGAAACTGCTTTTATTTGTAAATGCGATATTATTTTATATGTTGGAGTTCATTTTGAAACGAAACGTCAGTTGAAGTATAGTTTCTGAATACAGCAACATCCGTTCGAATTTATGAATGATTTATATAAACATCCGAGCTTAAAGTGATTTTTATTCTATGCATCAAATTTGGGGGAAGTAACATAATAGCATTTATGGTGAACCTTTCTATATGCATTATTCTTCGAAACATCCAAATATATTTATCTAGTATGTATATAATTCTGCAGTACGAGTATTGTGTAAAGTTTGCTCAGAGACCTTGATCACGCCTCTTTGCTGCTTGTATCGCAATATTTATACTTCAAAGTCATACAAAATTCTAACATTACCTCGATACTCGACTACAAAATATGTTGAATAATATTGTCATTAAAAAGTTATGAATACGACTAATTTGAAGTATTTATTTGTCGTTATATGACAAAAATACATTATACATTTATAGGATTTTATGAGAATATTAGGCATATATAGGTTATGAGAAAATAATATGAGAAGCTTCTCAATTGCTTCTACACGTACTCTATACATTTTGTATATAACAAAATTTGACATACTTAGCAATATTAGCAATGAAATATTTTCACGATATCAAGCTTGATGTCGGTTCGTACGCTGAAGACTTTTCAAGGAAATAGTTTGAAAGAATTTCTGAGAACTTGACAGCATCGAATGAAACACCCCGTTCTATTTAAATCATTTCAACAGGAACCTATTTGTATGTTCGCGTTTATAAATTGGTTCCGAATTAAAATTCCGAAAGTACCACTATGCTATATAATTTTGAATCTTTGATTTAACCCAAATATATAATGTAACGGGAAATGACGACTGATTTAAGAAGGGCGGACTGTGTGCAACAATTTTGCATATTAAAAAACACGTTCTAATATTCTGTAACAGGTGTACTGATATCCGATGGTGATTTATCTTCGACAATCTATATGTTGGGCATTTGCTTGGTTAAATAACGTTATTAATCGATCTCGAGAAATCTGCGTATTCTCAAGCCACTATGACATTTTATTCGTATAAAGTTTGTTTTAGCGCGTGTATACACGCAAAATCCATTCTAATGTTGTTCAATGCAAACAACATCTAACATTGTGTTTTCCCCTTTCTTTTCTATGTGATTTGACGAAAATTGACGATGACCTGTGCTGCTGTCAAACATGGATGGTCGCCCTGAACCGTGAAATGTATTTATGGTACATCCAAAATCTACAAAAACACCGTGTGTGTGTGTGTATGTGTGTGGTCACCGTGTTAAACGGGAATATCGTGGCATTTACTTCAATGATTATCGAACACACTCCCGACTGTTCTGACTTGAAATACCGTGTTACTTTATGCGCGATATAACGGCTCTACCTTTTGTGATGAATAGGACCCAAAATCTTTCATGGATGCTTATAACAGTATGGATCGTGGTAGCCGTGGGGGTTACAATGATGATCGTGGTCAAATAATGGATTTGATGGACATGAGGGTCGACATGGGCAACATGGGTGGCGGTCGCGGTGGTAGTGGTGGTGGTAGTGGACGTTGGCAAGGTGGAAATGATCGAAATCGTCAGGACGATTATCCTAACAAGAGGAGACGCTATTAAAAAATATCGCAGTATTAAAACAGCCTTTTTTTTTTTAATCGATCAAGATGAAAATTTATATTTCCTGATAGTTCGCATTGTATTCTTCAGTCATTTTTCCACAACTTCTGCTATCGATCGTCTCTCACGTTTTATATCATATAGGGGGCGAATATTGACAAAAATTGAATGGGCAGAAATGGGAAGGGGTTAGTAGTGATTTGATATCTTCCGTGTTAGATCTGACATCGTAACCATCGTGCACCGTTTGCGGATACGAGACTGCTGTGTTTTTATACAGTTTTTAAGTTATCAGAATATTACCGAACTTGCGAGCGCAATTAAGTGCAAAGAGATATTGCTTCGGATGGATTATAATACTAATTATACATTGACGAGAATTCTCTTCGGGCTTTGGTGAAACTTTCCCTGGTGAAATATGAACCAGAAATCGATACTTGAAGTACAGTTAATGTTGGCCACTAAGAATCCAATCATATATCGTTTTTCAATCATTTTCTTTTAGCATAAGAAATATTACATTCAAATCGTATATCATTTTTTTTTATTTCTCAGAGTCTGTTCTTTTCTAAAGAAATAGAAATGAACTTCGAATTCACGGTATCTCTTCTATGAACGCTGTCATGATAATATATCATAATGTAGATGCGAAGTATATTCATTGTCAATTACTATTTAATGAAAAAACATCATGTGGGAGTTTGATTTCGTGAATAACTGTAAATATTCAAAACGACGGTAATATATTAGTATTTGTCATTTATTGTATTGTCATAGTATACTATTCATAGCTTAGCTTATCGTTCATTTGAATCAATAGTTTTCCAAGATGAAAGTAATAATATTATACTCTAATCGTACCTTTCGCTTTGTATTTCACAAATACAAAAAAAAAATTAGAACATTAGTTTATAAGTGAGATTGCGTTACTCTGAATGAAATCAGTATCATTCACTCGGCAATTTACCCTTCTATAGGAAAAGTTACGCAGATACGCCTGTATTAAAGACAATTTTAGCTAGTGCATTATCGGTATTCGTACATTCGTGTTTTTACGCTAATAAATGGTGTAACAATTTCACCATTGAAGAATATATACAATTTCCTCATTACTTGAAACTTCATAAAAGTAATTATGCTAGAATAAGACGTATATCAGCAGAATAATCTGCAATTGTGTTACTGAAACTTTGTGAAGGAACTTCATTGACAAAAAGTAATTTTATGAATAAAGGTCTATATATATATGTATATGTATATGTATATGTATATGTATATATATATATACATACACGCATCTATATGTAGAGGAACTATTTATTTAAATAATTAATATTCATGGTTGTGGAAGCATTCCAAATATGTGTGCTTGAAGGATAATGCGAAAATTTATGAAGTTTTTTTAGCGCTTCAGCGTGTAAATTATATCCACTGAAAACCAATCGGAAGTTTGAATCCAATATCTGTCATACATTTACTGAAACATTATTCTTAGGGGTTTCAAGTTGCTTATTGCGTGGAATCAAATTATTCTTCGCATATAGACAGTTTATATTTCTGCAGCAATTACATATTAATTTTTTTTAGGAAGGCCTTTTCTTGTTGATCATTCATGATGCAATGTAACGTTGGTTGAAATGAACACTCAACCAATGAGTTTGTGATTTACATACAATATAATTTCTGCTATTTTCTTTGTATAGTTTTTAAGCAGAGAAAGTTTAAGCTTTTCTACTTAACAAAAACTATAGACTGAAAATTATAGAAATATGTTGACAAACTACTTAAAACTGGTTTATTGGGGAACATTGAACATATTGACAGAAACATTCCGAATTTCTGATGATTGTATTTTTAAGCATGCAAAAGTTTAACATATTAAATTAAAACAATAGATAGGGGTTTAAAAAACATTCTCTCGTGATACGTATTGTGGGTATTAAACCAATGGTGGCCAAACCTTCTATATACAGTCTATCAGAAATATTTTAGAAGTTGCATCATCTGTTAGAATATATATAATGCTATATTAGATTCCATTGTTTATATTTACCTCTTACCCTACGATTTAAGTTCTGATGCCCCAGCCATAGTTAATACCAAGATTGATCACGCGTCGAGTCATTTGTTTTATAGTTTAGCCGAGTGTTCAAAGTTGCGCCAATTGCACACGTTTTACGATGTATTTTTTAATGATGCAGTCATATTTTATCGTTTTCAAAATTGCAAACTTGGTACATACTGTTTTACATTTGGCCTGATCGACATATTACTATTCTCGCCCATAATTTTTATGTTTGGCCCGATTTCTTTACTCCGAGTCTCATATATTCTTGTAGACGAAGGGGTTAGTAATGCATAATTTTTGTTTGTTTTTTATATAAATAATTGTCCAGATTTCATAAATTGAATAAGTATACGAGAGATGCAATAATTATTTAGAAGCCACGATTTGGTCACCGTTGGTATAAACTAAACGAAAATATACTTACGTTGACATATTTGTCAAATGAATATCTATGCTTATGAATAGTATAACTTTATGTTTAAAGACAAAGCATAATTATCAAAATTTACAGAGAGTTACTTTTAACATTACTAAGTTAATTTTTATATAATATTATTGTAAAATAGAACATACTTCATAAGAGAACTTCTTTCTTTTTTAATTATTTTTATAATACTTAATACTTTATACTTCTTTCTAGCAAATGGCAAGTGCTTAAAATATTTAAAGAACATCTTTAGATGAACTGAAATTTGTAATGCGTTAAGAAAAGTAATATTTGCAAAATTATTGCAAAGTTAAATATAATTTCATGCTATAAATCAAAAAACTAAAATATAATTTTAATTAAAAATCTTGAAATAATGCAGTATAATAAATTAATTAGTTCTTTCAAGGCTTGAATATTAAAATTTGAAAAGGTGTTCTATTCAATGTTTTATATTGCACATCTATAATTGTCAAGAATCGCAACATTTTTCAGGGAGTATTAAACATAATAACAGACCTAAATACGTTTTATTATTTTTGCAATTTTAAGAATTCTATATCTATAGAAATTGGGTGAAAAGTACTTGATTAAATATATAGTATCGGGTATTAGTTCAATACAACTAATAGTTACTTTCTTTTCGTCAAAGAAATGTTAATATTTCGCTTGAAAGCTTAAAGTAAATCAAATCGCGGAACATTTTTAACAAAGTTCTCTTTTAATAACTCGCATTACTCTTCAACGTATCTTGCCTATCCAATTTTATTCTATCAATTGTCTAAACTTAATTTCTCTTTTTCATACAATTCTATGAAAATCTCCCAACGAATTCCAAATTAACTTCACCTACAACTGTGTGTCTGTAGTGTAGATAATTGTGACGATCACTATTTTATAATGGTGTATAATATGTATTACATTATATTTATCATTAGGTACTTACAAGAAGATTTTGTATTCGTCGAATGAAAATCGATCCTTTTGATAGGATGTGATAGAACATTCATTCAGCGAACACTTATAATACCCTGCACACACATTACAAAAATATGTGTGTGCATTATATTTAACGCATACGGTTTGCGTGTGCCCAAAAAGAGTTCTAATAAACAGGAATCTTTACTTCTTTAAATGGATTTTTCCTGGCGAGTGAGCGAACAATATAAATATATATCGGCACGAGCTACTAAATTGATTATGAAAACGTTATGGTCTGACCATAATCGTTTTCAAGAATTTCTATGTGGACCATTCATCGCAGATACCGTTGCATACGTGCATTTCTCACAAAATCTTCTTTCTTGAAGAAAACAACTACGTTCGAGTGTACGCGATTGCCTGCGATCGCGAAATAATGCACAATATAAACTAAACGTTTATTAATCAAGAGTCTTTTAACGGAGGAGAGACAGCAATGACAAGATATAGGCTTACTTACTTGAAAACTACTAGTCAATGAATCTACTGGTACGAGGTGAGTAGATTTTGTAAAACTGTTATTATGCGTAATTCTATTTTAATCTTCGGGTGGGACGTTTATACAAGCATTTGGTAAAGATTATAAAAAAAGCATAAATTCATTTTGGTTAATACCGAGTCGCAATTTCATTTCCGATAGACGAAAAAATGTTATTTCAATAATTTACAATAGTATTTGTGAATTACTTTGACCATATACATTTTATACAGTTCCAGTTATTTTTCTTTTTGTACCATTTATATAATGGGTAACTTCGCATCAATTTTGAAGAACTCTGTGCTTTTTCAATTTGTTGTTTCGCAGACATTCTAATTTGTAATCTTTACCATCGAATTTGAATATGTAACGTTGCAAAGCTTCAGGCTATTAGCAAAAGAAAAGTGCACAATAACGGAGCTATAATCCACAATGGTTTATTTCGTTGACTGAATTTGATGTACTTTGACTCCATCCTGGGATTTGATATTTCTGCGTAATTATACGAACCTAATCGTTATATTACACAGTTCTACAAGAACTAAATACTTGTGTGCAAATTTACCAGCCTAGACTGTTTTTTACCTACGACAACCAAATGTATTTATGTATCAACTTTAGCAAAAGGTTGTCTAGGTTCGCTATTGATATCTAGGCTGTTATAACTAATTACTACCTTAACAACAAAACCTTGGAATTCTTTATTAATTTTACTTGATCTCTGGGTGGTAATATATTTGGGATACCTGAATCTTCTAAGCATTTTTATACGCATAACAATTTATTAAAATTGCTACAATATATATATAATATATATATATATATATTAAAAAAAATGATCTACTAGAATATTGAACACCTAAAATTCGGTAGGCCACAAATGCTCTTACAAGCAATTTTTCACTCCTAAGAACCATTATAATTATTTAAGCAAGTTACGAACAGTTTCTTCCGGACTTCATTCATTTGTCGAAAAATATGTACAGTGATGAGCAAAACTGGACACACTTTATGCATTTTTGTAAATATAATTTTGAAACTGTAACATTGTTAATGATTACATTGTAATATAAAAATTACATTGTAACATAGATAATTGATAGTTTGATGAAACCAGTTGATGGTTTATTATATTTCTTATGATGTAATTACCACAGATATATATTGTACTCAGTTTTGCACCCGTTTATTCAGATCTTAATATTTTGTCCACAGGCCTTTTGCTTCTTTGGGGTATATTTTTTACTAATTTTTACTTGCACAGTGTTAATTACACTGGTCAACAGTAAATACATATTCTTTATTTAAGCAATCAATTTTAATTTATATTATTACTTTAATCATGAGAACAAAATTTAAATATTAACTCTAGTTTCTCTAATACACAATCTAAAAGTAGAAATTTTGTAATAACTGAAGACTTGCGTTTTATATCCGTCAGTCTTTTACCTGATCTACAATTTTAGCAGATTATTGCAAACGTAGTATTTTTAGCTGCATTATTTTGGTAAATTTATAATTTTATAATCTGTGATAGGTTAACAGTCATGAAAATAATATAATTTCGCTAATTTTTTAATGTTCTCAAAACTCCGTAAGAAATTTAAAAATTGTATTATTTATTAGTGCTTTACAAATTTCAAACCAGAGTCAAATAAGTTTTTTTTTATTTCCTACATATACATAAATAAATAGGAAGATAGCTTAATCGTAAAGAATACAAACTATTACTTATAATTCGTTGACCAGCGTTTTTCGAGGGATAAAAGTTTGGTTTTTTATGACGTAACTAAAATTGCGATATTTTATATTGAACAAACATACTCTTGGAGTTTAAAATTCTAATAAAATACGTTACTAATAATAGTTCCCAAATTGATTTTATTTAGCAAACCTCAATACGTTTGCAGTTTTTATCGATCGTCACTTTATTGATTTTCACATTAAAAGTTGAAGAATCAATACAATGTTATTAAATGAAATACTTAAATCGTTTTTTGTGATTACAGATACTGATAGCAGTTGGGGGCTGAGAAAACTAATGAAACTCATTGGAAAATGAAATGGTTAGTTTTAATAAACATTATCGTACTCGTTTTGCAAAACTGTAACAAAATATTTAATACAATTGCAAGAACTTTCACCTTTTTGACAATAGTTTCTTTTTATAGCTTTGAACTTCCACCTGTATGAACTGAGACATAATCACGTGTGAACCTTGGAGTAATAAAGGTTTGTTTCATTTACCTTTTTTAAATAGTAAATATTAATACATTTTAATATATTTCTTTATACGATGATAACTAATAATAATATGAGTTCTCGATGATAGACCCAACGTGTTCTGAACATATTATTTAAAGAATGTGTGCACGTTCGATATTTGCATATAATACTTACAGAAAATTTGTTTGATCCGTAGACGGAGCAATTTCGAGGATAAAGAGAAACCAGTTTTCCCGAAGAGATACATGAAGTTATGCATGCGTGAATATTTGATTTAAAATTAAACGAAAATCATAAATTAGTAATTAATTCACTAACGATGGTTTGACTTTAAATTCTTAAAATTTTAAACAGCCAATTGAATATAAAAATATAAAATCAGATATTCAATTTTGCACTTTTACAATATACTACTGCTATTGGATCTTCTTCATTTAAGGTAAGCAATTTTTTAAATTGTTTCTTATTTAATATAAACTAAATGTTCACATATCTGATTAAACATTTTTTAAATACATAAAATATTTAATGATGATTCTCTTTCGGGGCTGAGTACTTAGTGACGAAGCTTAAAAATTCCAACGTACCTTTAACTGATACACACACAACGATCACTGTTATAACTTTCATTGATGTGTATTCTCTTAGTAAATAGATATAATTCTTCTTTCAGAACTTCAAGAATCAATGCGAAGAGGAGTCACTTTAATTTCAAATTATAATTTCAAGGTGATTGACAAATAAAATTCATTATGATAATATTAACATATTTTACTCTTAACATCAGAATAAACTAAAAGCTGAAATTTAAAAAATAGTTCAATACTTTACACAACTTTTTTATGATGATTTTTCGGCTAGAGTCCTGAATAAAGAGATGACAACTTCTGTTTATATATATGCTGATATTTTGAATTAAATAATACAGAAAGTAACATGAACGGAATTTTATAAAAAAAAAAAATAACATTTTCTTTGTTATAGTGCGTGCTGAATACAGATATCAAATTACACATAATTTAATCTGTGTATACAAATAAGTTTCTTCGTTTATTTTATAATATATTGTTTATAATTGTTCTAGTATATATTTATAATAAAAAATATTACTGCATGCATTAATTAAATTTAATAATAAAGAACAAAAAATTTAAATTTTAATGTGAAACACTGTTAATTAAATTAAATGATACAAAAATTGTTTAATTTTTATTCTTTTTTGAAAAATTTATTTTTCAGTTTCAATGTTATCAACTTGTAATGTTTGTTTATTCAGATCTTATGTTGTGCCCTTATTATGGTATCTGTGCACATACAATTCTTTATAATAATCGCACTATCCTCACGTGCTTCATGTATCTACAATGTTGATATAGAAAATTATGTCGAGCTGTTCATATCAAATCGATCAATGAGTTCTCTTCAAAAATAATTCATAGTTAATAAGTCTCCTTAGTATCCAACAATACGAGACTGACTCAAATTAGTTAAATCTGACTCGAAACTAGCTTGTTTAAATTCGTTTTCATTTTATCAACACTGCGAAATTAGTGCGGACAACATTTTTGCAAATCGCTCCATTTGGAAAGGAAAGTGGAGGGTTTCGCTGTGGGATCTACTAGTGGGCTCGTCAATAAGCAACCTAGTAGGCCTTACGGTAGACACAGAGACATTCGATGATCCGAGGAATGTAAAAATTTAGAATATGCATAACACATGTTTGCGCGCCTAGTAAAATAAATATTCGATAAATCATTTTGAAAGGGTACAATTTTATTGGATCACCTTACTGAAAGTTGCTGTTAACATAAATAACAACGTGCGTTTGACTGATACTGATAAGTCTAGAAAAGAACAAGATAACAGCGCTAATAGAACAACAGGAACTATAATTGAAGTTAGAGATTTAATGACTTTTCTAAATTATGTTTAGAATTATAAGATTTAAGCTGTAGGACAACAAAAATTCATTTAGATTGTCTAGCATTTACTAATTTATTGCTAATAGTATAATTCAAGAATTAAAATTAACAATTTTGTGCATGAAATCGATTACATAACACTATTCGAAATCACTTCGAATTTTGAAACCATTTAAAAACGTTTTTTTTGAGTGACCTACCCCTCGATCCCGTACTATGTTTGACATGGTGAGGCGGAAAGAAGACATAAATAGATAATCATAATTTGTTTTTGGTAATCAGCTAAAAAACAATAAAAATCGAACGAATTTCGTAAATTACCCGTTTGTATTCCTTATGAGATTTGGCCATGTTGTTACTTTGGTTTATAACAAGACTATATCTCTGTCGGATATTAATTATACATATATTTGTTTCTAAACTTCTTGTCTTATCTTAACACACTTTTCTCTGTTCTCTCTATAATTTTTCCTTACATTCGTTCTTTTTCCGTCGCTTCTGTTCGAGCGTCTTCTGTCTTTTTTTTCTTCATAGGTGGCACCACTCATCCACTCTACTCACACACACAGACTGACACAGCCATAGAAACAGAGGGAAGAGAAGCATTATATCTTTAACACCCTCTCTTAATGCTTTTCTTCTCTCAGCAGTCTAACAAAAAAAAATAAAACTTTCCAATAAAACATAATGAACATTTGTACTCTTCTCCCTCTCTGAATCACAGGTTTCAATTAATACTCTAAGGTACATATATGAGTTCTTATCATCACACATTCGTAGTTTCGTACAAGTCTAATCCTAATTCCTTTCGCAGTTTATAATATGTTAGTTTAGGTAAACCTTTGGTAAGAATATCAACCTCCTGATCTTCGCTACAGACATACTTGACTTGAACAACGCCTGCTTTTAAATACTCGCATACAAAATTGTACTTAACATCTATGTGCTTCACACGACGATTTTTCTCTGGGTTTCTAATCAAAGCTATACAGCCTTGATTATCTTCAAGGATGATGAAATTATCAATTTTTGTATTTAAATCCTGAAGTAATTCTGTTTCCTAGTACTCCATGCTACTGTGTTTCCGAATACTTTGATTAGACATCCAGAGACCGATTTTCTATCGGTAGGGTCTCCTCCCCAGTCAGAGTCCACGTAACACTTTAATGGACTTCCCTTGTCTCTTTCTTTCCTATACATCAAACTCAGACTGACAGTTCCTTTCAAATACTTTAATACCCTTTTAAGATAGATCCATACCTCATTATTAGCTTTGTCTTGATATCTGCTGAAATAGTTAATGGCGAAACTTAAATCAGGTCTCGTCCCCAACATCAGGTACATGAAACACCCTATTAGCTCCCGTACCGGTTTACATGACTCTACGTCTTCTCTCTCAAGACACAATTTAACTTTCGGATCTATCGGTGTTGGACATGGTTTTACCTTTTCGGCATTAAACTTTTTCAGCAGTTCCATTGCATACCTTTCCTGACTAATATTTAATGAGCCCTTGTCACGATCGTGCTTTATCTCTAAACCAAGGAAATATTTTAATCTCCCTTTGTCTTTTACTTTAAATTCCTTGGTCAGGTGACTTTTATATTTATGAATACTTTCTAATGTTGGACCCGCTAATATCATATCGTCGACATACAATAGTAAATATATTCCTTCCCTCTCTGTCAATTTTGTATATTGTAGGAGGCAAAAAAGGGCTTCGAGGAAGCGTTGCCGAACGCTGACGGTTAGGAGCAGCGTAAGAACGCGTACAAAATCAGCTGTTAGGACGCATGTGAAAGTCGCTCGCCTATTGTCAACGACCGTAGTCGTAAACATGACCGAAAGGCGAGCGACCGCGAAAAACGAGTGCGAGAGAGAGACCATGTGTGCGAGAGAGAAAACCCACGAAAAGGCCAACAGCCGCAAAAATCGGTGTATCGGCAAGCGTGTGTGAGATTTTGTATATAAATCGAAGCGCTACGAAGAACGAGAGATTATTACGTACAAGCAAGACAGCGAGTGTGAGTAAAATATATGAGTCAGTGAGTGCAAGTAAAGTATATATGTATATATAATAATTTATAACATTAAACTACTGTTACTTATAATTTACCTCTGTTGAATTAATTTAAAAATCCCACAATATAGACAGTAGTCATTCACCGATCTCTTAAACCCTAAATCTTCCAAGAAGTTATTTATCCTCTCATTCCAGCACTTAGAGGCTTGTTTTAGTCCATAGAGAGATCTGTTTAATTTTAGCACATGACCCTTTTTACATTCTACTCCATCAGGTGGATATATATATACATTTTCCTTAAGCTTACCATTTAGAAATGCGGTTCTTACATCTAACTGCTCAAAATAATAATCATATTGGTTTCCCACTGATAGCAAAGTTCTTATAGTGCTCATCCTAGCCACTGGAGAGTATATCTTACTATAATCAAATGTATCTCGTTGAGCAAACCCCCTCGCCACTAATCTAGCTTTATATCGATCTTCTTTAATTTCCTTAAATGGTTTAAACGTAAATACCCACTTTGTATCTAAAACTATACTATCATTAGGCATTCTCACCTGCTTCCACGTGTCATTCTCATTTATTGAAGCTAATTCCCTCTCTATTGCACTTAACCAAAAACCCTTATCATCCCTTTGCTTTATTTCTTCAAAGCTTTCTGGGGTTTTCTCAACGAACGATACCGCATCGAAAGCCATGTACATTTCATAATCATTCAGTTTTTCAGGTAACTTCCTATCTCTTTTCCCCCTTCTACTTATACCTTTAGTCTCACTCTCTGTTATACATTTATCTACATTTTCTATCTGTTGTTCTACAACCTCATCTACATTTCTAGATTCTAATCCTGTTCCTGACTCGATTTCATTCAGCACTTGTATGTAATCTTCTGTTATACTCATTGGTGCTTCCTGCACTACTACGTCCCTAGATATAATTATCTTCCTTTTGCTTAGATCCCACAATCTATACCCGTTTTGAGCATAACCTACAAGAATACATTTATTTGCCTTTGAATCAAACTTCCCTCTCAACTCTTTCGGTACATGAGAGTACGTTACTGATCCAAAGATTCTCAAGTTCTTCACATTTGGTTTATTTCCATACCATACTTCTGCTGGTGTTACATCTGACAAGTTTGCGCTGGGACTTCGGTTAATAATATACGCAGCTGCCCTGACAGCTTCACTCCAAAAGGTTTTACAAATATTCGCATCGTTTATCATTGACCTAGCTTTATCAAGTAGACTCCTATTAAATCGCTCAGCCTTACCGTTTTGCTGAGGTGTATATGGAACAGTGTACTCCATACTTGTTCCATTTTCCATACAGTATCTTTTAAACTCTTCCGAAATGTATTCCCTTCCATTATCACATCTCAGCACGGATATTTTCCTATTAAATTTCGCCTGCGCCATCCTTGAAAACTCTTTAAACTTATCAACTACTTCGCTTTTAAATCTAATTAGATATATGTATACATATAAACCCGGAGTATCCATCAATAAATGTTACAAAGTATTTACAGCCATCGTGCGACTCTGGACTGATTGGGCCACACACATCCGAGTGCACAATCTCTAGTACTCCCTTACTCCTGGTTCTTTGGGAAAAGCTCGATCTCGTCATCCTTCCCTTTATACAAGACTCACAAACCTCAATACTACTTATCTCCACATTTGGCATACCATCGACCATATTCCCCTTAACTAATTTACTTGGGCTTGAGTATCCAATATGACCATATCTTCTGTGCCACAAAATTGCTGCTGCGCTCTCTTTTTCTATACTCAAACACTCATTCTCTGTCAACTCAAAGGTAATATTATATAGGTTGTCTCTATAGCCTACATCGATCAGTCCCTTATCATTCACTAGCCGCACTTGTCCTTTCTCAAATATAGTTTTCACATTAGACATCTCTAACTTCTTTACCGATAATAAGTTTTTCCGCAAATTAGGTACTGTTGAGATATTACAATGTCTATCCTCGACCGTTATAGTTTTCTTATGTATGTGTGTGCTGGAACGTTCTCGTC